AGTATTGTTTATTTTTTGCCAGTTTTTTTGATATTTACATCTAAAAACACAACAGTTGATGTTTGATTTCATAAGAATAGTAAACATAGACCCATTACATTCATTTTAAAACATCATTTGTGAAGATTGGATAAAAATTGCCAAAGTTAGAGCAGTTTTAGTGAAAAATTCTGTGACAGATATATCCGTCATTCTGGGTATTCAAGAGGTTAAAATAATATATTGATTGATCATTTGTACATTTACTTACATGTACTTTGTAAATGAGCACTGATGTGATGGTCATTTCAGCATATTGTCGCGTTCCAGACTTTTGCTGATAGTCTGGAAGCGATGAGTAACTTTTTCACCTTACACTTCTCTGTGGGCCCAGTCCTGGTTTGGTGGACTGGATAAAACGACAGTCACAAATGGCTTCCAATTTACTACATATATTTTAACACAACTATTAAAGGTGCTACAAATAGTGCAGGGGGGCCGTTCAACGATCATCGACAAGTGTCAAAATATATTTAGGTTTGGATATTTCATCAAGACTAACATATATTTTCATTATCTACAAAGAAACCCTCTGGATGAACATTATTTCAGCTGATATTCCTCTTGAAACATGGTGGATCTTAAAAATCTATAAGTGGGACTCCCTTTATAGAAGCTTTGAATTGAATTTACACTTCTTAATGCTGAAATTGATAGTTTATACATACATTTTATGAAAATAGGTATGTCAAAGAAGGTACTAAGCCAAATATTGACCTGATAGCTCAGAAAAAATAAAAAATTTCGAATTTTCTCTCTACAGTCCTTATTGCCCCTTTAATACATGAAAATAACACTTTAATGTTCATAAACTAAAATGTCACTATAATTCTCTTTGTAGGATGGATGTCTGGATGGATGTCTAGCCTGGCTCCTCTGGCTCTTGAGCTTGGCTCCTTTAGCTCCTGGACTTAGCTCTTCGGCTCCTAGCCTGGCTCCTCTGGCCCCTCTTCGGCTCTTAGCCTGGCTCCTCTGGCTCCTCGTCCAGCTCTTTGGCTCTTTAGCCTGGCTCCTCTAGCTCCTTAGCCTGGCTCCTCTGGCTCTTAAGCTTGGCTCCTTGAGCTCCTGAACTTGGCTCCTCTGGCTCCTCGTTCAGCTCTTTGGCTCTTTAGCCTGGCTCCTCTGGCTCTTGAGCTTGGCTCCTTTAGCTCCTGGACTTGGCTCTTTGGCTCCTCTTCGGCTCTTAGCCTGGCTCCTCTGGCTCCTCGTCCAGCTCTTTGGCTCTTTAGCCTGGCTCCTCTAGCTCCTTAGCTTGGCTCCTCTGGCTCTTAAGCTTGGCTCCTTTAGCTCCTGGACTTGGCTCCTTGGCTCCTCTTCGGCTCTTAGCCTGGCTCCTCTGGCTCCTCGTCCAGCTCTTTGGCTCTTTAGCCTGGCTCCTCTAGCTCCTTAGCTTGGCTCCTCTGGCTCTTAAGCTTGGCTCCTTGAGCTCCTGAACTTGGCTCCTCTGGCTCCTCGTTCGGCTCTTTAGCCTGGCTCCTCTGGCCCTTGAGCTTAGTTCCTATTCTTACTGGGAAGGCTCCTAGCTGCTCGTTGCTCTAGAAGTCTTCCTGGAACTATTTATGTCAGCGGTGAAACCAACTGACAAAATAGTTCACTGTGACTCTTGACTTGACTCTTCTGGCTCTTAGCCTGGCTCCTCGTCCAGCTCTTTGGCTCTTTAGCCTGGCTCCTCTAGCTCCTTAGCTTGGCTCCTCTGGCTCTTAAGCTTGGCTCCTTGAGCTCCTGGACTTGGCTCCTCTGGCTCCTCGTCCAGCTCTTTGGCTCCTTAGCCTGGCTCCTCTGGCTCTTGAGCTTGGCTCCTCTGGCTCCTGAACGTGGCTCCTCTGGCTCCTCGTTCGGCTCTTTAGCCTGGCTCCTCTGGCCCTTGAGCTTAGTTCCTCTTCTTACTGGGAAGGCTCCTAGCTGCTCGTTGCTCTAGAAGTCTTCCTGGAACTATTTATGTCAGCGGTGAAACCAACTGACAAAATAGTTCACTGTGACTCTTGACTTGACTCTTCTGGCTCTTTAGCCTTGCTCTGCCTCTATGGCTCTTGAGTTTTCTGGGAAGGCTCCTCACTGCCCGATGCGATGGAAGTCTTCCTGGAACTATTTCTGTCAGCGGTGAAACCAACTGACAAAATTAGTTCGCCGTTTTGGGAAGTTTCCCAATTTCACCTAACGATAATGCAAGGCTGCTTCCAGGTTGTTCCTTGCTGCTTCCCCTAGGACAGCACTGAACTGTGAAGAATTCTTGACAACACTTTAGGCAATTAATGACACAGTGTTGTTTTACATTAAATCTGACAAATATCTCACTTTAGCAAATCTGGGACACAAAATGGCGACGCACGATAAATCTCAATACCCGTTGAATTATAACTACAGTCAGTCAGAGGCATCCCAGTAGCATGCTGGCCATAAAGTTACAAATTCTGGTACACATGAAATTAAAAACTATAGTCAGTCAGAGGCACCTAGTAGCATGCTGGCCATAAAATCAAATTACAAAAAGGAAAAATCTCACCCGAATAAATGCTTCTTTCTCTAAGTTGCCAAAAATTCAGGTTTTCTCTGTTGTTTCTCCTTCAAGAACCTCCTGGTGCGTCTTCCCGCTTTATCATTCGTTATTAATCCCGAATACTTGGCAGATGGCTACTCTAAAGTGTGATAAATGTGGATTTTCTTCCAACCTTTGATTCACGCTGCTTCCTTCAAGATGGCGACCTTCGTTTTCTCTGTCATGTGATGGCATGAGTCATAGGCACAGGTGAACACATTTTGAAATCAGGGGCACTGCATTGCAGCAATTGAGGGGATTCCCCTTCCTGTCTTGGAATACCCACTTGTGAGCAGGGGTTTCCCCATCCCTTGCATAAATGGACCATTAAACACTGAATTAAACAATAATCTGCACCAGTGGGAAAATTAAAAAGGATAAACACAAAAAATGAAATTTTCCCACAATATTTCCCCATTTTCCTGGCTATTTCCAAATTTCCTGTCTAACTGATTTTAGTTTGAATATTATACCCACAATGCATTGATACTTCCTGCTATCAGCGCCCCTAGTGGCTGTGACAGAACTTCTGTTTTGTAGGTTTGCTTTAGGTAGCTTTAGGTTCGAACCTAAAACTACCTACAAGTTTGAAGTGTTTTAGGTAGATTTAAGATTTTTAGGTTCGCTTTAGGTAACTCTTGAAGAATGACTATGTTTTTTATGTTCGCTTTGGGTTCGAACCTAAAACTACCTACAACGTTTCGATTTTTTTAAGTGTTTTAGGTAGTTATAGGTAACTCTAGATAATTTCTAAGATTTTTTGGTTCGGTTTAGGTAAATCCTGAAAAAGTATAACATTTTTAGGTTCGCCTTAGGTTCGAACCTAAAACTACCTACAAGTTTCTGATTTTTTTAAAGTGCTTTAGGTAGTTTTAGGTTCGAACTTAAAGCGAACCTACATGAAGTAGGTTCGTTTAGGTAGTCATCAAATTGGGGGATTCACTTTTAGGTTCGCTTTAGGTTCGAACCTACATCACCTACTGAAAGGCTGGGCTATCTGATAAATATTTTCCTCAGCAAACTTTATTTTCATAGAACACATGATGAATCTTTTATTCAACATTCTCAATTTTGCATCAATTATGTTTCAAGAATTTTTATCCCTGGCTCACTATGAAGGACATTTAAATAAGTCATGGGAAAGTAGGTCATAAGAAAGAGGAGCACTGGGTTCCACCCATTCCAATGATGCAGGTTTTGTGCTAATTTTGAATATCTTTATGGTACTTTTACAGGTAATGGGCTAATGGCTCTAGCAAATTGCAGCAATGTCATAGTTAGTTTTTTTGGTCAAAGTAGGTTGCTAAATCACTAAAGAGAAATCATGAATCTTATATCATAAATGTGTTTTAAATCAACTTGTTTACCTGAAAATAAAATGTGGTCACAGCTCTTCTGATGCTGATGTACCCGAATGGTGTCTAATTCATAATGAAATAAATGAAATCATTTTGGTATGTATGTGGAGTCTAGTTGCCTTATAATGATACATTTACTTTAGTACATGGATTCTCTCCTAATATAATATTATTTCCTTATAAATATCCAAACTTTAATCAAAAGCAGTTTCAAAATTATCGTATATTGTATTTCACCTAAAATATCGTATATGGTATAAGAGCTGTGAAAAATATTGTATATGGTGAAAAAATATTGTATATGGTATAAGAGAGCTGAAAAATATTGTATATGCATTTCCAAGACCCTCTATACACCCCCCCCCACTAGACAGTTCCATCCATCCAAATTCATCCAACCAGCTGCCAGAACGGATGCATACAAGTTTAGTTACTTTCCAAGGACAATAGTAAAATGGAACACTCTACCCAGTGATATTTTAGACAGTGATAGCCTATCCAGTTTTAAATCTTCTGTCAGCAAGCAGGTTAACAATTAAGCTCAGTTGTATTTTAGCAATAGGTCTATGTTACATTCTTAAAATTTGTTATTGTTCTATACAGAGACATGTTTTATATGTCTCTGTTCTATACAAATGATTATTGAATATGGCCCACTTTTCTACGAACGGGAGCATCGACCTTGGGGAAGATGCCTCCTTGAGTGGAGAAGTGTTTCATGATTTCACTATTTCAGTGTACATTTTAAAATGAGTTGTAAACCATAGATCTATTTTTTAAATATTAAGGTTCGAATTATATTCTATTCAAATTATATCACTGTTATTAAACTATATATCTGCTTTAAATGGGCTTATTAGCCTTTTGCGGATTATTGTGTCCTCAGCAAATATTTTTTACCGTAGATTCAGCATGCTCAATGATGAATGCCAGTGGCCCGAGGCAGGTTCCCTGAGGTAAACCATTAGAAACTTGCAGATGGTAAAGTGTGGTGACCAAAGAATGACAAAAGCAACTGATTGCACAACTACTTATTATCAAGAAGGAGTTCCCCATCGTCACTTGTCACGTGATCCAATTAGTGCTCTCCGCGAAGCACTGCAAATTTCAAAATGGCCACGAAAAGTGAAGGAAAGGCTCAAGTCGAAGTAGTTCGAGGCCAAATATTTGAGGTTGGACCTCGATATAGCAACTTATCATACATTGGCGAAGGAGCATATGGAATGGTCGTGTAAGTCAATTACTATGCTTATATTGTTCTTGTGCCTTTAACGTATAATCAACATACAAGTGAAAGTTAGACATTTTTTATCTTTTCAATTTTTCAATTTTTTATGAATATTGCTTGGGAATCGCGATTGCAACTGTAACGTTAAGTAAATCAGTTATATTGCCCACATGTGCTGTACATCAGTATTTTAAGCAAGTCCAATTCGATGGTATTTCTATATTTTGCCACAGGTGATAGAAGTCAGTCCCAGCCACAGTCAGAGAGAATGTTTCTGGCGAAAGGAGCTTCTGGGATTTTAAATTTATGAAGTTGGGAAACCGGAAGGGCTTACCTTTTTTAATTCCTGAATCTCACCGAATCTCTCCGAAATTAGCTCATCTTGGTGACTGTAAATTGCACAGCTGTATTCAATGGAGTCTTGTCATATTCAATCAGCCTCAATTTTAAAGTGTATATTTTATTTTCAACGTGATTTCATCGTTTTTTGTCGACTGGTAAGAATACGCTGGGCAAATGGCAAGATGGATGACTTTTGACCTGACCTACACCGATGGCGATGACGTCATCAATTTTATCTATACAAATTCTATTTGGTCACGTGACCTTGTGCCAGAAGTCCGACTTTTTGGTCAGTCGACCTGTTCAAAGTACATTTAGTAATAATTATCGCTTTTCAGAACAATTTAGGAAACAATATTTTCTATCTACGTCGATTACAAAGCATCTAAGGTACGTAAGTTTATATGAACAACTGAGTCAATAGGGATAAATAGCCCAACGAGAGTGGGCGGTCTAAAAAATACTTGGATCTGGATGCCAGTCCTGGTATAGATATAGTTCCAGGGCTGTTCGAAGAACGTATTAGATGTCCGTGGTCCCAGCTTACTCTACCGAGTCAGCTCTGGGAAGTTGGATCGAAAATTCTTGAAGAGGAAAAATCGAGCCCATATTGAATAAACACTGTGCTGAGTAGCGTTTATAACACACTATATATTTGAATCAATACATAATTTATTTGTTGTTACCTTATTTTGATCCTTCAACAGTCTGTTGTTTTAGTAAATCAATGTTCTATCAGACAACAAAACTTTTGAATTTGGATTGCAGCCATTTTAGGTCTCGCGAGATCTCTTGACTTTCGAAAGTAAAGATTTGCCACAAAATAACTCTTGTTAGCTAAATATGAATAGTCACGTGATCCTTTAGCGGCGATGCCCATGTGCCTGTAAAGTATAATGCGCATGTGCACGCATGCGCAAAAAGTTAAAACTGGTACGAACCAGATCTGGAATTTCTCCACTTTAACTGCAAATTACACAACAAGTAGGACTTATTGTCTCCACGCGTCATGAAAAGGGCAAGTTACATTCAATTATCTTCTTAAATATCGTTAATTTAAACCACTTCACAAGACGGTATATTTGAACGGTGTGTCAGCTGGCTTTTGAGCCAGCTGTGTTCAGTAAGTCCCAGTAATCCCAGCTCTTATTTGTATGCCAGCTATCCAACCCAGCTATCCAATAGACATCTTGAGAATTAAGAAATATAGACCGAAGAGCAGGGGTAATATTGTCGAATACACCCCGCAGGGCTAGGCACAAACATTTTCTGTACCCCAAACGACCAAAGGGAGTGAGGGGTTCGAAAGCTTTTGTGCCTAGCCCTAAGGCCATTACTACAGCCCGCCGTTATGACGTCACACATTACACATATTACCAGGGGTTTTGTTTGCGAATATACCCCGGGTGAAATGTTGACTTTGTTTAAAGTTTGTAGAAGGCGTGAATACAGTCATGTTTGAATTCAGTATATTGATCATTATGTCCCTTCTGTTGGAAAAAACAAGAAATTTTCAGCACAAAATTGTTAATTTTAGGAAGCGTCACTTCCCAAAAATAAACATTATAACAATTCAATAAGTATTAACAGGTACAATTCATGACATGTTTCACAGGGCTGGCACAGGGGCTTGGCAAACCCTCCGATGAGTGTGTACTGGTTATAAAGAGTTTAAGGGAGGCCAATGTTGATGCTTCCTGAAAATTGTACTAAAAGGTTGTTAGATATGTATCTAGTAAAAATATACAGAATCCTTTCAACAATCGACATGATTGATTCAAACAACCCTACAGAGCAAGTTTACCCAAAATAGACGCAATCCAACCACTACTTGCTGAGAAATCTGAAGAATATGTAAAGAAGTGATTAAAATGCAAAAAACAGACATTTTTTACCTCAAAATTATTAGGTCCAGAGTCGATTTCTTCCCCTAGACACAATCCACTGTTAAAAATTGGTAGTTTCTAGAGTTCTTTGTTTCCTAAGGTTCATTCCCGTATATTATTTTTAACGAAGGACAGCCTATAACGACTGCTTTACGCAAAAAGATGCATAAAAGTATCGTTTTGAAACTAGAATTGTTCACTGCGCGAGTTTCAATTTTTTGGTTCGATTCTTTGCGCAGGTGCGTTCAATCCAGCAATTTGATTAGTTCATATTATATGAGCGCATGCGCAATAACTACATATATTTTTAGATAGATGTCACTTGCGTTCATTATTTCACAGCAGTCCCTTCCCATGATGCACCTAATATTGCGGTAATACTTTTTTTAGTGATAAAACAAATAACTTTCATCTTCGAAATATGTTTTCCATTCCTTGGCAATAATCTTTCATTTGGTATCTGAGTAAAACCAAACCAACCTCCGAAAAGTAATTCGAATCGTTCTGAATCGTGGGAATGAAGTACTTTCATTTTTGCATATGCGCATAAAACACAGGATAGTCAGCCATTTTTCAACATTCAGTTTCGAAACGATAATTTCTAAAGAAATTAAGGTGGGCGATAATAGAGTACATAGACTATACTGCAGAAAACGTGCTGCATTTTGTAATTCGATGCATCCTCTCAATAAATATCTATTATTTGGTGCCTCCCACATCATCTCAAAATAGTCCATAATGAATGGACGAAGTGCTCCAGTTTAAGAGTTTTGTTTCAACACTATACCAAGTAGGGATTGTCAGAGTCATGTCAAGGTCGTGAACTTTCTCGTTTCTTTTTCAATGGGCTCTCCTCTGGAGTTCTTCAATCACTGTCAATATTGTCTTGTTAATTTTATCGATCTTTACCGTATTCTCTCCAATACTGATATAAATCATTATTGTAAAAATATGTTGTTACTTCGTTTCGGTGTTGCAAATAAGGCATTCTTGGCAAAAAATCCCATCCATGAAATTCTGGAAATATTTGACTCTTTGTAATGGGTTACAATGGGAAATTCATAAAACATATCTTTAGATTTTGTAAAGTGCTGAATTCAGGAAAGCGTGGCCAATGAAGAAGTTCAGCATTCAAAGACTCGGAGTGCAAGCATTTGATCTAGAAATGACATGATCAGTCCATTTGCTAATAGCTGTATCTAATTGAGTCATATATTGAATTGCCTACTTCTAATTCCCCTTGCAGAAACCAAACTCAAGTCATAGCAAAGAATGCAAGTTACAGCATCCCTAAATTGGAAATCAAGAATTGTCTATAATTTTGTTTTATGGATGATATGCAGGATTGTACACATAGTGTCCTATTCTAAGTCTTACATTTCCTTTTGGTTTACATCAATTATCAGGCTTGCTTGATGGGTGACATTTATTAAAGGGCTGGTTTTGCTTAGAAACAAATAATCCCTTGCTCAAATGGAATATCACAATATACTCTGCATTTGTTCAACTTCGCTTCTCAAAAGAGAGCTTCGTCTTCACTCTCAGTTTTTAATAAATCTCTGAACTCACCGAGCTAATCAGAGTTCGTCGTCAGAATAAGGACCACTTTCTATATATGGTCATGTTCTCTGATGTAATCGCATAATTATTGTGCACGCATTGGGCATAGTGTTCCAAATGGTAGTGAAAACTGGTGCCAGTATTACCGCAATTCTATACTTTACCGTTACCGAATACCATGGTTTTGGGTCTGCATTCGAGAATTCGTACATTTCTGTGACTGAGTTTAGATTTTGCCAAAGTTTTTGGTGGTGAATTTGGTCCCTTTCATACAAATGCAGTTTATAGTCATGATTTATCAATGTCTTACCTGATTATCGATAATTTCTGCATTGAATTAAGAAGCCAGCTATTTAACGTAGTCATTCCTCAAATTGAAAAATGAAAAATATTTCTTCCGCTTGCCAGGTGGCGCCCATAACTTTTCAAAAAGGAGACAAAAAGAAAATGAAAATATTTCCGATGTGAAAAGATTACTTTTCTTCACTTTTTATCAATGTTAAACACTTAATCTTGCGATTTCTGGTAAGTCTAATTGATTCTTTAGATATTCCGGTAACCGGTATTGGAATTTCAGTGCTGACATTAGGCCAGAATGCCACCGTAACGGTACTTCCGGCAATATCGCAGATCACTAATTTGGTATCTGTCGTTGGGGCGGGACTGTTAAACTGTATATAGTATATACTAGGCAGAGGGTCGTTTATTACTAGACTGTGCAGGGTACAATTTAAAAATGTTACTGCGCTCATTTAAGAATCTACAAATTCATTTTGTCAGGGCCTACTAGCGCATCCAGAAGCTAACAAGGGGGGGCACATTTTAAGTGAGGAAAACAATTCTGCTCTTGCACGGAAAATAATATTTCGGGCCTACCCAAGGAGGAGGGGAGGATGGGCCCCATGGCATAAAAGATTCGTGCTAACCTGCAAATCAACATTTAACATACATGATTTTCAGAAAAAAGTTATACATAAACTGTCCAATGTCAAATGAGGTCACATATTTGAACACATATTTGTTTACAATTCTCTTCAAAACACATACAGCTGTATATGTTTTCCCATTTGGCAAATGTAAAAAAGAGGGAATATCCCTTTTGATGAAGCAGCACCAGATCTGTAGCTTTGAGGCAAGTTGCCCTTATGCTTATGCAGACTGGGATCATCTTGATTCTTCCATTTCCTGGTAATATTTCATTTACAAGATATGAACTCAACCCTTTTTCTTCTATAAGCACAACTCCCCTAAATAGTACATCAAAAATATGTAATCTACACACAGACAGTGAAACCTGTAAAGTGGAACATTTCTAGAAGTGGAACATTATTCAGAGTTCCAACACCAACTGATTAATGTTAAATGAACCTCTATAAGTGGAACACCTCCCAAGTGGAACACTTTTTAGAGTTCCAACACCAACTGATTAATGTTAAATGAACCTCTATAAGTGGAACACCTCCCAAGTGGAACACTTTTTAGAGTTCCAACACCAACTGATTAATGTTAAATTAACCTCTATAAGTGGAACACCTCCCAAGTGGAACACTTTTTAGAGTTTCGACACCAACTGATTAATGTTAAATGAACCTCTATTAGTGGAACACCTCCCAAGTGGAACACTTTTTAGAGTTCCAACACCAACTGATTAATGTTAAATGAACCTCTATTAGTGGAACACCTCCCAAGTGGAACACTTTTTAGAGTTCCAACACCAACTGATTAATGTTAAATGAACCTCTATAAGTGGAACACCTCCCAAGTGGAACACTTTTTAGAGTTCCAACACCAACTGATTAATGTTAAATGAACCTCTCTAAGTGGAACACCTCCCAAATGGAACACTTTTTAGAGGTACCACAGATGTCCCATTTAGACAGGGTTTAGACATGTGAAGAACAGGAGCATGCCTCATAGGTGGTTCAATTTGCCCCTTTTGCCATCTAATGGACTGGACCTCCAATTACATATACACTACTGTATTTTATTCAGGGGCTCCAATTACTTATACACTGCTATATTTTATTCAGGGGCTTTGAGCACTGAACAAACTTCAAGTGTAATTTATAGTTCTAAAATTGTATCTATTTCTCATTTTTTGTGCCTATGAGTAAGGTCAACCTATTTCTAAATGTTAAACTACTACCCTAGTATGTATGATATCAGTTGGTAGTTGAGAAGGGGTCGCCACAGAATTTTTGATAAATGTGCCACTATAAAGATTTCCCTGGAAATAGACTCACTGGTATCATTTATCATATATTTTGTCTGTAATGGTACTTCAGATAACTAGTTAATGATTTAATAAAAAGAGAGTATGTCTTCAAAATATGGTGATTTAAACTTGGCATACCTCCATTTATGATTTTCAAATGACTGCCCCACCCCTTTGACATACCTGCCAACCTAAGACCAAAATTTTGCGGTAGATTTTTTTAAAATTGCTGTATTTTTGCGGTAGAATTTTTCAAAATACGGTAGTTTTTGCGGTATTTTTCGACAAAATTGCGGTAGTTTTTGCGGTAGATTTTAGAAAAAGACGGTAGGTTTTGCGGTAGATTTTTAAAAAAACGGTAGTTTTTGCGGTAGATTTAAAAAATACGGTAGGTTTTGCGGTAGATTTTTAAAAAATACTGTAGTTTCAGAGGTTTTGGGTAGATTTTTGAAAAGAGTGTAATTTTGCGGTAGAAATTTGAAATAAGCGGTAGTTTTGCGGAAGATTTAGAAAAAATGCGGTAGTTTTACGGTAGATTTTAAAAAATGCGGTAGTTTTTACGGTAGTTTTTTGAAAAACCGGTAGTTTTGCGAAAGATTCTGAAAAAATGCGGTAGTTTTACGGTAGATTTTGAAAATTGCGGAAGTTTTTACGGTAATTTTTTGAAAAAACGGTACTTTTGCGGAAGATTTTGAAAAAATGCGGTAGTTTTACGGTAGATTTTGAAAATTGCAGTAGTTTTTACGGTAATTTTTTGAAAAACTGGTACTTTTGCGGAAGATTTGCCAAAATGCGGTATTTTTCGGTAGATTTTGAAAAATGTGGTAGTTAAACCTTTATACAATGCGGTTTTCTATATTAATACAATGTTTACGTGGTCATATTGTTGTTGTTATTGTGAATACATATTTTACTGCAAGAGTGCTTTTGATAATTACAGTTTGTAAAGCAGAACTACCACCTGAGAATTATACGAAACTATTATTTTCAAGAAAAAATAGATACTATTTTCAAGAATAAATAGAGACTCAACACTTTTTATTCTTCATTTACCATGCCTACAAAGGACTGACAGCAACTTTGGATTTTAATGTTTCAGCAAAATGTACAAGTACATTTATACAAGTACATTGTATATGAATACAACTCTTTTACAATAAATCTAGATTGATTCAAATACGAACATAATATTCATATCTCCACTTTTATTCACCTTCTAACCAGTTTTTTTTAGATATCAGGATGTTTGGAAATACCATGAATGAAACATTTACTGAAGTACAAAATATGGATTTTACACGTTTTTACTCACCATCTTAGATGATCTATCACTTTAACGAATTGAAAGGACAGACATAATGTTCATATAACATTGGAATCATATGGTATTAAACATTGATTTGTTCACTCGCAAGTCTCTAATGATATCAATGTGTTTGTCTGGCACAAATAGAAAATACGTACAGATCAATTGTCTTTCAAAAATAATCTGTTATGAGCATGACCTGCCGATACCTATTTATATTCGGGTTGGTGAAGGAATATTACAGGGACAGTATAGGAAGACTTCAATTTTCCAGCATTTCCCAACAATAACGGGAAATTTTACGGTAGTTTGAACAAAAATACTGTTGATTTTAGCAGAAATACGGTAGATTTTCGAAAATTTACGGTAGATTTTTAAAAATTTACGGTAGATTTTACGGCCGTTCTCATGGAATAAACGAGTTTTTTAAAAAGAAAATTTACGGTAGATTACGAGAAAAATACGGTAGATTTTTTTACGGGCGTTTTTACGGGGAAAAAATGGTATTTTTTTACGGTAGTTTGTCATTTTTTTACGGAAAAACGAAAAATTTACGGTAGATTCCCGTAAAAATACGGTAGGTTGGCAGGTATGTTTGACCTATGAGTGCAAAAGTTCACTTATTTTTAAAATGGCTGACTTTTTGTGTTTTGTCTATTCACTTTTGGACCATTTGGCAAAAAATTATATCTGTGTTTTTTTCAGCCATTTTAGTTATTGATTTGTCCATCAACAATAGAGGCATCTTTTAAAAGAGGGTCAATAAGATTCCTGATTTAAATTATTTTGGTTCCTTTTCAATACAGTAGTCCCTCGTGTGAGTCCAGGTTCAAAAGCTTTTCATTTTCAAAGTGGCTGCCATTTTAGTTGTAGAAACTTCACTTTTTGACAATTCAGTAGCTTTACAAGTGATTTCAGGTGCCCTGCATTGTAAAAACACACCGTAAACAGTAGTTTAATGAGCTAGTTTTGCAAAATAATTGGTAAAATTTATATCTGCTTTTTATTGTCTGCCATTTAAGCCATCATTCACTTTTCTCTTTTCGAGCAAGACCATGTTAGCCCAGTACCTACTGTTTATTATTTTATTTAGTCTGTAAAACTTCTGAATAAAAAATGTCAATACTTTTGGTTTGTTCTAGTGGCAATCCAGTTTATTAGACAGGGTGTTGCATTTCAATTTTAAAAAATTAACTTTTCTTGTGTTCTCTTTTTTGTAGAATTGCGACAGATGGAAAAACGGGGACAAAAGTTGCAATCAAGAAAATCTCACCATTTGAACACCAGACGTACTGCCAGAGAACTCTAAGGGAAATCAAAATACTAACTAGGTTTAAACATGAAAATGTAAGTTTAACTGGTTGCTTAATGGAGAATTGAAGTATTTGAATTTTCCTAGTGAGCTTGAGAATGACAATAGATAGCAGAGGTTGTTGTTTGTAAATATTCATTCAAAATTCTTAGATAACATTTATAATACTAAACTCATTTTTATTTAACATCTATCATTTAATTGTAAGAACAGAATATGACCTGCCATCTATTAGTCACAAATCACATTGAATGTTGTTTTTTTATCTTGAATTATTATTTTGCTTCATTGGTACATTATAGACAATACATGTTTCTCAATACAAGATAATTTTCAAATATTTACTTAGTTAGCATAGTATTTGCATTAGCTTTCTATGTAGTGTTAATGTATATTGAATCTTATTTTGAATTAATTTTCAAATTTTGCTTTGTTATATATTGACTATTTTTTAAGCTTTTATATTTTGTTTCTACAACGTGGGTCTCCATCTAGTTACAAGAATACGCCATTCCTGCAATAGTAGGAGGTTTTTTATTATTTTTCTTAATTCTGTCTTCAAAAGAGGTCAAGTTACTTGCATACTAATATTTGCCTAAAAGATGCAATATGTTGGGATGAAGCATATTCAGCAGTTTCCAATGAGTCTGTTGTCTTATTCCATGAAGGAATGTGTGTCATGCCTAACTCCATGAAGGAATGCGTGTCATGCCTAACTCCATGAAGGAATGCGTATCATGCCTAACTCCATGAAGGAATGTGTGTCATGCCTAACTCCATGAAGGAATGTGTGTCATGCCTAACTCCATGAAGGAATGCGTGTCATGCCTAACTCCATGAAGGAATGTGTGTCATGCCTAACTCCATGAAGGAATGTGTGTCATGCCTAACTCCATGAAGGAATGCGTGTCATGCCTAACTCCATGAAGGAATGTGTGTTATGCATCTTTGTGCTAACTTGAGCTCTTTGTAGGTGTGAATGAGAAAATGGGAATGTCTCATAGACTCATACCATCTGATACCGCAACAGGGTTTTCCTGAAACTAGGTGGAGACCAGTGCTCAATGCATATATTTTGCATGGGGTTCTAGTCTAAAGGGGGTAGTATTTTCTTGGAGTGGTGGGGGCAGGAGTTACTTAAAAAGGGGTGTCACACAAACCCAAAGTCGACCCGAATCTTTAGCTAGAAGGTTCTGGTCACAAACAACTATTTACCAGTTTCGGGTCAGGCCAGAACACTCCGTAATATAGTAGCAGACACGTGCTTATCTTCTTATCAAAGGCTCATTGACAGAAACATTCATAAAGATCAGAATTCCTAACCCCAGCGTTCTCTTTCTATTACATCATTATGTCCTTGCTCATTGACAGAAACATTCATAAAGTTCAGAATTCCCAACTCCATTGTTCTCTTACTATTATATCATTATGTCCTTGCTCATTTACAGAAACATTCATAAAGTTCAGAATTCCCAACTCCATTGTTCTCTTACTATTATATCATTATGTCCTTGCTCATTTACAGAAACATTCATAAAGTTCAGAATTCCCAACTCCATTGTTCTCTTACTATTATATCATTATGTCCTTGCTCATTGACAGAAACATTCATAAAGTTCAGAATTCCCAACTCCATTGTTCTCTTACTATTACATCATTATGTCCTTGCTCATTTACAGAAACATTCATAAAGATCAGAATTCCCAACTCCATTGTTCTCTTACTATTATATCATTATGTCCTTGCTCATTGACAGAAACATTCATAAAGTTCAGAATTCCCAACTCCATTGTTCTCTTACTATTATATCATTATGTCCTTGCTCATTTACAGAAACATTCATGAAGATCAGAATTCCCAACTCCATTGTTCTCTTATCATTATGTCCTTGCTCATTGACAGAAACATTCATAAAGTTCAGAATTCCCAACTCCATTGTTCTCTTACTATTATATCATTATGTCCTTGCTCATTTACAGAAACATTCATAAAGATCAGAATTCCCAACTCCATTGTTCTCTTATCATTATGTCCTTGCTCATTGACAGAAACATTCATAAAGTTCAGAATTCCTAACCCCAGCGTTCTCTTTCTATTATATCATTATGTCCTTGCTCATTTACAGAAACATTCATAAAGTTCAGAATTCCCAACTCCATTGTTCTCTTTCTATTACATCATTATGTCCTTGCTCATTGACAGAAACATTCATAAAGTTCAGAATTCCCAACTCCATTGTTCTCTTACTATTATATCATTATGTCCTTGCTCATTTACAGAAACATTCATAAAGTTCAGAATTCCCAACTCCATTGTTCTCTTACTATTATATCATTATGTCCTTGCTCATTGACAGAAACATTAATAAAGTTCAGAATTCCCAACTCCATTGTTCTCTTACTATTACATCATTATGTCCTTGCTCATTTACAGAAACATTCATAAAGATCAGAATTCCCAACTCCATTGTTCTCTTATCATTATGTCCTTGCTCATTGACAGAAACATTCATAAAGTTCAGAATTCCCAACTCCATTGTTCTGTTACTATTACATCATTATGTCCTTGCTCATTTACAGAAACATTCATAAAGTTCAGAATTCCCAACTCCATTGTTCTCTTACTATTATATCATTATGTCCTTGCTCATTTACAGAAACATTCATCAAGTTCAGAATTCCCAACTCCATTGTTCTCTTACTATTATATCATTATGTCCTTGCTCATTGACAGGAACATTCCTAAAGTTCAGAATTCCCAACTCCATTGTTCTCTTACTATTATATCATTATGTCCTTGCTCATTGACAGAAACATTCATAAAGTTCAGAATTCCCAACTCCATTGTTCTCTTACTATTATATCATTATGTCCTTGCTCATTTAGAGAAACATTCATAAAGTTCAGAATTCCCAACTCCATTGTTCTCTTACTATTACATCATTATGTCCTTGCTCATTGACAGAAACATTCATAAAGTTCAGAATTCCCAACTCCATTGTTCTCTTACTATTATATCATTATGTCCTTGCTCATTGACAGAAACATTAATAAAGTTCAGAATTCCCAACTCCATTGTTCTCTTACTATTGCATCATTATGTCCTTGCTCATTTACAGAAACATTCATAAAGATCAGAATTCCCAACTCCATTGTTCTCTTATCATTATGTCCTTGTTCATTGACAGAAACATTCATAAAGTTCAGAATTCCCAACTCCATTGTTCTCTTACTATTACATCATTATGTCCTTGCTCATTTACAGAAACATTCATAAAGTTCAGAATTCCCAACTCCATTGTTCTCTTACTATTATATCATTATGTCCTTGCTCATTTACAGAAACATTCATAAAGTTCAGAATTCCCAACTCCATTGTTCTCTTACTATTATATCATTATGTCCTTGCTCATTGACAGAAACATTCATAAAGATCAGAATTCCCAACTCCATTGTTCTCTTACTATTATATCATTATGTCCTTGCTCATTGACAGAAACATTCATTAAGTTCAGAATTCCCAACTCCATAGTTCTCTTACTATTACATCACTATGTCCTTGCTCATTTACAGAAACATTCATAAAGATCAGAATTCCCAACTCCATTGTTCTCTTACTATTATATCATTATGTCCTTGCTCATTGACAGAAACATTAATAAAGTTCAGAATTCCCAACTCCATTGTTCTCTTACTATTACATCATTATGTCCTTGCTCATTTACAGAAACATTCATAAAGTTCAGAATTCCCAACTCCATTGTTCTCTTTCTATTATATCATTATGTCCTTGCATTGACAGAAACATTCATAAAGATCAGAATTCCCAACTCCATTGTTCTCTTACTATTACATCACTATGTCCTTGCTCATTTACAGAAACATTCATAAAGTTCAGAATTCCCAACTCCATTGTTCTCTTATCATTATGTCCTTGCTCATTGACAGAAACATTCATAAAGTTCAGAATTCCCAACTCCATTGTTCTCTTACTATTATATCATTATGTCCTTGCTCATTGACAGAAACATTAATAAAGTTCAGAATTCCCAACTCCATTGTTCTCTTACTATTACATCATTATGTCCTTGCTCATTTACAGAAACATTCATAAAGTTCAGAATTCCCAACTCCATTGTTCTCTTTCTATTATATCATTATGTCCTTGCTCATTGACAGAAACATTCATAAAGTTCAGAATTCCCAACTCCATTGTTCTCTTTCTATTATATCATTATGTCCTTGCTCATTGACAGGAACATTCATAAAGTTCAGAATTCCCAACTCCATTGTTCTCTTACTATTATATCATTATGTCCTTGCTCATTTACAGAAACATTCATAAAGATCAGAATTCCTAACCCCAGCGTTCTCTTTCTATTATATCATTATGTCCTTGCTCATTTACAGAAACATTCATAAAGTTCAGAATTCCCAACTCCATTGTTCTCTTACTATTATATCATTATGTCTTTGCTCATTTACAGAAACATTCATAAAGTTCAGAATTCCCAACTCCATTGTTCTCTTACTATTATATCATTATGTCCTTGCTCATTTACAGAAACATTCATAATGTTCAGAATTCCCAACTCCATTGTTCTCTTACTATTATATCATTATGTCCTTGCTCATTTACAGAAACATTCATAAAGTTCAGAATTCCCAACTCCATTGTTCTCTTACTATTATATCATTATGTCCTTGCTCATTTACAGAAACATTCATAATGTTCAGAATTCCCAACTCCATTGTTCTCTTACTATTATATCATTATGTCCTTGCTCATTTACAGAAACATTCATAAAGTTCAGAATTCCCAACTCCATTGTTCTCTTACTATTATATCATTATGTCCTTGCTCATTTACAGAAACATTCATAATGTTCAGAATTCCCAACTCCATTGTTCTCTTACTATTATATCATTATGTCCTTGCTCATTTACAGAAACATTCATAAAGTTCAGAATTCCCAACTCCATTGTTCTCTTACTATTATATCATTATGTCCTTGCTCATTGACAGAAACATTCATAAAGTTCAGAATTCCCAACTCCATTGTTCTCTTTCTATTATATCATTATGTCCTTGCTCATTGACAGAAACATTCATAAAGTTCAGAATTCCCAACTCCATTGTTCTCTTACTATTATATCATTATGTCCTTGCTCATTTACAGAAACATTCATAAAGTTCAGAATTCCCAACTCCAATGTTCTCTTACTATAATTACATCATTATGTCCATGGTTACAACCCTTGATATAGGATTTCTTAACTTTATGAACTGCTATTGGGCCCCTCGGGAGCATGGCACCCTGTTCTATGAGGCTGTACAATATGACTTCACTATCTATGATTTTCCTGGCATCTTGATTCTTTTGAATTGGATAAACAGTGACAAATAATGATTATGATGATATTACATGCTAAGAGCTCTTAGCCCATTTTTTTTGCGTTGCGCCGAACGAAACATTTGAAACTTTCCATTTACATATGTCGCATGATCCTTTATTTTGTCTTATCCCTTGTTCCCAATATCATCCCCAAATTATTGAGAAGAACTTATTTGCCTGGCGATTTATCATAATCCTAATTTATGCATAAATCTCCCTGCTCTCTTTAATGCTTTTAACAATGCTGTCTTTAGGACATATTTTTGTGAAACCGATGCATTCTTTAGCACAAAGTATAGAAGCAGGAAAGGAATAGTTATATTGACTGAACAGTCCTTCAACCAGTACTGAACTGCTTTTTTTCATTTTACATGTATACCTACATATCTCTAAGATGTTTTAGAAAAACAGGTGTAAACTTGATCTTATTTCCTAAGACGTCTTGAAAATGGTAATGTAAACTCAACTTAGTTTTTCTAAAAGGTGCCAAAACCTCTTGGAATGCTGTGCGTAGTGTAAATTGGGCTAATATCATAATCATAATTTAGATTTTCAACAATAAGACTGCATAAGACATAGTCATGTGCATTATTAGGAACAATTATGACAATTACGAGAATTTCTAAAATTGGCTGTTGAGATTCGAAAAGAGAAACGTTTTTGAAGTGATCTATTTTGCTTATACTGGTACATGTAATTGGACACCTAAACCAGACCAAGCAGTAATCCAAAGCAATAAATTATAGTAATCATATTCTTGCCATTCAGCTGAAATTCCTGTACTTTGGCGAAAACTCCTGCCTCTGCCAAAACAAAAGTCCTGTCCTTATCCAAACATCCTGCCCTTAGCCGCAATACCTGGCCCAGGTTTAATGTTAGGGAGTGTTGGTTTACTTTCAGATCATACATATACAAGATATACTTGGAGCTCCCACCGTGCATGACTTAAAAGATGTGTATCCTTTATTGCTTCTTGCAGTGTAGCCTAACCAGGTGGGGGAGGAGTCTGGTACTATCTATGACATGTTTAATGTGATAGTACCAGGTGGGGGAGGAGTCTGGCACTATCTATGACAAGGTTAATGTGATAGTATCAGGTGGGGGAGGAGTCTGGTACAATCTATGACATGTTTAATGTGATAGTATCAGGTGGGGGAGGAGTCTGGCACTATCTATGACATGGTTATTAATGTTATAGTATCAGGTGGGAGGGGGTCTCTGGTACAATCTATGACATGGTTAATGTGATAGTATCAGGTGGGGGTGTCTGGTACAATCTATGACATGGTTAATGTTATAGTACCAGGTGGGGGGGGGTCTCTGGTACAATCTATGACATGTTTGATGTGATAGTATCAGGTGGGGATCTCTTGTACAATCTATGACATGGTTAATGTTATAGTATCAGGTGGGGGGAGTCTCTGGTACAATCGATGACATGGTTAATGTGATAGTATCAGGTGGGGGAGGAGTCTGGTACAATCTATGACATGTTTGATGTGATAGTATCAGGTGGGGATCTCTTGTACAATCTATGACATGGTTAATGTTATAGTATCAGGTGGGGGGGTCTCTGGTACAATCTATGACATGGTTAATGTTATAGTATCAGGTGGGGGTCTCTGGTACAATCTATGACATGGTTAATGTGATAGTATCAGGTGGGGGGGGGTCTCTGGTACAATCTATGACATGGTTAATGTTATAGTATCAGATGGGGGGGGGGGGGGTGTTGAGAGCATACACTTGGTGTTTTTTGATAGTCTTGCCTTTTTCATTTATTTCTAAATTAGATAATTTTGAAAAATTCAATAATCAATAATAGCGATTGGAGGTAAGAGATGCTATTCTATTTTGTGTATTTATAAATCATGTAAGATGTAAAGTGAGATGGGGAACTCTTACATTGATGAGGGTGAAACATTTGATGGCTTTCTGCTTCAGAGTGTGTTCACTAAATTGTTCCATATTATTTTATGTTGTTATGTTTTGTTGTACATGTTGTAAAGAATATTGTAATAATGTATGATACTTAGTAGTTAGTTTTTTAAACATTTTTTAGGCTTTGTATGATAATTTGTCTTAAAGTCCAGTTTATCATAGATTTTGCTTTATATTTATTAGATATACTATCGGTGCAAAGTATGTTTATGGGATATTCTTTATCTTTTTTCCTTGATCAAATGCTGAATTAATTTCAATACCATAAAGATACTCTATTAGTAAATTTTGATGTTGTATGCTGTTCTGTTTTTTAGTTGTTTAATATACAGTACTGGCACAGTACAACATAATGAGCCTTGGTAGTTGCCATGTGCAATATCAGCAAGGATGTGATAAAGTTGATGATATAACAGTTAGAAAGCAATAGTTCAGTCTTTCAAATTCTTTACCTGAAAACCTTGCTGATCACCCTTTTGCCTTCTTAAGATATTTCTAAAATTGTTTGTAACATGTTTTAAGTTGAAACAACAATATATCTTCTTGTTTGCTCATATTGTTGAGCAAGGAGTAAGCAGAACAGTTCCTAAATGTTCTCTTATCACCAACATTGAGATTTTTCAGTGTTGGTTCTATAATACATGTATAAGTGAAGATATATTTTAAGATTGTACATTTCTGAAGCTAGCAATCTAATTGTCTCTCTCTGTCTCCGCTATATATGAAGGGCTAGCTGTAATCTGTAAATATATTAGTTGTTCAATAAAATTATCTAACTGATTTAACTGCACGTCATCTTGGTTTCAGATTATTAACATCCAAGATATCATTCGTACGGAGAAGATTGAAGAAATGAAAGATGTGTATCCTTGTTGCCATGGAGTCCATGTGTTGCCATGGAGACGTCTTTTTGTTCTGGAGTGGAAATCATGTTTCATTATCATGAGATTGTGGAGACATTTTCTCGCCATCAAGACCATATTATGTATTATTATTAAATTTTATATTATCACACAATGTTGCAATGAATATGCATATTGTCGAAAAGACCATATGTTGCCATGGAAGTTTTGCTGTCATGGATACAATTTATTGTTATTCATGACTGGATTCTGCAAACCCTGGTGGCAAATCTTTCATTATCTTGGTAATCCATAATCCACCAAGATGGGATAAATATGATACTGGGGTTTGTTTTTGGAACTGTAGTAACTTACAATTTGGTCACAAATCATTCTCAGAATCGTAAGTTATGATCTTACCTGAAACAAACCCTTGAATCACATTCAGTCCTATGTATGCAAGCATTGCTATGTTTTATGCGTGCTCTCTGCATCCCACATTCATGCATTACCAGACATATAATCTCATCATGTACTTAACAGCTTACTCGCTTCATTAAAAGACTAGACTCAGTTTGGAGAATGAAGTTCATCAGTCTATTGCATGTTACGCCTGCTTTGGACAATTTTGATATTTTCACATATTGTAGATTTAAATGTCCTCTTTTGAGGATATTTTTCATAAAAAAATTATTAGCACAGTACACTGATGAACTTCTTTCTCCATATCGAGACCTGTCTTTTATAAGCTCAAATGGTGAGCTATTGTTATCACCCACTTGTCTGTCCGTCTGTCTGTCTGTCAACACATTTGCAACTTATTCAAAATCTTCCACGACAATTGGAATGGTTTCACTTTTAAAATGTGTCTACATAAGGTCGATTGTTCCATAAGTGGCGTATCAAAAGGTTTCCAGCTCCTTTTTGGTTATAACTCCACATGTTTTCCACCGATTTGCTTGAAATTGTACAGGTACCTTAATTTATAGGTTATCAGCTTCTCTTTGGTCATAACTCCATAAATATTCCATTACTTTGCTTGAAATTATGCAGGTACCTTTATTTTTAGATTATCAACAATGTCTATACGATTCGGGAAAATATCGCAAAGATTCAAAATGGCCTCTAACTTATTGCAGAAATTCAGGCTTTTAGCTCTTTTTTCTTCACAAGTATTCCATCAATTTGCTTAAAATTGTACAGGTACCTTAATTTCTAAGTTATCAATAATGTCTACAAGCTTCAACAAAATATGTCTCAAAGATTCAAAATGGCTGCCATTTTGAAAAAGTGTTGTTTTATGAAATTTGCTGTTACTAAAATTGTAGTGAAGCAATTTTGTGAAGAGGACATGTAGGGCTGTTTGATGGGATATATCATGCCTTGGCATTGCTGTTGTCTAGTTCAACCATGGCTGAACACTCACAACCAATCACATTGCACAGTTCTGGTTCTGTTTCTTCAGCACTACTTCTGAGCAATTAATGATTTGTTGTATATTATTACATTGTTCAAATCTGTGATGCAAGTTTCCTATCTTGATTCAAAGATCAATACTCTTATGTCATTCCCATGTAAGGGTGAATTCAGGTCAGCTCAGTGTAAAATCTATTAACACATTTCCTCTGATTGTCATACTTTGTGAAGCAAGTCTAGAATAGTTGATTGCAATGATGATATTGAAATTGTCATTTAATTATATTTCATAATCAACAGTTGCACTCATCCAAATTGTCTTAATGTGAAATGATTTCAGGCCCAATTTGTTATTATCTCCGATTGATGCCATTGACATGTGAACACCTCAGGATTCTCACCAGAAATGATAAGACCCCTCATTTTTCGCGGTATCGTGACTACTCCTCCCCCATGTGAGATCAGAGATATCCTATTAGTGTACTTTCAAAATATTAATTTTCTTCCTATTTTAATCACAAGGTACATATCTAAAAGGTTTCTGACTTTCTATTCCTTGTCTGTATCCAGTTTTATATATTTTTCATGAGTTTAACCACAAATGATGTGACAAAAATGTAACATTCGACTCCGGAGAAAACACTTTAGACTGTAAAGCTATAAGACTTTGGAGCAAGAGGATCTAAAGACATTAGACTCTGGCAAATCGCTGGAGTCTAAAAGCCTAATGAGAACCCTGCACCTGCTACACAGTCAACCTGCAACAGTACCATATGGTACAGTTTTGGTTACAGTACTGTTTGGTTGACTACCTTGGACTAAAACGGTACAGTATGGTACCATGAACAGTGTATAGCACCATACTCAAACGGTGCTGTATGGTACCATGAACAGTGTATAGCACTATACTCAAACGGTACTGTATGGTACCATGAACAGTGTATAGCGCCATACTCAAACGGTACTGTATGGTACCATGAACAGTGTATAGCGCCATACTCAAACGATACTGTATGGTACCATGAACAGCGTATAGCACCATACTCAAATGGTACTGTATGGTACCATGAACAATGTATAGTGCCATACTCAAACGGTACTGTACAGTACCATACTTTTAATGTACCACATGGTACCATGATTTAGAGTGTGGTATGGGGGTGTTATTAAGAACACCTTTGGCTGGTCCTAGTGGTGTTCAGGTTATACAAGTTTTACTGTACAGTACCCTACTTTTAATGTACCACATGGTACCATGATTTAGAGTGTGGTATGGGGGTGTTATTAAGAACACTTTTGGCTGGTCCTAGTGGTGTTCAGGTTATACAGGTTTTACTGTACAGTACCATACTTTTAATGTACCACATGGTACCATGATTTAGAGTGTGGTATGGGGGTGTTATTAAGAACACCTTTGGCTGGTCCTAGTGGTGTTCAGGTTATACAGGTTTTACTGTACAGTACCCTACTTTTAATGTACCACATAGTACCATGATTTAGAGTGTGGTATGGGGGTGTTATTAAGAACACTTTTGGCTGGTCCTAGTGGTGTTCAGGTTATACAAGTTTTACTGTAATTTGGAATTAATATCAATATACCCTTTGTAAAGAATTTGACTTCCTACACCCTATGCAGACAGAGCCTGTGGGAAATATTGGGTGCGGCGCAAATGAGCGGAGGGTGCGGAGCTAACGGTCATTTTTGAATTTAAAATTGGGATATTTCTGAAACTAAGCCGTTTTGGGACTTCAAATATACCAAGATATGTGTATTTGACACCAAATATCAATAAAATTGTGAAAATAGTAGTGCAATTCATTTTATAGCGACGCAGTATGCCTTAAACATTTCCCAGACCTATATATTTTGAGACTATCCTTTTAATACTGCGTCCCCAGCATTCATAAAAAATGGTGTTCAAGATACACTACCCATGCAAATTATTTTTGCATCTTGGAAGCCAGGCAGTATCTGTGTGATTTAATAAAAATTCGGAAATGATCTTCAGATATGAGCCCCTCTAAATATTGGGTGCGGAGCTACGTTTATGGAGCTGCTCCGCACCCAATATTTAGAGGGGCTCATATCTGAAAAACATTTCCGAATTTTTATAAAATCACACAGATACTGCCTGGCTTCCAAGATGCAAAAATAATTTGTATAGATAGTGTACCTTGAACACCATTTTTTATGAATGCTGGGGACTCAGTATTAAAAGGATAATTTCAAAATATATAGGTCTGGGAAAGGTTTAAGGCACACTGCGTCGCTATAGAATGAATTGCGCTACTATTTTCACAATTGTATTGATATTTGGTGTCAAATACACATATCTTGGTATATTTGAAGTCCCAAAACGGCTAAGTTTCAGAAATATCCCAAATTTAAATTCAAAAATAACCGTTAGCTCCGCACCCTCCGCTCATTTGCTCCGCACCCAATATTTCCCACAGGCTCTGTCTGCATAGGGTGTCCTATCTCTATAAATTCTACATAGATCCCTCTGGGGTTAGGGTAATGTTCAGGTTGAATCATAAAACAGATTTACACTGCTCTAAAACAAGTTCTCCTTATTACAGTTCCTAGTATTAATAGGCCTTTTCTAGGGGTTTGTATCATATATGAGATATATTGCCTAATATGGTGCCTGGATAAAGGTGCTAATTATTGAATGACTTGGTGTTGCTTTTATAATTCATATGCAGTGATCTCCCCAGCAGAAGAGCTCGTTTGGAAATGAAAGGTTACATGCTACCTTGTTGACAAATCTATTTGAACAATCTGTTATTTGTGACATATTTTGACCAAAACATATACGATTAGAATTTCACATCATTTAGAGGAAAAAGGGAGAAACATGATATATCATTGATCTCCTTCTAGCATTGAAATAATCAGGTGCTGTACTTTGTGGAAAGGGAATAAGATTAGAGGAAATAGGGAGAAACATGATATATCATTGATCTTCTTCTAGCATTGAAATAATCAGGTGCTGTACTTTGTGGAAAGGGAATAAGATTAGAGGAAATAGGGAGAAACATGATATATCATTGATCTCCTTCTAGCATTGAAATAATCAGGTGCTGTACTTTGTGGAAAGGGAATAAGATTAGAGGAAATAGGGAGAAACATGATATATCATTGATCTTCTTCTAGCATTGAAATAATCAGGTGCTGTACTTTGTGGAAAGGGAATAAGATTAGAGGAAATAGGGAGAAACATGATATATCATTGATCTCCTTCTAGCATTGAAATAATCAGGTGCTGTACTTTGTGGAAAGGGAATAAGATTAGAGGAAATAGGGAGAAACATGATATATCATTGATCTTCTTCTAGCATTGAAATAATCAGGTGCTGTACTTTGTGGAAAGGGAATAAGATTAGAGGAAATAGGGAGAAACATGATATATCATTGATCTTCTTCTAGCATTGAAATAATCAGGTGCTGTACTTTGTGGAAAGGGAATAAGATTAGAGGAAATAGGGAGAAACATGATATATCATTGATCTTCTTCTAGCATTGAAATAATCAGGTGCTGTACTTTGTGGAAAGGGAATAAGATGAGAGGAAATAGGGAGAAACATGATATATCATTGATCTCCTTCTAGCATTGAAATAATCAGGTGCTGCACTTTGTGGAAAGGGAGTAAGATTAGAGGAAATAGGGAGAAACATGATATATCATTGATCTCCTTCTAGCATTGAAATAATCAGGTGCTGTACTTTGTGGAAAGGGAATAAGATTAGAGGAAATAGGGAGAAACATGATATATCATTGATCTCCTTCTAGCATTGAAATAATCAGGTGCTGCACTTTGTGGAAAGGGAATAAGATTAGAGGAAAAAGGGAGAAACATGATATATCATTGATCTCCTCCCAGCATTGAAATAATCAGGTGCTGTACTTTGTGGAAAGGGAATAAGATTAGAGGAAATAGGGAGAAACATGATATATCATTGATCTTCTTCTAGCATTGAAATAATCAGGTGCTATACTTTGTGGAAAGGGAATAAGATTAGAGGAAATAGGGAGAAACATGATATATCATTGATCTTCTTCTAGCATTGAAATAATCAGGTGCTGTACTTTGTGGAAAGGGAATAAGATTAGAGGAAATAGGGAGAAACATGATATATCATTGATCTCCTTCTAGCATTGAAATAATCAGGTGCTGTACTTTGTGGAAAGGTGAATAAGATTAGAGGAAATAGGGAGAAACATGATATATCATTGATCTCCTTCTAGCATTGAAATAATCAGGTGCTATACTTTGTGGAAAGGTGAATAAGATTAGAGGAAATAGGGAGAAACATGATCTATCATTGATCTCCTCCCAGCATTGAAATAATTGGGTGCTGCACCCACTTGAGATTTTTGAAATAGATTGACATACACTTGAAAATGTATTTGCAGTTTGCACCTTCTTGAAACTATTTGCACCCACTTGAAAATATATTTGCACTCACTTGAACATGTATTTGCACCCTTTTGAAGTAAGGTATTTTGTATAAATGGCTTATTCTGACTTAAACTTGGTCTAGCATTTTACAACCATTTGTAAAAATTATTCTGGGAATTTGTTCTCACAGAATTCCTGCATTGATGTAACATTTGTAAGTCGAGGCAGATGACAAGGGCAAAATACTCTGACTCTATAATTGTGCTGCTATATATTTGTAAATGTTTAATAGAACATGAGGCAAATGTCAATGGTTACAAAGCATAACCAATTACTACTATATTAAATAGCATGGAAATGGATTTCAAAATGACATTGAAGTAATCCAATGTGATGAACGTAGCTTCGATCAAAGTATGAATTCTTATTCACGCAATGGTAGATCATATGTTTTCACAGGGCATGGCAGATAATATACATCCATGAACTATACAGGGTGTTCCAAAAGTAACAGGACTAGTGCTGGCATTTTGTCAATTTTGCACTGAGTATCTTCAAATTTTTACAAACTGTACTTTGAAGTATTGCAACTTAAATTATTAAGTTTGAAAAAAAATGATGAAATGCGGTTAGAGTTATGGTTACTATAGTAACATGACATTCCAATACCCGGGGCAACTTTTTTTCCTGAAAATGTGATATCTAACATTTTTGTATTACTGAAGAAAGTATCTAATTCACCTATTATAATACAACATTTCTTGTTTATTTTATTAGTTCCTTTGTTGTAAAGGTGTTGCTATACAACTCAGATTCAAGTATGATTTCATAATGATAATAACATTTATTCAATTTCCTTGAATATCACTATGTATAACAGTCTGAACAATTCCCGGTTGAGTTTTTGAAAAGACCCAATTTGAAGCCAGTCATCTACCTTGATAGCGCGCCTGCCCTTAGGTCGGCATAGACCATGTAGCTATAGAGGAGCTAGGTCTTGAGGTCTAAAACCATGCACCATACTCTTCTGATCATGCAATATCTAATTTTTACTTATATTGAGAACACAATGCTAATCAGTGGGGTAAGATGAGAATGACCTTCTCCAAATTGTCCAATCGACCCTGCGTGACTGTCAGACATGTCCTCAAACGGGTTAACTCATGTGTTTGGGTCATGGATACAGAGTACTACTCTTGTACTGACCAAAGAGGAGCCTATTTTTCAAAGTAGAGGATACATAGGAATATCAAATGATGTAAAACAAATGTAATTCCCACCAGTTGTTGCATTTCAACTTTGACATGTACACAATGACATGGCATGTACAAAATGCTTAATGTCTCTGTAACTTTTTTGCGTGGAATGTTGCCCCGGGTATTGTGATGTCATGTTACTACCACAACCATAACTCTACCCGAGTTTCATATATCTTGTAGAAACCTTGCAGTCTTAGTAACGATACATGAAAGTATATTATGTAAAATTTTAAAAAGGATTGGTGCATATTTAACAAAATGCCAGCACCAGTCTTGTTACTTTTGGAACACCCTGTATACATGCTGTCAACTAAACTCAAATAATGATATCAATTTCTCACACCCATAGTGATCTCTATATGATTTCATTGCTTATCATAATCCACTTTGCCTAAATATTATTTCATTGTTTCAGTTTTATTATTGTTTTGTATTTTATGTTATAATTTTATTCTTTTTTAAGATCTAGGAAATGGAAAATGAACCAAATGTGACTTCTTATGAAGCTCTGAAGTTGTGACAGCCCAGTTATTCCATTGTGACAGCCCAGTAATTTTATTGTGACTTCACAATGATATAATTGTAACAGCTCAGTAATTTTTTTTATTGTGGCAGCCTAGTACTTTTATTGCGACTGCACAATGATATCATTACGGCATCACCAATTAATAAATGACTTAGATTTTTTATTAACAAGAAGAACCAGACATTTGAATGCTAGTCATATTCCATTCTTTTCCAAACTTAATAACCTTGGTCTTAAAGCATTATATATATTAACTTATACATATTGAAAGACAAGAAAAGCCTTAACCGTTCTGCCAGATATATTGTTCAATGTTTGATGGAGACAGACATGTACAAACTTCTAAAGACACAGAAATTAAGTAATGACCATGTGTGCTACTTCCTCTATCAAATCCTAAGAGGACTCAAATACATCCACTCGGCAAATGTACTGCATCGAGACTTAAAGCCAAGCAACCTTCTACTGAACACAACTTGTGATTTAAAGGTAGGCTGAATTATAATATTAGATAATACTGTTTTCTGCCAATTTTGTGTGATGTTATCATATAGATTTTCCACTTATTTTATTCATAGAATTTGTTTTGACTTAATAAGTAAAACATAATACTTGTCTACACCCATAAAGCACAACAAAACATTTGAAATTGATGGACTGTTGAAAGGTGCATTCTCTGCCAAGAGGTGATAGATAGAAAACTGCCTTCAAAAGGCTGTAACAATTGTGTGTGGCATCATTCATGGCCTAATAGCATCATATCTGTAAATCGACATCAACCAACAATTACATACTTTTATAGCTGCCATGTTTTCCCAACAATATATTCCATCTCCTACAGATGTATATTCAAACCTGGCAAATCAGAATACCTCTCAATGTGAACACTTTTTCTTGGTCCTAATCTCCCAATCATTCACATATTAGATAAAAACCTTGAAATGTGAACACTTGCTTATCATTTTCCCAGGTGTGTTTGGATTAGACAAGTTTCATTTTACTGGTATATTCAACTTTTTAGATCTGTGATTTTGGTTTGGCTCGTGTTGCTGACCCGGAGCATGATCACACTGGGTTCCTCACTGAGTATGTCGCCACCAGGTGGTACAGAGCACCTGAGATTATGTTGAATTCAAAGGGCTACAGCAAGTCTATAGATGTTTGGAGTGTAGGCTGTATTCTAGCAGAGATGCTCTCAAACAGACCTTTATTCCCTGGAAAACATTGTATCCTTAACGTAAAAATAAATTGAGTTTTTATCTTAGATTGAGTCGGGAAATGGTCAATATACAGTTCATTTTGTTCTTATAGTAGTTTTATTGTTGAGAAATCACAATTTTGAATTCAGTTTTAAGTAAGAATATTATGTATCTTTAATATTTGTATTGACTACATTGACTACATTTTGCTATGAGTTCCTTAATTCCCACCAAGATCTTGACCAGTTGAACCACATCCTTGGGTCCTTGGGTTCACCCAGCGCAGAGGACCTCAAATGCATCATTAATGACAAGGTGAGTATCAGGTCAGGCTGTAACCAGGGGTGTGGGGGAGGGTGTTGGGGATGTTCTTTTAAAATCATACAGTTTTCACAATTTTGAGTACTTTTCTAGTAATTTTGGATCAAAATTGACAAATTTGAATCCCCCTGGAGTTTTTTAAAAACTGACCCCCACTTGGCAAACAGAGTATAGATTATTTAATTTTTATAATAGATCAATGGACTCATTAGACATGAAATTATTCTGACTACTCTGATTTAGAATTATGTAAAATAACAATTTATAAATGTATAAAATGTTTCAAGATTAGTTCTTCCCCATGATTTAGAATATTGATCCATTTTCATAAAAGACCAAAAAGAAAGAAATTGAACATCACTAAATGCTTGTTTTCTTGTTGGTTAGATAACATGCCAATGATGTCAACGATACTGCATGGGAGTATCTATATAAATAACGCTTTGATGGTGTCAATGATAAATGTCTCCTTGTTGCATTTTTAATTGGTTGGCTTAGATCTTGTTCTGTCTCGAATATTTAATAGGTTTACAACAAAAGTGTTCAATTTTTGACATCATATCATATGGCGACTTGATAGTTGCATTGATGACTTAATACCATATAAGCCAGTAAAGATGGGACTTGGTGAATCGAAAACCACGTGAATTGTACAAACCCAAGCCATAGTATGAACAGCTCCGCCCACATCTATGTAATTTGTCATTGTAACCCTTATGTATATGAAGGCTAGGGGATATCAACAATTATTACCTTTCAAGCCAAAGGTACCATGGGAAACCTCTATTTAACTTGATTGTATTTATACGCTCTTGGATATCTACAATTATAACCCTTCAAGCCAAAGGTACCATGGGAAACCTCTATTTAACTTGATTGTATTTATACGCTCTTGGATATCTACAATTATAACCCTTCAAGCCAAAGGTACCATGGAAAACCTCTATTTAACTTGATTGTATTTATACGCTCTTGGATATCTACAATTATAACCCTTCAAGCCAAAGGTACCATGGAAAACCTCTATTTAACTTGATTGTATTTATACGCTCTTGGATATCTACAATTATAACCCTTCAAGCCAAAGGTACCATGGGAAACCTCTATTTAACTTGATTGTATTTATACGCTCTTGGATATCTACAATTATAACCCTTCAAGCCAAAGGTACCATGGGAAACCTCTATTTAACTTGATTGTATTTATACGCTCTTGGATATCTACAATTATAACCCTTCAAGCCAAAGGTACCATGGGAAACCTCTATTTAACTTGATTGTATTTGTAGGCTAGGGGATAATCTACAATTATTGCCCTTCAAGCCCAAGGTACCATGAAAAAATCTCTGTTAAACTTGATTGTATTTGTAGGCTAGGGGATATCTACAATCATTACCCTTCAAGCCCAAGGTACCATGGAAAAATCTCTGTTAAACTTGATTGTATTTGTAGGCTAGGGGATATCTACAATCATTACCCTTCAAGCCAAAGGTACCATGGAAAACCCACTACCCAAATGCAGATCCCAAAGGTAATGAAATGAAGATGTACTTATGTTCATGAAAATTCTCAAAAAATCCATAAATTTATTAATGGTGGTTTGTGTCAATGTTATCCGCAAAATGTTCAAGATGATACTTTTTGTGTAGATTGTGAACATGTGAAATTACTTGTAAGAGTTGTTCGATATGATAATGCGGGCAAATAAAGGTGTATGGTAAATAATGAAAAAGGGAGCATACTATTGATGTTCAGACTTTCTTATCATATGTTAATTCATCTAACATTTATTTCCCTCTTTAGCGCTGGATCTTCTTGACAAAATGTTGACCTTTGACCCTCACAAACGCATCACAGTAGAACAAGCACTTGAGCATCCATATTTGGAACAATACTTTGATCCACAGGATGAGGCAAGTATCAAACTATGTTATCATGTGTGTTCCCCACATTTTATTTAAACCATATCCAGTAAGAATTAAATGTATGTTGAGCAATGCCTGCCATGCACCAACTTTAGTTCCTGGCTTTGCCCCTTTGAAAGGGACATTGAACCTGTAGGGGCCTCATGTTTAAGTTAGAATTCAATATGTGTTTACACGGCATCCAGGCCTTGTAGTGTCTCATAAAATGTACTGCCGTAACTAGAGGCCTATATGCATTTAGCCCCCAAGGTTCTAACTTGTACATATACTGTTGGCTATGCTGCAATATTAATTTTAACTTTAACAATTAACTTTCCTTTTCTTTTCCAGCCAGTTGCAGAACAACCATTTACTTTCGAGACGGAGCTAGATGATCTTCCCAAAGAGAGGCTTAAGGAACTAATCTATGAGGAGACTGTTCGAATTAAGCAAATGCAAGCTGATGGGCAGCTATAGACTTGTTCACATGTGTAAGTCAACTGTTCAAATTAAGCAAATGCAAGCTGATGGTTAGCTATAGACTTGTTCACATGTGTAAGTCAATTGTTCAAATTAAGCAAATGCAAGCTGATGGTTAGCTATAGACTTGTTCACATGTGTAAGTCAATTGTTCAAATTAAGCAAATGCAAGCTGATGGTTAGCTTTAGACTTGTTCACATGTGTAAGTCAATTGTTCAAATTAAGCAAATGCAAGCTGATGGGCAGCTATAGACTTGTTCACATGTGTAAGTCAATTGTTCAAATTAAGCAAATGAAAGCTGATGGTTAGCTATAGACTTGTTCACATGTGTGAGTCAATTGTTCAAATTAAGCAAATGCAAACTGATGGTTAGCTATAGACTTGTTCACATGTGTAAGTCAACTGTTCAAATTAAGCAAATGCAAGCTGATGGTTAGCTATAGACTTGTTCACATGTGTAAGTCAATTGTTCAAATTAAGCAAATGCAAGCTGATGGTTAGCTATAGACTTGTTCACATGTGTAAGTCAATTGTTCAAATTAAGCAAATGCAAACTGATGGTTAGCTATAGACTTGTTCACATGTGTAAGTCAATTGTTCAAATTAAGCAAATGCAAGCTGATGGTTAGCTATAGACTTGTTCACATGTGTAAGTCAACTGTTCAAATTAAGTAAATGCAAGCTGATGGTTAGCTATAGACTTGTTCACATGTGTGAGTCAATTGTTCTAAGCTGATGGTTAGCTTTAGACTTGTTCACATGTGTAAGTCAATTGTTCAAATTAAGCAAATGCAAGCTGATGGTTAGCTATAGACTTGTTCACATGTGTAAGTCAACTGTTCAAATTAAGCAAATGCAAGCTGATGGTTAGCTATAGACTTGTTCACATGTGTGAGTCAATTGTTCAAATTAAGCAAATGCAAACTGATGGTTAGCTATAGACTTGTTCACATGTGTAAGTCAACTGTTCAAATTAAGCAAATGCAAGCTGATGGTTAGCTATAGACTTGTTCACATGTGTAAGTCAATTGTTCAAATTAAGCAAATGCAAGCTGATGGTTAGCTATAGACTTGTTCACATGTGTAAGTCAATTGTTCAAATTAAGCAAATGCAAACTGATGGTTAGCTATAGACTTGTTCACATGTGTAAGTCAATTGTTCAAATTAAGCAAATGCAAGCTGATGGTTAGCTATAGACTTGTTCACATGTGTAAGTCAACTGTTCAAATTAAGTAAATGCAAGCTGATGGTTAGCTATAGACTTGTTCACATGTGTAAGTCAATTGTTCAAATTAAGCAAATGCAAGCTGATGGTTAGCTATAGACTTGTTCACATGTGTAAGTCAATTGTCCAAATTAAGCAAATGCAAGCTGATGGTTAGCTATAGACTTGTTCACATGTGTGAGTCAATTGTTCAAATTAAGCAAATGCAAACTGATGGTTAGCTACAGACTTGTTCACATGTGTAAGTCAATTGTTCAAATTAAGCAAATGCAAGCTGATGGTTAGCTATAGACTTGTTCACATGTGTAAGTCAACTGTTCAAATTAAGCAAATGCAAGCTGATGGTTAGCTATAGACTTGTTCACATGTGTGAGTCAATTGTTCAAATTAAGCAAATGCAAACTGATGGTTAGCTATAGACTTGTTCACATGTGTAAGTCAACTGTTCAAATTAAGCAAATGCAAGCTGATGGTTAGCTATAGACTTGTTCACATGTGTAAGTCAATTGTTCAAATTAAGCAAATGCAAGCTGATGGTTAGCTATAGACTTGTTCACATGTGTAAGTCAACTGTTCAAATTAAGCAAATGCAAGCTGATGGTTAGCTATAGACTTGTTCACATGTGTAAGTCAATTGTTCAAATTAAGCAAATGCAAGCTGATGGTTAGCTATAGACTTGTTCACATGTGTAAGTCAACTGTTCAAATTAAGTAAATGCAAGCTGATGGTTAGCTATAGACTTGTTCACATGTGTAAGTCAATTGTTCAAATTAAGCAAATGCAAGCTGATGGTTAGCTATAGACTTGTTCACATGTGTAAGTCAATTGTCCAAATTAAGCAAATGCAAGCTGATGGTTAGCTATAGACTTGTTCACAAGTGTGAGTCAATTGTTCAAATTAAGCAAATGCAAACTGATGGTTAGCTATAGACTTGTTCACATGTGTAAGTCAATTGTTCAAATTAAGCAAATGCAAGCTGATGGTTAGCTATAGACTTGTTCACATGTGTAAGTCAATTGTTCAAATTAAGCAAATGCAAGCTGATGGTTAGCTATAGACTTGTTCACATGTGTAAGTCAATTGTTCAAATTAAGCAAATGCAAGCTGATGGTTAGCTATAGACTTGTTCACATGTGTAAGTCAATTGTTCAAATTAAGCAAATGCAAAGTGATGATAAGCTATAGACTTGTTCACATGTGTAAGTCAACTGTTCAAATTAAGCAAATGCAAGCTGATGGTTAGCTATAGACTTGTTCACATGTGTAAGTCAATTGTTCAAATTAAGCAAATGCAAGCTGATGGTTAGCTATAGACTTGTTCACATGTGTAAGTCAATTGTTCAAATTAAGCAAATGCAAACTGATGGTTAGCTATAGACTTGTTCACATGTGTAAGTCAATTGTTCAAATTAAGCAAATGCAAGCTGATGGTTAGCTATAGACTTGTTCACATGTGTAAGTCAACTATTCAAATTAAGCAAATGCAAGCTGATGGTTAGCTATAGACTTGTTCACATGTGTAAGTCAACTGTTCAAATTAAGCAAATGCAAGCTGATGGTTAGCTATAGACTTGTCCACATGTGTAAGTCAATTGTCCAAATTAAGCAAATGCAAGCTGATGGTTAGCTATAGACTTGTTCACATGTGTAAGTCAATTGTTCAAATTAAGCAAATGCAAGTTGATGGTTAGCTATAGACTTATTCACATGTGTAATTCAATTGTTCAAATTAAGCAAATGCAAGCTGATGGTTAGCTATAGACTTGTTCACATGTGTGAGTCAATTGTTCAAATTAAGCAAATGCAAACTGATGGTTAGCTATAGACTTGTTCACATGTGTAAGTCAACTGTTCAAATTAAGCAAATGCAAGCTGATGGTTAGCTATAGACTTGTTCACATGTGTAAGTCAATTGTTCAAATTAAGCAAATGCAAGCTGATGGTTAGCTATAGACTTGTTCACATGTGTAAGTCAATTGTTCAAATTAAGCAAATGCAAGCTGATGGTTAGCTATAGACTTGTTCACATGTGTAAATCAATTGTTCAAATTAAGCAAATGCAAGCTGATGGTTAGCTATAGCCTTGTTCATATATGTAAGCCAAAAATTCAAGTTACAAAGCCTGAACTTGTAAAAGTTATCCTACGGGAAATCAACAAGCGGAGTATATCGTCACAATATATTCCGCATTTTGGGTTTTCCGGAGGATATCGTTACGATATCCTCCGCCCGGAGTATATCGTTACGATATCCTCCGGATATTCATTTTGCCAATAAATATCAAATTTATTTTTTAATGTTATTATACATTTAGTACACTAAGTGTAGGATAATACTCTTTATGTAATGATATGTTACTTCTGCAATATTACTTTTGGTTATCTTTTTGCAGGTTTTAATATTGGTATTCTCTATTTCCAGACCAATTTAGAATTCCTTTTACAATCTCGCTTCTACATGTACCTGGAAACATTGGGGGTGGGGTGTACCAATAAACCCTGATACACCCCCTCAACAGTTGGCCAGATCAGATCCAAGATTAATGCCTACCGATGGAACACCCCGTTGTGATGTGGAGTGAGGATTGTACCAGAACTAAATGGATTTCACAAGACCTGATGACCCCCGAACAGAGGGGTTGAGATCCAAGGATAGCTGGTACTTCCTCTCTAAACCAGTGCAGCAGTGTCAGTCTCGTAGATTTTATATATACCTGTACAAAGGCATGATCATGAAATTATATATAAACTTTAGAGATACTATTATATACAAATATATAAATATATATATATATTATATACATATACATACAGTATATGCATACTTATGAGTTAGAATGCCATTCTGGTCAAGTTATCTAGAGAGTAAAAGAGATAAAATAGCAAGGACGTTCTTATATGTGTGGACTGCAAAGGAAGTTCTAATATATTTGGACTGCAAAGGAAGTTCTAATATATTTGGACTGCAAAGGAAGTTCTAATATATTTGGACTGCAAAGGAAGTTCTAATACATTTGGACTGCAAAGGAAGTTCTAATATATTTGGACTGCAAAGGAAGTTCTAATATATTTGGACTGCATGGAAAGGAATCTGATATATTCAGACTGCAAGGGAAGTTCTGACATATTCACAAATAATCTTTCATGGGCTTTTCTATTGTAAGCCCATGATTTAATTCACACAGTGGAAATGATGTTTGACCAGAGTTACATTGTGAGCATGTAGGAGTAGATTGTCTGCTTGAAAACTGTCAGATTACATGCTTGTTGCCAAGGCACTTAAATTGAAATTATAGTATTTAAGTTTCATTACTTATCGGCAAAATTTGTTCCAATTAGCATATATGCATTGTACTTCATCTTTGATGTTTGAATGCAGAAGAACCCTTTTTGAAATCTTCGGATGGCGTTGGAAGCATGCACACAGTTTCGCTTTGTTTGCTTATCCATTCGCCAAAATTGACAACTTTATCCAATTAGTGTTTCATGGATTTGTCTTTCTGTGAGGACGCCTTCTGCAGTAATGGAAGTTGAAATAACTTGAATATCTACTTAGAATTTCATTCTTAAATTTACAGCCTCATTCTGAAATGTAGCCTCATTCTGAATTAGTTATTAATCATGATTTTGTGCCATGTCTTGTTGAAGTGAAACAATTTAGACTCTATTTATCTTGTATAAAAACAGCTTCATTTTGTTTATTTACTCTTACCATTGAACCCTCATGAAGATACACTTTGTGTATATGTTAAACATAAATATACAGTTCATTTTAGCCTAGAATTTCCTGACAAAACACAGCATAGTGTAGAAATAGGTATAAGTGCAGTAGGTCTAGTACTAATTAACTCATAACCTGGATGTGCAATGGGACGCTACCTTTAAGTTTGCCAATGCTCATTGGAATTTCATTATGGATTATGTCTTAATTTGTTATTATAATTCAAGTGTCCATCTGCTTTGCTAATCTCATATTTAAGTTGAAGTGAAATCATTTACTGGTACTGTAATTATTTTGGTAATTATGAAAATGAGGAATAGAGAGTCATTATTCAATCTACTGCTTGGTAGTGGAGTGAGTTTTTCTTTAAAGTAATAGTTATACTTGTGATACACACAACACATGTAGACCAGGAAACACTTTATATTCATTGTAAATCAATATTATGTCAAATGATTGTTGTGGATATCACGTGTAAAAAGCACCTAAAATCACATACATTGAGTACATCATATACATGTATTTATTATTTGTATCTTAAAATTCATAAAAACTGATGAATGTAAACTTTGATTTTGCTCCAGTTTCACAATTTTATTATTATGTGAAAGCGGACCAGTCTAGTAGCATATCAAACACAGCACAGTTAACTCTGTTCTAGATTATTGTGATAAGATAGTTAACCAATGAAGTGTTCATGATTGAAATTGGCTTTATATGACATCACAGGTTTTATATGACATCACAAAGTGTAAAACAATGGTCACATGTAACACTTGAGCCATTCAAATAGGAAAGGGATTAAAGTTGTATGGGTCATCAACTGGCAGAGATCATATGCCAATCACAGTCATTGTTAAACAATACACAGAGGGGCTCAGTTTCACATACCATCGGGAAACCATGATTTTGAAATTTCTCTCTCTGAACATGTCTCATGAAATCTGCAGCCATGCACCCTTATTCTGGGATGGAGGTAGCTCATGTTTAGTCACCCTCAATCATGGATGGGGGGTAGCTCATGTTTAGCCACCTTCACTCGAGATAAAGGTAGCTCATGTTTAGTCACCCTCAATCATGGATGGGGGGTAGCTCATGTTTAGCCACCTTCACTCGAGATAAAGGTAGCTCATGTTTACCCACCCTCAATCATGGATGGGGGGTAGCTCATGTTTAGCCACCTTCACTCGAGATAAAGGTAGCTCATGTTTACCCACCCTCAATCATGGATGGGGGGTAGCTATGTTTAGCCACCTTCACTTGAGATAAAGGTAGCTCATGTTTAGTCACCCTCAATCATGGATGGGGGGTAGCTCATGTTTAGCCACCCTCACTCCGGTATGAGGGTATTCCTTTTGACTTAATTTAATGGGTGAAAGGGGATCTGGGAACATCCATGTGACTTGTAGCTCATGTAAAGCCTCCGTTATAACAAATATTTGATTTTTAAAATAAGATATATGTTGATACCATCATGTATATTGTAAGAATTGTATAGAATATCTTTACATCTCTTTATTTAATCAGCCCATCTAGAAAATGTGGCAATCTCTTACTTTGCTTTCAATTAGGTAAAACCTTAAAATAGCTGTTTCAGAATTGTGGATAATTTGCCTGTTTGCAGATATAAATCTGATATGGACTTATTACCAAGCTCTCAAAGGACAACTCTGATGTTCATGCTTTCACCCCTGGTGGGGCTGACTCTTCCCATGAAGAGCCTTTGGATGGGTTTATTTGATATAGATAAAGGGGTGTAAGGACAAAATTGTAATAAAGTGTATTTTGGTAGATTTTGTATTATAATGCTAAGAATGTGCAGCGTCTGCGATGCTATGTAAGATAATATATGAAGCAAAGCTTTAGGTAAAAATATATGAAATGTAACACATATTTAATAATTATCTTGTTTTTATATTTCATTCAAGAGCTTTGACTGTTTGATCAACAATCTTATATGTGGATATAATCATGTGTGTTTCTGTTCTAATATTTAAACTTTAGAATTAATTTTCTATATGGTTAATCAATCTACACACGTTAAATCTGGTTGATGTCTACACTATTATTTTGCCATCTTATATGTCATTCACCAAAATTCTTCATGTAATCAATTTTTGGAATATGAAAGGATAATGCTCTCACTTTTGATAATGGACAAGTTCATATCTGATAAACATTACAATAATGAGGATGAGGAAATGCAGGTTTCTTCAAAATATCATCTTTTATGAAATCAATTATCCCTCCATACTTAGTAGTGTTATAGTTAAAGGCCCACTTTGGGAATTTTCAACATTTTTGCAAAATAGACTTACATTTAAATTTCATTGTATGTCCAATGTATTGATGAAACCCTTATCTTTCATTGGACACCAACAACAGCTCTTTGTTTAACATGTGCATGCATGTCTAATGATCTCTGAACTTCAAATGCTTTTTTCTATGTGAGTTATTTTTTTCTTGGTCCAATATTAAAGCAAAACAAACTTTGTGTCATATTTGAGCGAGTGTGTGAGTAACATGTTTCAATGAATTTTTTTCTTCTAAATTAAGTATAGTGTTCCTTTAAATAACATGCAGGAATATAATCAAAATCTGAGGTGAGATAAATATTTATCACATGCTCTGTAAAATTCCAGTAATCTGATTGGTTGATTACCGTGTGAGTTTTCCCGTCTCACACGGCCGTCTCACACGTTACTAGAGGCAACCAGTGATGATCAATAGCAACGATGTGACGTCACTGATTATATCACTTCTAGCTAAGGAAAACAATATGACGTCATACTATTTCACAAACAAGTACGAATACAACGGTATGACGTCATATTGTTTCAAAGCGAAATCAAAAATTAAAATAATAGTTACCAGAAGTACTGAACACAATCATAACTGACCAAATCAAAATGCTTCAAAATTCCTAGACATGTGATAAAATCGTCATCACACGTTTCAGCTTATGTGATACAGGAAATATTCCACTCGGGTAACAATGTATCACCACTCAAGCTTCGCTTTCGTGGATGATACAGTATTACCTTTCGTGGAATATTTCCTGTATCACATGCTGAAACGTGTGATAACTGATAATATCACCCGCTCATCAACAATCCCTGGGAATTTCTTTCTGTGCTCTTTTGAATTTCCATGATATACTTTGGCTCTATTTGATAAATATTAACTTCATACACTGTTAAATGTTAAAAACTGTTGAGTTTTAAAAAACAAAAATTGTTGAGAACTTTAAATTAAAATAAAATATTCATGTTTTGATTGTAATTATCATTTGAATTACTACATAAGGGTTCCCTAACATTCAATGCATACAGGGTGTTAAAAAAACGCAACCCAAAGAAATTGCTATATCTTGAAAAATACTGGTTCAATTATGTTAATATTTTCAGGAAATAAAGAAGAGACTGTATAGCTCCTGTAAATGGTTAGTTGTAAAACATGATGCCTTGGACACCTGCTCAAAAGACAGTTGTAATAGGAAAATATGAAAAACGCAGTCAAGGGTGACTGCAACCGCAAGTTTGGCATAAACCATCTTCATTCACTGTATGGTAAATCTGTAAAGTGAAATCAAAATCACTTCAGGGACTTCACTGTCATGGTTGAAATACTTTCAAATCGCAGTCAAACACCCTGGTTCAGGGAGACTTAAGAAGGCATTTTGACCATGACCGTAAAGTCTCTGGAGTGATTTTGATGAAACTCCTCAAATTTACCACACATTGAATAAGGATAATTTGTGCCAAATCTGAAGTGCCAAAACAGCATGGTTAGAAAGTTATTTGGTTTTATTGCTGTGGCAGTCACCTCTGAATGTGTTTTCATATTCTCCTAGTACAACTGTCATTTGAGCAGGTGTCCAAGGCATCATGTTTTATAACTTACTGACAACAGGAGCTATACATACACAGTCTCTTCTTTCTTTTCTTGAAAAAATGAACATAATTACTCAGATGCGAGTAGGTAGTTACCAGTTTCGCCACCAGGTGGCTGATTCGGGGGAATTAACATGGCAGGGTATTACAAAATTCCCTTAAACTTGAATATTCATCAGTTTTAGTGGTTCACTTTTCCTATTACCTTTATGTATCTGATAGTTATACAAATTAAAATATGTCCAGTAAAAGAAAATATTATCTACCCAACACAAGAAAAGATACTTCACATTTTCAAAGAAATCTAAATTTTCAAAAGTTGATAAACTCTTTTCAAAACCACCTTTCTTAGAGTGTAATTTTACATGTAGATTCCAAATATTGAAGTGAATTGTTAATGACGTAAATCAAGATTATTTCTACTTGCATCTGGGATATTGAATTAGTATTTTCCAAGGTATAGTGATTTTCCATTCGCGTTTTTCGTATTTTGCTAGTACAACTGTCTTTTGAGCAAGTGTCCAAGACATCATGTTTTACAACTAACTAACAACGGGGGCTATACATGCACAGTCTCTTCTTTCTTTCCTGAAAATATGAACATAATTGGATTAGTATTTTCCAAGATATAGCGATTTCTTTGGGTTGCGTTTTTTAACTAATTAAATGGCACTTTATTACCAACCAAGGTAAATGTTGAATGACTCAGATGCGAGTAGGTAGTTACCAGTTTCACCACTAGGTGGCTCGTTCGGATCAGATAGCATGACAGGTATAGGAGAAAGATTCCCTTAACCTAATATTCATCTGTTTTAGCGGTTCAATTTTCATATCACCCTTATGTATCTAATAGTTATGCAAATTAAAATATGTCCAGTTAAAGAAAATATTATCTGTCCATTACAAGAAAAGATTTTTAACTTTTTGTGATTTTATAACATGGGCTCTATGGGGAATCTCCCCGAACTAGAAATTACATTTTCAAAAAAACTAAATTTTCAAAGTTGATAAACAATATCTGTAACCATATTTCTAGATGTATTTTTACTTGTAGATTTCAAATATGATATCACTTTGACTGAATTCTGAATATTTAATGGCGTAAATCAAGATTATATCTACTCGCATCTAGTCTATTTGAAATAGGACACTATATGTGTCAGCAATCCAGCATGCATGTTTGTACAAACAACAGCAAACTAACATAAAACATGAACTTTTCATAAATTCAAGTATAATTCTCATTTATTGTTTGTGGACAACTTCTTACATCCCATAATTTTATTAAATCTGGCTTCATACTTCCACCACAATTACATTATTTCTAAATAATCTACAATAGCCACTTAATCCAAAGCCTTTAAGTTGAGTTCTGTCATCTATGTTGAAATTTCTAATAAATATATTCCAGTCCCCATAAATAAATATGAATAACATAAAATAGAACATTTAATGTCTCTTATTCAGTTCACTAACAATGGCTAATACACTGATTAGGTGTATAAAAGGTATACTGAAATCCAAAATCCAAATAGGAATATTTACACAAGTGAAATCTTAGGTTAGTTTCAGTAATTTAGGGATTCTCTAAAATAGACTGAAAATTGGCTAATTTTAAATTTAGATACTTTTTTCTATCTGCCAAAATAAAACGGGAGTCAAATGTAAGTGTACCTATGACAGTGCAAAAAAGCATTTCCAAAATTCGCAAAAAGCGCACATAAAAATTACTGATAGTACAGTAGACCATTAATAGGGTAGAATATGTGTAAAGAAAGGAATATTACAATGCTTCCTCAGTCCAGCAATGGTACATGGGAATATAACAGCATTTGCAGATTTACTCTATTCTTTAAGTCAACTCACTAAATAAATCATGTTCATTACAATACAATGAAATAAAAAATAAATATGACATATGAACCAATTGAATATTGGAAAATATATACAGAATACACATGTACTCTCCTATAAATTTATTTTATAAACAAAACAAAAACCTTTGAGTCTGCAACATTATTCACAAGATATGTGTCTAAACCTTTATGGGGTTCTCAGCAGAAACAAGTGAAAAATAAATTCCTGTTTCAAATTTTACCATGCTTATGCACTATTGTATCTGAGAAAAATATAATTTGTGCTTTCAGGAAACTTATATATGATTCTCCTAATAATTGGCAATGGCTTTACCCTATGCCCAGTAGAGTTTTTAGGGGGATAAGTTGGTAAGATATATCCTGTATCCTGATTTTCAGGTTTCCATATCTAGAACCTCCATATCTCCCACTCACAGGCATATCTTCTCACTTCTTGCAATTGAAAAAAAATTAGAATTTAGAAAACTCGGTAGAGGATAAAGTAGTTATGTTTGGTTTGGAAATGGTGTTTATCCCTAGGGAGATACACATATCTACCTTTGATCCCTACAGTTTCTCAGGTAGTCTACAAATCTCCCTCTGGATAAACCGGGCATATCCAAAACCTCCCAGTACATAACCCTTACATACATTGTCAAGCACTGCATTGTGACATCACAAAAACTCACCAAACAACGCATGATAGAAATAGTATGTATACAACATTCACATTAGTGGCACCATACATGATATATTGAGCAGTTACTACAACAAAGCCGCATGGGAGGGGCTAATACATTACTCTTGCACAGGTACAGTAAAGTACCAGTAAGGTATCATATTGTTCAGGTATAATAGTCTATCATACATGTACTTGTACAATGCAGCACAGATAGTTCCATATTGAACACGTATTATAATACATGTGTAGTATAGGTATAGTACAGTTCTATACAGTACAGGTGCTGTACCACTACAGGCACATTATAGTACAAATACAGGAACAAAATCAGAGAACATTAGTACCATACATGTACATGTGTAGTATAGGTATAGTACATTCAACTTGACCCACATATTCACAATGTCAAAAAATTACATTTTTACAATATTTTTACACTTTTATACATTTACAACTCCTATAGTTTAAATTTCTGATATAAACATTTTGATACATTAATAATTTGTATTGAAAAATACAAAAGCTCATTTACAAAGTCTGAAAGTTGTATTTAACATGATATGGTGACACTATTAAAAAATGATACCATAATTGATATGATGAAATGTTGCTTGAATATTACATATGGTACATTTAACATAATACAGAGTAACTCCATATTTGGGTAATGATCTGTGAAATGTACAAAGGTTTTTCTGTACATGTGATTAATGAATATATACATATAAAGACTACCATTTATTTTACAGGGTTATGCTATGTAAGCATTTAATCAATGCAATATATACACTCACATTCACAAAAATACAAGGCTGAGTACAATATTTTGTATATACCGTAACCTAAATATGACTTTATAAAATTGTTCATTTTTTCTGCTTACTCATTTTACATTTCCAAGATAATTGCATCTAATATCAATTTTCCATGTTCCCAATTGGATTGGTAATCTGAGCACTGAAAAGGTAACCTGACAATTGTGTTGCCACCTAGCTATTGCCTTGGTGACCTAATAATCCCTTGATATTTAGAAGTTGCCTTGGTAACCTGGGAGTTTATTTAGATAAAATAAATCTAGTGAAATGAACATGAGAAAAGATATTAATCAATAGTCACAGGTGTTGAATATATTTGAGCATAATTATAAATTGTAATTAATGTTTTAATGATATCATGTCATACATACATACACACAAGTATCAAGCAGGGAGCCAAGCCAAGCGGAGATTGCATAACATTATGACAATTTATTGAGAAAAAGGTTTTGAATGACTACTGTTCCAACATCATTTCCTCAAGGCTGATTAGAGATAACTCATTAATTGGACAACTCTTATTATCCAAACACACCCAACCGTGGTAGCATATCACCATGGTGGTACAACACCTGAAAGTGGAATTCTGTAAAATTGTTATTCTATCTGTTTAATACATAGTATATAAATCCAATGAATCTCGTACTTCATCTTTCATTCTACAGGCACGATCATTAGAAGCAACCATTAGACTATAGGGGGCACTAAAATGTGTATTCATATAAAAACACACACTGAAGACTACATCCTGGCATTTATCACCTTGTAGTGTTCTGGAGACTAAATGTAGATCTCTGTTTAGTTGTACATTTACCATGAACTTGTAAATTTACTGAGGACTTGTACTGTTCTTAAACTGTTTTTGTATGGAGTGCAATTGGTGCATTTGGAGTGTCATTGTACACTTATTCTGCATTTGGAGCCATTATGCACATCTAGGCTTGGATGGTTCCTCATTAAAATGTTTCTTGATCATCACAGTTCTCAGTTGTATGTCCAAACACTGAAAATAATTGATTCATCATTATCAGATATTATATGTAAAGTCAGCACTTCATAATAACATGATACAGTAAAACATATAAATCCGAACACCTCTCTGTATACGCCCTTTCACTCCCAATTTTGTAATCTCTATTAAAAGTTTGAAAGACAACAATATATAGCACTTTTTAAGTTCGATAAAAAGGAGATTTACCTTCACATATGTCACAATAGTCACGCTTCTCTGTTCTATCACCATGGTAATGGGAAGCATCGGGGCTCTCATCATCCATGGCTTGTTGGGGACAGTCATCCGTGTCATGTAGATCAAACACATCACAGATGTCACAGAAGAGTCTTGGTGCAGGCTGCCTTGGACTAACACTACAACCCACAGTAAATTGTATTGAATATTATCAAATAGAGGGGACGTATAGGAACTTGGTCAAGATATAGCCTAGAAAAGGCATTTAGAATGAATGTTGGTAGTTAATAGCTCATAATTACTGTACTCCGGGTATTGGTTGCATGCGTTTTAATTTCACTATGTTTGCAAAAATCGTAAACATTTATGGTCGCGAAATGTGTCTTTTAAATCCCTGGGGATTTGTTGAATTATTATTTACCGGGACTTTAATATAATATATATATTTATATATATATTTTGTTCAGTGTAAAATGTTTGGTCTAGTGTTGTTGGGCGATAATTTAAAAAGGGCCTGAAATGTCTAATGTTTTGAGTTGACTTATGAGGCCATAACTGAAATCTGTAAAATTTAAAAGCTGCAAAATTGCGATTTTTAAAAATTGCAAAATTTTATAGCGTCAAAATTTACTAGGGGTACAGTATGTCATTATCTCTGAGGTAACATAAAAGCTGAGAACTGATTGGAATTTAACCGTTTATCAATATTCTTTAAAAAATATATTCGTAGATGATTAGAGGTTGCAATTGTCTAAATCTATATTGTCTTGAAACATAAAATAAAACCACCAGACTTACTCATTGAAAGACGTGTCATCTCCATTGACAACCCCTGATTCCATTGCCTCGAGTCTCACTTGTAGCTCCTCATTTTTACGTTGAATATCCACAATTACTGAGTTGAGGAAGTCGACCTGTCCTTGCAGTCCATCTTTCTCTTCTTGTAGCTTCACCATGGCTGAATCTCCTAGAAGTTCCAAATTCAAAATGTCATTTTGTTAAGCATGGCAGTTATGCACCATTCAAATGTTTGCAAGAGGTACCTGCATGTAGGGATAGTATTTTCCTTAGGAGTGATATTTTCACATGGTACTTCATCACATAGAGTAGGGACTTATTGGACTATTTGCATTGATCATATGTTATTGCTCCCAGGGCAAGGATTATTTGACAACCTAATCATTATTTTGTCAAAATCCTCATCCTTTTCCACATTTGGGTCTCACTGAGATGTTGGTACTCCTTGATGTGTGGTAAGATTATTGTTTGCCTTATTCCAATGCTGACATTTATTGAATCTAGCTGGTTTATGAGTAAGAACATTGGACTTATCATCTGACACAAACCTGTATTAAATGGGCCATTTATAGTTCCTTTACTTTTACATTTTGTCTTATGAACATATACTGTTCAGTCACCTACCTTTACTAAGTGTATCTGCAGTGTTGGTTATAACATCAGGAGTGACTGAAACAAGGTTAGCATTTTGTTTGTTGCTCTCATTGGTCTCAGCCAAAGCTTCAGCCTCTGCCAGTTGGAACTCCAGATCCTCAACCTTCTGCTCCAAAGACTGTTTGTCCAACTCCAGGTTCTGAATAGCATCTTTCCAGCTCTTTGATAGTGATACCTCACCTTGGAGGGCAACAACCTACAATTCCAATTTTAACAGTGGCATATCCATGATGCAAAACAAGTAAAGCAAACTTAAGCCAAATAGGATATTATATTAACTATATATGGGATATACTTTTCAAAGTTTCAGCATATCTTTTCAGGAACATGTTTTTAATATTGTTTTTCAGTAGAGATCATGGAAAGAAGTCACAGACCTTTGCCTGGCCTAGCAAAGGTTTTCTAAGATTGAAAGTCCATGCCAAAAAGTGACTCCTTGATAACTTGCTATACCTCATTTTTCATTTTATCCAACAGAGCATCTTTCTCCTTCATGAGAACACTGGTTGTCTCTAAGTTGTTTTCAAGCACCTTTTTCTCCCCTTCATAGTCCTCCCTGAGTTTAGTAGTCCTAAACAGAAACAGCATTTTTATAATAATGTTTTCAATGTCTGTTTCCTCCCTGAGTTTAGTAGTCCTAAACAGAAACAGTATTTTTATAATAATGTTTTCAATGTCCGTTTCCTCCCTGAGTTTAGTAGTCCTAAACAGAAACAGTATTTTTATAATAATGTTTTCAATGTCCGTTTCCTCCCTGAGTTTAGTAGTCCTGAACAGAAAATAGTATTTTTATAATAATGTTTTCAATGTCCGTTTCCTCCCTGAGTTTAGTAGTCCTAAACAGAAACAGTATTTTTATAATAATGTTTTCAATGTCCGTTTCCTCCCTGAGTTTAGAGTCCCGAGCAGATAAAAATGTTTTAATAATAATGTTTTCAATGTCCGTTTCCTCTCGAGTTTGGTAGTCCTGAACAGAAAAAATATTTTTATAATTATGTTTTCGATGCCTGTTTCCTCTCTTAGGGTCCTGAGCAGATAAAAATATTTTTATAATAATGTTTTTAATATCTATTTCCTCCCAGAGTTTAGTGGTCCTCAGGGCCAAATGAAAGCATTTGAGCCTAGAGTTATATAATAAATCATATAATACACAAGTTAGTTGTCCTTGACACCTACCTAGCCTTAACCCAGCTAGTTCGATGATAACATTTGAACATACCATTGAGACTCTAAACATAAGCCACAATTAACAATTATGGCTCTGTTGCATTTCTTCAAAAGTTTATCAGTTCTAAAAATCATTCTAAAAACAATACAGCTTTAAAACATCTTATGATCAGTTCAGAAGGCTTAGCCTTTATATTATACATTCAATATTCTTCTCATCAGGTTAATTTACATGAAGGCTCGTGATAAAATCCATGATATATGTGGACATTTAAGACCATTAAGAGGTAAAAACCTGACAAAACATTTACCGGGACAAATGTTTCAGAGGAATATTATAGTTATTTATATAATTCAACAATCCATACATAGAAAAATGTAAAAACTTGTTAGTCCAAAGTTCCAGCTAGATAATCTGAATATTTGTGTTTGCCAAACCAGAGTGGAGTTGCAGAGATATCATATTCTGCCAGATCTGCCAGAATATAGTTTAATTAACAAGATGTACATGTACAGTAAATATATTATGAACATTCAATAAACTGTACACCACAACACCTACATGCAAAAGCAAATACTACTTGACTAAGCTTCCAATGCGAACAAGAATCTGCATGCTACTAGTTTATATAAATAATACTGCTGCAATTATGGCTTCAAACAATATTGAAAGCCTCTCACAAAATGTAATAATTATGACATTGCTAGTGCAGAGACACAAAAATACAAATGAGGCAGTGCTCAATATCCCAGATGCGAGTAGAAATAATCTTGATTTACGTCATTAAAAATACACAATTCAGTCAAACTGATGTCATATTTGGAATCTATATGTAAAATTACATTTAAAAATGTGGTTTTGAAAAGAGTTTATCAACTTTGAAAATTGAATTTTCTTTGAAAATGTGACTTCTAGGTCGGGGAGATTCCCAATAGACCCCATGTTGTAAAACCACAAAAAGTGAAATATCTTTTCTTGTGTTCGGCAGATAATACTTTCTTTTACTGGACATATGTTAATTTGTATAACTATCAGATACATAAGGGTAATATGAAAAATGAATCACTAAAACTGATGCATATTCAAGTTTAAGGGAATTTTGTAATACCCTGCCATGTTAATTCCCCCGAATCAGCCACCTGGTGGCGAAACTGGTAACTACCTACTCGCATCTGAGTAATTTGGGCCTTTTGTTGGAACCCTGCATAAAACTGTATAGAATGCTACACAGGAACATGTATATGGCAAACTATTTGTTAAATTAATAACTGGTGCTTACTACAGGAATTCCTCTATTGCTCTAATGATGATGTCATACCACAAACATTGAAACATCATCTACTCAAATATGCAAAAAACAAAAAATTCTGAATGCAGAAATTTAAATCCTCAAATTTTTATCAGGCTTAGACTGCCCAAATCTGAGGGACTGATTGATACATGCAGTTTTACTTAATTTAGATATTCTCTAAAAAAAACTTAAGATTTCTCCCTTCTCAAGAATTAAGACAGAAAGCGACTTTTATTTAAAACAAAATATGAGAGATACATGGACATGCAAGTTCACAAGGCAAAAGCTTTACATTATGGCGTTACAATAGTTCTAGAGTTGCATTATCGCTTACCATTTAAATGACAAGTGCAGATTTTATGGAAATAGAAAAATTTCAAAATTGTGTTTATTTTTACATTATTCGCTATTTTATAATATACTTCATAGCAGCTCATATTGTTAACTGCAGAAAGCTTGCAATATAAAGTTATTTTCAGTTTCTGTGATCACATTTATTAGCTGCTGTTGTTTTTGGTTTATCTGTATTAGAAAGAGCAGCAGCATTAGCATCATTGAAGATGTGTTTGTTAAACTCCATTCTCAGTAAATCAAGTCATTATTTGATCAACGCAACATTACATACACTTTACACCACTTCCTCCAAACATCAATTTATACCAAACCAGCGCTTTCATTAGCCAATGACAACAGTCAATTTTCACTGGATGTCTTGACCAAAATTGACAATAATTATGAGGAATTTTGCAACTGTTTTCATATTAAAGTTGTAATTTTCAATAATTTAATCTGTTGCTTTCCTGTTGTCAGAGATTCTAATGAAACCACTTGATATATTTTGTACCAACTCCTGAGACAATGATAAGGTGCAGACACACTGACAAGACAAATATAAAAAATAGCTTCTTTTGTTCTTTTGGACATCAGGTTTAGTTTCAGCTAAGATTTGGTTGAATGTTTGGATATTATTTTCTTGGTAAAACAGGACAACTGCCTTACGAGATTGAAACATGGGTATATTTTGGATGATGCGAAACCAAATAACAGGCACGGTCCAATTGTGCACATTTACCTATGACAGACATGTTAGAGCTACTGAAAGCAATATATCTGCACCTTGGTAACTACACACTAAACATAAGATAGTTGATACATGGGCAAACAAATCCTTGCGCCAAGGCACACTCAGGGTTGACAATCGTTACAATATACTTAATGTGAATGAATAGAAAATATGATCAATCTTGGAGTTGTGCAATAACAGCTTGTGTTTTATATTTTAAAGTGTATCATCTTAGGTGTTAAATTGACTACTCTTTAAGCTTTTTTCAACATTAGCTGTAATGTCTATATTTACCCTATAAAGTAAAATTGATAATGGCCTATTAAAAAATTGTTTACACATTCAAAGATTGTTTACGCACCTTTGTTTGAGATCCTCAACAGTTTTCTTCAATTCCGACTGCTGCACCTCCAACTGAATTAATAAGAAGACATTTTTCAGGGAAGATGTCCTGATTTTCAACAGTTACGGAAGAATGTAGTTAATTCTGTTAGGGGAGGGGGTAAATGATGTTTTTGTTAGCATAGTGTTGGACCTTTTAAATGAAGTGAATGACAAATCAAGGTTTCAAAATTTTGTTATCTAAGGGGAAAGTGGATAGAGAAAGATGGCATCTAATTAGAAACTAGACTAACTAACTGGACCATAATCAAACACTAAAAATGTGACTTTCATTCCAGCTTTTTGACTCAAGTCTATTAAAACTCTAATGCTGTTCGATTTTTGATTCTCCACACCTTGCTTACCTGTATTTTTTCTTCCTTAATGACTTTAGTATTCACTGCTTCTGATTTCAGCTGATCTAACTCATCCTGAAGTGGCTTCATACTGAGCTTTAGCTCATTCAATTGAGTTTCTGTGGTTGACAGCTTAGTTTGAGACTCTACAAGTTGTTTCTCTGAATTGGTTTGTTTAGTTTTGCTTTCTTCAAATTGTGCTTCTAAACTTGACCTAAAAACAAAATAGTTGGAATAAAAGAAGTTGCCTATCATAACAATTATCACTAACAATTAAATCTCAATCAAACTTTGTTTGGATAATAATTTCAAATATATACATAATCATCAAATAAACAGGTTTTTGTATTTTTATTCCAGCTTTCTAACTTACACCTGTTCCTTAAGCAGTCCTGCATTCTTCCTTTCAGATTCTAAACTGCTTTGAATCTCTTCTGATTTCTTTGCCTCTTTTTCTAACTGAGTCTTAACCTCGTTTAATTGCTCATTATGACTTTTAGCTTCAGTTTTAAGTTTTTCAGATTCTTTTTTTGTTTCCTCAAACTTCAAGTCCATTTCTTGAATCTGGCTTAAGTATTGTGTGATTTCTTGGTTGGCTCTGTCCAGCATTCCTAGAATATCATCCTTCTCTGAGTTAGCCTGTAAGAAAATACAGATTTCTTGACTAGATAATTTCTTTGGAATGCTTAGAATCTAATATCACATGACTTGTTTTCAAAAATCATAATACATGAACTGTGTCATAGATTGGTTCATTTTTCAACATGTTCATTAATGAAGGTTTTCCATTGTCTAATACTGCAATATCCTAGATGCGAGTAGAAATAATCTTGATTTACGTCATTAAAAAAATCAAAATTCAGTCAAACTGGTGTCTTATTTGGAATCTACATGTAAAATTACATCTAGAAAAATGGTTTTGAAAAGAGTTTATCAACTTTGAAAATTTAATTTTCTTTGAAAATCTGACTTCTAGGTCGGGGAGATTCCCCATAGCCCCCATGTTGTAAAATCACAAAAGTGAAATATCTTTTCTTGTTTGGCAGATACTATTTTCTTTTACTGGACATATTTTAATTTGTATAACTATCAGATACATAAGGGTAATATGAAAAGTGAACCACTAAAACTGATTAATATTCAAGTTTAAGGGAATTTTGTAATACCCTGCCATGTTATTTCCCCCGAATCAGCCACCTGGTGGCGAAACTGGTAACTACCTTCTCGCATCTGAGTAATTGTATTGTAGGAGAGGATTTTGGTAAAAGAAAACAAAAATGTGAGGTATTAGAGATAAAAATGTTTAAGTGATCACCCTATACACACTGTGCTATACAAAAACAAGTGTTGTGGATATCGTATGCACAAGATGCAGATATTAACGGTCATTTTTGAATTTGAATTTGCGATATTTCATAATCTAAGGAATGTTGGGTACTCAATTATAGTCATCGATTTGAAGAGGATACCCAAATAACCTCTCGACTACCTGGAGTGACGAGATATCTCGTCTCCTCAGAAATGACCTTGAAACCCAGGGTGACGAGAAAATCCTTCACAAAATTTTTCACTAAAATTGCTCTCATTTGAACAATTTTCATCTAATTTAAACAAAACTTGTTTTAGAATTTGTAGAAATGATCTCCGCCGTCTGATTTTACTAAGTTGAGCATCTAAAGTTGTATATATGAATGAAGTTAAATATCAAAAGGTGGCAAAAATGAAAAATTCTCTGGTTTCAACCGATTTTAGAGACTGGGATTCAAGAGGTTAAAGGGAAATTTTGTCTTAAGTTGTATTCTTCATTCTTTCACGACGCTTTAAAGGTTCAATAAAGACCATAGAAGAAATTTGGGAGTCATTTTACCTTTCCCGAGCTATCAGTGCAACATTTGGCCTAATGTCTTCTTCGCCATACCTATTTTCTTAAAATATATGCATTTGTCGACGAATACCACCAATCAGACTTGCAAGTAGACTTCTAAATAAGCAATTGAAAGGATGGACATCTCACATATTGTTTTTTGAAACATTTCTGAATCTCCGCCACTAAGATTTTTACTGGAGCTGACATTAGATAACACTGCATGTCAGCATGTTTACAGTATAACCACAGTTGTCTGATATAACTGTATACACGAGTACACGATGTGACTGCCGTTGACGTTCTATTACCGACGACTCTTGCAGTTAGCCTGGCCTACTGACGAAGAAAAATCAAAAAAATCGAAGACTAAAACACCTCAAATATACCCATATTCAAGGTCTTCTTGACATGCTTGTTTTCGTATAGCACAGTTTGCATGGAGTGGTGATCACAGAGGACAAATCAGTGGAAATTCTGTTAAAAACCAACAATTCAAAACAAACATTGAACCCTGGAAGCAAGGAATGGTATGTTTTTGCCATTTGTAATTTTCAGGAAACCACAAGCTAATCTCACCTTATTTTTCTCCTGTATTGCAGCATCCCGTTCCCCTGTAAGCTCTTCTACCTTATTTACACCCTCCTTACTAGCAGCTACTATATCAGCTTTTTCAGCAATAAGCGTTTTGTTTTGTGTAATAAGCGAATCTTTTTCTGTAGTAAGCTCGGATATATCAGTTTCTAATTTCTTAATTTGCTTATTTAATTTTTCAGATTCAAACTGAAATGAACAGAATATATGAAATGTAACTTCAGCGATTTTAGGCTGGTCCATACCCAATGATTATGTGGTGTATGTATAGTCTACTGTACAGCCTGAGAATCAATGGTCAATTATTCAATTGTCCCATACAAATACATAAAACAAATCTACAGGCCTGCATATTAGACTATTCTCATTAACCTATGAAAATGTGGCATGCAATTATGCAAAACAGAATCTAATTTTTTTTAACAAAACCCATGCTTTTCATAACCTTGTATTACTAGAGTTTTCATTAGCCCTTCAAGGAACTTCTAAATAGAAATCCACAGATAATAAATACATGTACTGTATATAACTCACCTTCAAATTTTCTTTCTCGGTTCCTAACTCTGTCACTTTTTCAGTTTGTGATTTGATTTGATTTTCTTTCTTTGATAATTCCTCTTGTTGTTTTTCAATCTGTTGTTTTACATCGTTTAGCTCACTGTCCTTCTTATTTACAAGTTCAAGTTTTTCATCTTCAAATTGTTTATTAAGTTTTGTAATTTTATTCTTTAATTTCTCTATTTCTGAATTCTGAAAGAAAATTTATTATACTTTTATTATACAGACTTATATTGTTATATTTTTTTAATATCTGAGTGCTCATAAATGCTGCATTGGTTCCCTTTGGAATACCCATGGGCTTTTAAGAGAGAGAATGCCTCATAATATATTATTTCAGAAATAAAGGTTTGTTATTTCAATATTACAAGAGGAGATTATCTAATGTCTCTTGCAAGTCAAAAATAGATAGGAAACATTGATTGATTGAAATTGTAATATAACATATCTACAAGACTTAGTCTTAATATTACAAATACTATAGTACTGTAGTATTTATTTCATTACAAATACCTTCGTACCAAAGTTCTAAAGTTAAGGCACAACATTTAAATACTTACAGATTCTAGAAGTTTTTCCTCAGAACTCTTTAATTCTTCTTTATGTTTTTCAGATATATTATTAAATTCTTTTTTATGTTCATTGTTTATAGTTTCTATATTTTCTTTAAGTTTTCCTATTTCTAGAGTTGAATTTGAACAAGCTGATTGCGCTTCTTCCAGTTTTCTGAAATTTGAAAAAATGAAATGTTGAAAACATTTGGCACCACAAAACAATATAAGATAAAAATTACTCAGACATTCTCATTGAATGACTGATTGTTTTTAAAGACTTGCTTTAAAATATACACAACCAAATGAAATAATATTACAAATAGGGAAAACAGTTTCAATATACAAATATAAAAAATATAATATAATATATTTCAATATAAAAAAAGTTGTAAGAATTCAATCTGAAAATTCAACAAAGGTGATACGATGTATAGTTTACTGTAGGCATAAAACATGGCATTACACGGTATCCATTGATATGGATTTATAATAACTTCATGTAACACCCTGTATTTCCCCACCACAGTGCATTGTCAAATACATCCAACAGACAATAACAACAGATAATTTCACTCGATGGAAAAAAATTGCAAGCTAACACAATATATACTTGTACAATACAACCAGAGAAAATGACATCAACGCAATTTAGAAGAATGAATAAAACCTCTGTAACTTGTAGTTTCAATTGAAAGTAGAGTTCACAAATGAGTTTTGAATAACATAAACAAGAATGGATTTAGTTTAAAAAATAGAAAAAATAATATAGTTAATAGCAAAGAAATATGCCTAAACTTAGATACACAATAAACTAAATGTAGCAGCCATATATTTAATATATAAGCATATCAACCATATACAGCGCCATCTTTACAAAGCCTCTCACCAGTAAGTTGACATGCATTTAATATTGAAACTGAATCCTTCAAAAGAAAGACATGTACAATCACCAAAATCTAATACAAGTAATCCAATGCAATGTACTTTACACCGAAAGGTACCAGGCAGTCGTATAAATAAAGGGTGTTCAAAATTATTTACAAACAAATTAAAAAGCTGCCCCTTACAGGAACCTGAGAACAACAATCTCCCCTCCTGTATTGCATCAAGTAATATAGAATTACAAGACAATCCCATGCATTTATAAGCAGATATGTCAAAATATGGCATAGACCAAAAATTGTTTTAAAAATCCTGCTAATGCTGTTTAAGTTGAAAGCCCCAAAATCTTTTTGAACATTTACATTAAAAATATTTTGAAGCACCCTGTATTTTTGAAGAGTAAGTAGACGCACCTATCTTTCTCACGTAGTTGCTCGTTCATAGAGGTTAGTTGTTGAGAGCTATCGCCAGAGTTTTTCATCAGTTCACTGATCTGAGCCTCCTGTTGAAGTAATGTAGAACTTAGCATGCATGCAGCCTCAACTCTAGTGGACTGGTTTTAATCATATTTATTGGGCTCTTTGGTCATTATACAAAAATGTGTCTTTGGTCATGTCCATCGCAGAGATCTAGTGCTATATGATCATGTTCAATACAGAGCTATATGATCATGTTCATAACAGAGCTATATGATCATGTTCATAACAGAGCTATGGGGCTATGTGATCATGTTCAACACAAAGCTCTATGATCATGTTCATGAAAGAACTGTAGTGCTATATGATCATGTTCCTAACAAAGCTCTATGATCATGTTCATAACAGAGCTCTGGGGCTATATGATCATGTTCAACACAGAGCTCTATGATCATGTTCCTAACAAAGCTCTATGATCATGTTCATAACAGAGCTCTGGGGCTATATGATCATGTTGAACACAGAGCTCTATGATCATGTTCATAACAAAGCTCTGGGGCTCTATGATCATACTTGAATTCATACCAGTTATATCCCTGAAAGATTGAACGAGTCTGTTAAATCACTGGAAGACCAAGCTAGGATTAAATCCCCTGGAAGACTTAAGGTGCTAAAGCTAAATTCCAAGAACTAGAGATAAACTGGACCACTGAGATCTAATGTTAAACAGGAATGACTTGAAAGTAAAGAATTGTGGGAACACTGTTCATCTTCACTCACTCAGTTCCACTTGGATGAATGCAGTGAAGACAGAGTGAGCAAAGATGGACATAAGTCATATATCACTCACTCAGTTCCACTTGGATGAATGCAGTGAAGACAGAGTGAGCAAAGATGGACATTAGTCATATATCACTCACTCAGTTCCACTTGGATGAATGCAGTGAAGACAGAGTGAGCAAAGATGGACATTAGTCATATATCACTCACTCAGTTCCACTTGGATGAACGCAGTGAAGACAGAGTGAGCAAAGATGGACATTAGTCATATATCACTCACTCAGTTCCACTTGGATGAATGCAGTGAAGACAGAGTGAGCAAAGATGGACATTAGTCATATATCACTCACTCAGTTCCACTTGGATGAATGCAGTGAAGACAGAGTGAGCAAAGATGGACATTAGTCATATATCACTCACTCAGTTCCACTTGGATGAATGCAGTGAAGACAGAGTCAGCAAAGATGGACATTAGTCATATATCACTCACTCAGTTCCACTTGGATGAACGCAGTGTAGACAGAGTGAGCAAAGATGGACATTAGTCATATATCACTCACTCAGTTCCACTTGGATGAACGCAGTGAAGACAGAGTGAGCAAAGATGGACATTAGTCATCTTCACTCACTCAGTTCCACTTGGATGAACGCAGTGAAGACAGAGTGAGCAAAGATGGACATTAGTCATATATCACTCACTCAGTTCCACTTGGATGAATGCAGTGAAGACAGAGTGAGCAAAGATGGACATTAGTCATATATCACTCACTCAGTTCCACTTGGATGAATGCAGTGAAGACAGAGTGAGCAAAGATGGACATTAGTCATATATCACTCACTCAGTTCCACTTGGATGAACGCAGTGAAGACAGAGTGAGCAAAGATGGACATTAGTCATATATCACTCACTCAGTTCCACTTGGATGAATGCAGTGAAGACAGAGTGAGCAAAGATGGACATTAGTCATATATCACTCACTCAGTTCCACTTGGATGAACGCAGTGTAGACAGAGTGAGCAAAGATGGACATTAGTCATATATCACTCACTCAGTTCCACTTGGATGAACGCAGTGAAGACAGAGTGAGCAAAGATGGACATTAGTCATATATCACTCACTCAGTTCCACTTGGATGAATGCAGTGAAGACAGAGTGAGCAAAGATGGACATTAGTCATATATCACTCACTCAGTTCCACTTGGATGAACGCAGTGAAGACAGAGTGAGCAAAGATGGACATTAGTCATATATCACTCACTCAGTTCCACTTGGATGAATGCAGTGAAGACAGAGTGAGCAAAGATGGACATTAGTCATATATCACTCACTCAGTTCCACTTGGATGAATGCAGTGAAGACAGAGTGAGCAAAGATGGATATTATCCATATATCACTAAAAGCATCAGAATCTGTAATTATATACTAATTGTCTACTTAAGCAGCACTAAAATATCTGAATGTCAAATAATTCAAACAAATAAAAAACACATCATTTATTTTTTAAACTAGAGTTATCTATTCTCTATAGACTATCATAGTCAATAAAAAATAAAATCAATTGTATTCTATACAAGCTGCTAAGAAAGCAAAAATTGGATATGAATATTGATTATTTTGCTATGACAAATCTTGGAAGGCATTATTTTATGGTTGAGCTTAAAAAAATAAGTGACAGCTATAATATCGGGCAATTAGCAATGCAACAATAAGATTATGGCGTGACTCGGGTAATCTATGTTTGATGAACCATTTTAACTATCAAATATTTGAATAATTTTTTTTATAGAGAAAATAAACTGTGTTAAAATATTTTGAAATAGCACAAAATAGTCAGTCCAGAACACAGCCTCAGAAAACTCAAATAATGTGACTTAGATACAAGTTTATTCAACTCAAGATTTAGGAAGAACTGCTCTACCCTGATCATTGATTAAATATGTAACTACAGCCGAAAAATAGGTATTGCTCATCTCATAGTAGGTAAAATAGAATATTATGAAAAAATGAAAAATAAATTATCTCAAAGTTGTATGTGAATGAATGGTGCTTTCCTACTCAGTCAAAGTGAACCAAATTTTGGGATTGTGTTCCAGACTGAATTCAAATGAAGAAATCTTATATAAGGTTTTAAAAATAGTAAATTAAATTTTAGTTGAAAAGCATACTATTACAACACTTACAAACTAAGCTTTTATAATGCTTATGGTAAAAGCTTTTATAATATTTAAAAGAAGATTTAACAAGCCAATGAATTCAATAAACACTAAATAATAGCAAGTTTAGTTTTACAGTTATCAAACAGCATTGATAACAGTTTGCTTAGTACATCAATATGCCTTTTGAACAGCTTTGATTTTTACAATAGAATTTTTAAATAAGTTTTAAAAGTTTCTTCAATTAGTAAATAGAACTTCATGAAGCTAATTACGCTATACAATATAAGACAACACATTTTAAACATATTGTTAACTGACTCTAGATATTGTTAACTTATTAATTCAGAGGAATGTTTTTGTTTCATCCACAACATGTGATAATATTCCTTGCCCTTAGTATTGGATTATGGGCCATTTAAGGTGGCACAAATCTAATAAACATATGACAGTTGTTCAATAAGTATTAAAACAAATCTTCTCATTTATAAATTCATCAAGGAATCAAAGTGAGATTCTTTTGGATTGAAAGCAGTATGTGTTGTAAGTTGATTCCCTTATGAATATTGAAGCATCAGTATTTATTGAATAGCCCTCATGTGTCATGCCACCTTACATGGCCAAAATCTGCATATTTGCAGTGTGGCCTCTCTATGGCCTCAGTCTGTCACACAGCAACAATATATGCATATGGCTCTGGTTGAGTCAATGTTTGAAACTGACACATTTTCTTGGTACTGCCCACCAGACTGTATAGACAAGCAACAACAACAGAGCAGAATGTTCAAGTGATGTATTAAATGTTTGCAGTCTTACCAGCTTGGCTTTATCCTCTCCTAACTGAGTGGTCTTTTCTTCATTCACATTCAGCAGTCGTTGCGCTTCTATAAATACACAGTTAATCACTTATATTAACTTATAAGAGGATTGTCTAAGAAGTTCTGAACTGTTTATTATTAAGTTTTTATTATTCAGTTCTACTTTCCCAAAATGGTGCCATCTTTAGGAAAATAGTCATTTTATAATTGTAATTACAAACAAATATAAAAAAATTTCTTGTCTGTTAATTCTGACTAACCTGAGAGTTGTTGCTTGAGAGATTGGAGCTCTGAGTTCAAGTCACTAGATGTAGAGTCACTGTTGGACAACTTTGTCTTTAGTTCTGAAACACAAAAATCAAATGATATCATTTATATATGTAAAAGCTGGCCCACAAGAACAGGCATTCCAAGATGGAAAACATGATTCATTTAAATCTAAAATGCTCTGTAATCTAAGATAATCATTAATTATTCCAAAATAAGTTAGTTGCATTTTTGAGTCATCCTGTAAATGAAAATGATTCCCATTCTCCAATATACAGGTTGAGCCATAAAAATGATTCCAACCCTCCAATATACAGGTTGAGCCATAAAAATGATTCCAACCCTCCAATATACAGGTTGAGCCATAAAAATGATTCCCACCCTCCAATATACAGGTTGAGCCATAAAAATGATTCCAACCCTCCAATATACAGGTTGAGCCATAAAAATGATTCCCACCCTCCAATATACAGGTTGAGCCATAAAATGATTCCAACCCTCCAATATACAGGTTGAGCCATAAAAATAATTCCAACCCTCCAATATACAGGTTGAGCCATAAAAATGATTCCAACCCTCCAATATACAGGTTGAGCCATAAAAGTGATTCCCACTTCCAATATACAGGTTGAGCCATGAAAATGATTCCCAACCTCCAGTATACAGGTTGAGCCATAAAAACGATTCCCACCCTCCAATATACAGGTTGAGCCATAAAAATGATTTCCACCCTCCAATATACAATATACAGGTTGAGCCATAAAAATGATTCCCACTAGAGGTGTAACTCCCGAGTCAGTAACTCGAGTACAGCTCGTCAGAGCTGCCTATACATTGGCTCGAGTTGTCCTCTAGAAACTCGCAATCTATTTCAACTCGCGAGCTAGCTATAACTCGAGTCAACTCGCGAGTTTCGCCTATCTTACAAGCATGTAAAATGAATTCAGGTCCCAGAGATCGTGCAACATTACTTCATTAGTGGAATAAATATTCCAATGATTGTCATATTTAGCTCCCGTCACCTAAAAAACACTCTCAAAGCTTCACAAAGTTCAACAAATATCGTGGAATGACGAGTTACACCAAAAAAATCAGAAAAAGATCGACTGTCGAAGGAACTCAACGGGCGATAATAGAGTAATCACTAAAATTGAATAAAAATGGTGCCCTTATTCTCACGTCGTTTACACGACTTTTACATAAAAAAGATGATCTATCATTAAATTAAGATCATAAGTCTTAACTTTAGATCGATAACCAGCAGTCTTTAGTATAAATAATGAAGATAATCCGGGAAAACCATTCATTAATTTGAAGGGCCCTTCTGAGTTTTCTAAAATATTGTTTGGTTAGATTCTAGCGATCTCTTGTCCTTACCGTATGCGGCGACGTCTATACCAGATCATTTTTGATTGAAATATGAGATATATGCAATGAATACCACACTTTCTTATGGCCCCAATGTGTTAAACACCTTTTAGATGTGACTAAACCAGAGAAACTTGCCGCTTGAAGTTACAGTAATTTTGTTTACCCGGGTTTACAATATGTACTGGACGAAATGAATGAACTCGAGTTTTACTCGAGTTTTGGAAATATTTGGCAAGTTGAACTCGAGTTGGATTTTTCTGGCGAGTTACACCTCTAATTCCCACCCTCCAATATACAAGTTGAGCCATAAAAGTGATTCCCACCCTCCAATATACAAGTAGAGCCATAAAAATGATTCCCACCCTCCAATATACAAGTTGAGCCATAAAAGTGATTCCCACCCTCCAATATACAAGTAGAGCCATAAAAACGATTCCCACCCTCCAATATACAAGTTGAGCCATAAAAATGATTCCAACCCTCCAATATACAGGTTGAGCCATAAAAATGATTCCCACCTTCCAATATACAAGTTGAGCCATAAAAGTGATTCCCACCCTCCAATATACAAGTTGAGCCATAAAAGTGATTCCCACCCTCCAATATACAAGTAGAGCCATAAAAATGATTCCCACCCTCCAATATACAAGTTGAGCCATAAAAATGATTCCAACCCTCCAATATACAGGTTGAGCCATAAAAGTGATTCCCACCCTCCAATATACAAGTAGAGCCATAAAAACGATTCCCACCCTCCAATATACAAGTTGAGCCATAAAAATGATTCCAACCCTCCAATATACAGGTTGAGCCATAAAAATGATTCCCACCTTCCAATATACAGGTTGAGCCATAAAGAGAGGAACACTGCATCATTCTTAAGATCAAATAGATGAACCAAATGTGTCACCTATCCTTAATGCTGTATAATTTAAAATGTATGCCAACATAGTTCAAAGAATATAAACTTCCTCCTACCTTCCAAAGACTCTTGCTGTTTCTGCCTTTTCTTGTCTGCTTCTGCCAACTGCTCTTGCTGGAAAAACACAAAAATTTGTGGTATATATATTTCTTTTGTTTTTTTTGTGGGGGGGATTTCAGTTGTATACACAGATGGACAAAGATCTTCTTACTATGGTGACTCTTATTTACAATTAAAATGCAAAAATAAAAACGATTTTTTATCAAATAATTTGCAGATAGGGATGTGAAAAGACCAAACAGAGTAAAAAGGGAAACAAACAAAAATAAAATAAAATTTCATATTATAATCCCACAAAGTGTTCAGGTCAAGGTCACATTGAGACATCAAGGTCATCTGAAATTAAGTCTGTACCTGAGGTCAAGGTCACTGTTTGCTTTGACTGAAGTGAATGGATCCAAATAAGAAATAAGTATTACCATAGGTTTCGAAATGAAATAAGAGAACTTACCAGTTCACTAAGTTTGTTTGCCATGTCTTTACAGTCATTATTCTTGCTACTAAGACTAGTCTCAAGTTGTGTGATTTTCTTGTCTTTTTCAGTGAGCTGTTCCACAACCTGGCTAGCCTGTAATATTACAAAATAGTACAGTTAGTATTAACTTTAACCTACTTGACTAAATACACGTTTAATGTTTTGAACCCATTTACCAACCCCAAGTAGTACACTTTTTACAAAAACGTGTCAATGAAAGTTCACTTCAATAGCAAAGATTTGATTATATTTCACTACAGATAATGAGATATAGAAAACTTAATATTTTCTAAAATGTTGAAATGTTGAAAGCAGATTCAAGAGTTAGTTTCTTACCTTTTCCCCTTGAGCAGAGCTAGCAGATTCAAGAGTTAGTTTCTTACCTTTTCCCCCTGTGCAGAGCTAGCAGTTTCAAGTGCTTGTATTTTAGCCTCAGCCAATGAGAGCTTATGTCTCAACTCCTCCATAGTGGACTCTAGCTCACTACTGGAACTCTCCTTGTCTTTCCATTTACTTCTTTCATTCTCTAGTAATGCCTGCAATGAGAAATAGGGGTCAAAACTCAGAAGCACCTCACTGCCAAGTGCAATTATTTGAATATGAAATTAAATTTGGAATAGAAATATCTAAGCACAATTGCCAAAGGGAGAGGACCAAAATATTTTAAGAAACCTAGCAAGAAAAGCAAACTCTAAGAGTAACCTGTCATAAGAAAAATAGACCCTACATGTATATCCCAAAACCATGATGTAAAGTGAATCAAAACCTATAGACAAACTATAAAGCAACATTGTTCTTCTTACCTGCATGGTTTCAACCTCTTTCTCAAGGCGTTCAGCTCTGTCTTTTTCTTTGCTTGCAATCACATCCAATTCTTTGATTTTGGCTTCCTCCTCTTCAGTCTTAATCTACAAAAAATAAAAAGATGTTCTTATTTTCTGACTTTTTTCTGATTCCATATTGCAAGGCTTATTTAGGTCATTATTAGGTCATTTCTGGACATGTCTAGAAATATAGATCTTGGGAATGATTACAATAAATACACGACAGAGTACAAAATTTGTAAATGTAATGTGGAAATATTGTACATTTCATTACATGCATTGCTTCTGAAAGACTTTTAGTGTTTTAGTTGCTTCAGTAATGGAATTTATCTTTTAAACATTGTGTCTAACTTCATATTAAACTCACTGATTGAAATCCATTTTTGATTAGTAGATTGGATGTAAATAAATTTTGATATTTGTATAGTTGGTTAAAATTTGATAATGCACAATTTTATTTATTAGTAAGATTTGAAAGTTAATTTTAGAAAAGAGTTTGAACAATTTAGATGTTTTAAAGTTGCCTCCCTTTATACATTTTAAAGTTGCCTCCCTTTATGCAATTTTAAAGTTGCCTCCCTTTATACAACTTTAAAGTTGCCTCCCTTTATACACTTTAAACTTGCCTCCCTTTATACACTTTAAAGTTGCCTCACTTTATGCAATTTTAAAGTTGCCTCCCTTTATACAACTTTAAAGTTGCCTCTCTTTATACACTTTAAAGTTGCCTCTCTTTATGCACTTTAAAGTTGCCTCCCTTTATACACTTTAAAGTTGCCTCACTTTATACACTTTAAAGTTGCCTCCCTTTATACACTTTAAAGTTGCCTCCCTTTATGCAATTTTAAAGTTGCCTCCCTTTATAAATTTTAAAGTTGCCTCCCTTTATACACTTTAAAGTTGCCTCCCTTTATACACTTTAAAGTTGCCTCCCTTTATACACTTTAAAGTTGTCTCCCTTTATACACTTTAAAGTTGCCTCACTTTATACACTTTAAAGTTGCCTCCCTTTAAACACTTTAAAGTTGCCTCACTTTATACACTTTAAAGGTGCCTCCCTTTAAACACTTTAAAGTTGCCTCACTTTATACACTTTAAAGTTGCCTCACTTTATACACTTTAAAGTTGCCTCCCTTTATACACTTTAAAGTTGCCTCACTTTATACACTTTAAAGTTGACTCCCTTTAAACACTTTAAAGTTGCCTCCCTTTATACACTTTAAAGTTGCCTCCCTTTATACATTTTAAAGTTGCCTCCCTTTATACACTTTAAAGTTGCCTCCCTTTATACACTTTAAAGTTGCCTCCCTTTATACACTTTAAAGTTGCCTCCCTTTATACACTTTAAAGTTGCCTCCCTTTATACACTTTAAAGTTGCGTCCCTTTATACACTTTAAAGTTGCCTCACTTTATACACTTTAAAGTTGCCTCACTTTATACACTTTAAAGTTGCCTCCCTTTATACACTTTAAAGTTGCCTCCCTTTATACACTTTAAAGTTGCCTCCCTTTATACACTTTAAAGTTGCCTCCCTTTATACACTTTAAAGTTGCCTCACTTTATACACTTTAAAGTTGCCCCCCTTTATATAATTTAGTAGTGTTAGTTTGATCAGAATAAAAATAAATGTAAGAAAATAATATATTTCTCATTTCAGATTAATAATGAAGTAAGATCTAAGTTCTATTTTTAGACTTATTAGGGTTAAGGTCACTTTTATTCTATATTTTGAACTTGTGTGGGTTAAAATTGCTATTATTTTTGCAGCGCTTGCATCAGGTTAGAAAATTTGTGAGTCCCAAGGACGCAATTTTTAAAAAAAAGTGTGTCCTTTGAAAAAAAAATGTGTCCCCTATTTCTAGCCTGTTTTGAGGTATAACTTTATTTTAAAAGCATTTTTTACCAAAACACCTTTCAGTTTTTGATTTCTTGCCGCGAATTTAAAACGATAGTAAACGTTAAGTACGGACTGAATAAATGCATGTTCGTTCATTCGACAATGAATACATTTTATTTCATGAATAACCTAATATTTGTTTCTGAATAGGAAAAACTGTGGCGTGTCATGGTTTCAAATCTAAAAATAAACAAAGTCGAAAAAATTCGAGAGAATCATGATTATTTGTAAATATTCAACATGTTGAGCCTTATTTACGATTCAAATAAAGGTGAGAGATCATAATTATTTGTTTTTGTTAGGTATCGTTGTAAACACATTGTAGTATTGACCCAGAAAAATTTTGCGTCCAAAAAACGGAAATATTTTCAATTTTTGCGTCCTCCAAATTATTTTTGAGTCCTTAACATGTACGGGACGCCGTTAATGCAAGCCCTGTTTTTGTATTGTTGCTATTAATAAAATGTTGGACTGATAAGGGTTAAACATCGCTAATTTATTGGATCATTGCATTTCTGAGTTTTGGATTTGTGCATGAGGGTTAAACAATGTTATGTTATAGGTATTGGACTGGTGAGGGTTAACATTAAAGCTGCAGATTTTACTGAATTATTGTATAACTTACTAATTTTCTTTTTATTCTGAGCTGTCTTATTCTCTGAAATAATGTATCATTAATACTGCTCTAAAGAGATTAAAATACTCCAAATGATGAAAATTAAATGTGTTCAATTTTAATCAGTAGTTGGTTATACTCCACAAGGAAGAATTAATGTAACTTAAATAGCTTTAATATAGTTTAAGGAATCTCAATTTAGTAGAATTCAAAACAAATCATTATATACTTGTAGTATAAAAATCACCACATGCAAATAGTTACAAAGTGTGACAATTGTTACAGATGCCATCTGCTTATACCAAATGGAACCACTTCTTTTTAAAAATTATTGTGATTTTGCAACAAAAAGATGTATTTTTAGAACATTCTAATATTCTTACCTCAACATATTGAATCCCTCCCAGTAAATAACATATCCTTACCTCAACATATTCAATCCCTCCCAGTAAATAACATTCTTATATTCTTACCCCAACATATTCAATCCCTCCCAGTAAATAACATATCCTTACCTCAACATATTCAATCCCTCCCAGTAAATAACATATCCTTACCTCAACATATTCAATCCCTCCCAGTAAATAACATATCCTTACCTCAACATATTCAATCCTTCCCAGTAAATAACATATCCTTACCTCCACCTCATCTTCTTTAATGCCCTGTTCTTCAACCTGGAACTCCAAATCTTCAATTTTCCTAGAAAACAACAGAAAACCATGGCAACCATACTTTAACCCCTTGCTGTAAAGTATGCTTTGACTCCTCATATCTGTCTGATGGGCACAAAGTATATGAACAATGATTTTTTCTTTTTTATCACTAATTATAAATGCCATAACTAGAATTATTGCCAAAGAAACTGATTCATAGACACAAAACTTGAAAACAAGGTACAATATATTTTGATATTCTCTCCCATTTCATAAAGACTTTTATAAACTAACATCTTCAGTAAAATGCTAGCAAGGATGTAAAGACAAAGCACTCATGCTCTATCTCTTGGACAACCAAGGATTGCGATACTTGCGAAACTTGCCCTTTTAGCTTGACACATGGTTAAAAGAGAAATAATGTTGAGTTATTCACAAACCTTTTTTCCTCCTCCACCTGGGCTAAGAGATCCCTCTTCTGCTGCTCTAGATCTTCTACTTTGATCTGCATGGCCTGCATGGACTCCTCCATTTCATCAACATATGAGGCATGGTCCTGGCGCACATTGGTTAGTTCATTCTCAGACTAAGAAATGGAAAATAGATGTTTTATTCTCATTTCATCGACATATGAGGCATGGTCCTGGCGCACACTGGTTAGTTCATTCTCAGACTAAGAAATGGAATATAGATGTTTTATTCTCATTTCATCAAGAATGAGGCATGGTCCTGGCGCACATTGGTTAGTTCATTCTCAGACTAAGAAATGGAAAATAGATGTTTTATTCTCATTTCATCAAGAATGAGGCATGGTCCTGGCGCAAACTGGTTAGTTCATTCTCAGACTAAGTAATGGAAAAAATTCTCATTTCTTTAATACAATGTGCAACACATGGCCTTGGCACTTGTCGGTTAATTCATTCTCAAACACAATTCTCCAACACTCTCAAAATCTCTGAATCAAATTAATGAACAAAATGTCATTAATAGCACTAAATGAGGGTAAACTTGATAGCTTAAGGTATCAGCAAAACAATGAAATGAAAACAGACAGACTAAGAGAACAACTATGAACACAATAAGTAGATCCTTATTTTAACATTCAAGAATCTCATTCAATAGTTGGGACCTTACTTCTTCAACTTGTGATGCTGCACGAGCGACCTCTGACCTCTCAAGGTCCCTCTCCCTCAGGAGCTGCTCTATGTGCTCCTCTTTCTCCTTCAGGGCTTTCTGAAATTTAAAAAGAAGATCAATAACTCATGCAAAAGTAACTGAGCCTTATGTCTTATTCAAATTGGGATTACAAACAACAATAAAATATCAGAACATATATTATGATTTGTTCCATAAATGTTGACATCTTTGTCTAATTTACAGTAAAACATGTAAAGTGTAACACCTGCATAGGTGTAACCCTTCAATAAGTGTTACACCTGCATAGGTGTAACCCTTCCATAAGTGTAACACCTGCATAGGTTCATAAGTAAAACACTTCAAAATCCTGTTACCATAATGGAAATTGAACTCAGCAACAATATGACAAATTCCAAGCGAAATAGTATTTGAGCTACAAAAGTTGTTCCATTTACAATATATCGAGAAATATAAAAATATAATGAGGATTACTTGTAGAGCCTGTGTGGTTGCTGTACTCGGGGTCACCCCAGGTCGCTTGGCAGTCTTGGCTGGAGTCTAGAAATCAGGGCATGACACAATAGGATTACACATTGTATTTATCATACATCTATCCCTTAAAGGTGTCATTTATTACAATACATGAACAGCAACTGGCTTTCAAGTTGTTACTATGGCAATCTTTGACAATGTAACTATGCTTATAGATGTATTTAAATTTCTTATTATGGAAATATTTCAAGATTCTATCATGAGTCAAAATTTCAGTTTGTTAGTATTAGACAATATTTCAACAAATGGCAATATCCGAAGATGTTTCTATGGCAATATTCAAAAGATGCTTCTATGGCATTACTTAATGTGGTTATTAATTGGCAATATTTAAAATGTATTACTATGGTTACTAGGGTAGTATTTTTGAATGATTCAATATGTCAGTTTTTCATATTTCAATCATGAATTTGGCAAAATTAAAAATGTTATAATGGCAATATTTGAAAATGTGTTACTTTGGTTACGAGGGTAGTATTTTTGAATAATTCGATATGTCAGTTTTTCATATTTCAATCATGAATTTGGCAGAATTAAAAATGTTATAATGGCAATATTTGACAATTAAAAATGTTATAATGGCAATATTTGAAAATGTGTTACTATGGTTACTGGGGTAGTATTTTTGAATACTTCAATATTTCATATTTCAATCATGAATTTGGCAGAATTAAAAATTTTATAATGGCAATACATGTATTTCAATTTTATACAATGGTTACTAGGGTAGTATTTTTGAATAATTCGATATGTCAGTAATTCATATTTCAATCATTAATTTAGCAGTATTAAAAATATTACAAATGCTATATGCAGTATTAAGATGTAACTATGGCAATATTTCAATCATTAATTTGGCAGTATTTCAAAATGTTGATTTAGCAATATTTCAAGATGTTACTATGGCAGCACTTCAAGATGTTTCTTTGGCAATATTCCAAAATCTATAGCAAAATCACCAGAAATGCAATTGCTATCATAATACATCATAATATGTATGACACATTCAAGGTCTCAAAAGAAAAAAATCAACTAAGATGACAGTGTAAAAATGTGAAGCAGTTAAATGTTTAAGCCATGCAGTAGTCTATTAGCAAAAATGACGCATCATTATAATGTTTAAAGTTAGACGACAGATGAAGATTCATGCTGAAGTTGAACTGCATAATAAATGCAAAGAAAATCTCATTGAAAAGCAAAAAAATAATGAAGGTACTTAATCTTATTTCACTATATACTCTACTTTACTTGAGTTCACTAATGAAACATTTCCTACATAAAGCAGAGTTATATTAATGAAACCTTCACTTTATACTATAAGTATTTGCCGGTTCTACTAATCAATACTGTACTTTGCAAGAAATGAATAATTTCTGACATCAATGGGAAAAGCTAGACTTGCACAAATCTAAATCCACATTTTTCCTTACATATATGTTACTGTTACTTATATACATATGAGGGTCATCCAAAAACTCTTGAAATGTTTGATCTAATTCAAATAGTTTTTGGACAACCCTCACAAGGAATACTTTATGATAATGTATTGATGCGTTACCACCTGGCATATGAACAGTCTCCTAGGAAAGGCATGTTAGGCCTCACTAGAAAACTATTACTTGGTAACCATAGTAACCTTATACAGCAGGTACATGTACATGCAGCTCGAGATGAACACACAGCTTAAAGAGAGGCAAATTTCAAACTTACAGCTAAAAATGTAGAATTACAATGCTTATATAAGAAGATTGCATGATGAGGGTAAAAATAATACAAACAAGTTTCACTAATTGCTAAAATTCATTAAAAGTAGAACAAAAATGAAACTGGTAAAAAATGTAAAAACATGCAGCAAACTAAACACAAGTTCAGGTAATAACATGCAAATGATGAGCAGTTAGCAAAACATCAATTTGATACGATGGGGATGTCACTTGCAGGATAAAACAAGACATTCAAGCGCATGACTGCCTCAAAACATATTAAAGGCCCTATGCACAGTTTAAAAATATTGTTAATAATCTAAATATTAAAGTGATTTAAACAATACATGAGGCCTTTAATCTGAGGAAAAATAAACTACAAAGACGAACTAGTAAAATAAATACAACACAGGGAAACATGGAATGAAAAAATGTGAGCAAAATGAATTCCAGGAATGCGCACACAAATACAAACTAATCTGCATTAATGTTAAATTATCTAATAACATATAACAGAGTTGCAAACTATGTCTAATAATAATTTATTAATTGATAAATTGTGAGGATTTCTACTAAACCATACTAAGTTATAAAAATGGCGCATTGTATTGTTTGCTCAGTAAATTCGTTGTTTACAATCAGCCATTTTTGTAAATAAACTATTAAAAACTCCATTCTAGATCAGCTTTACAATAATACTCAATGCAATGAGGACAATATAATCATAGTGGTTGTTTTAAAAAGAAAGAGTGGGAAAGAATGGAATCAGCAAGGAATGACATTTACAGTTGCAATAGTTTACACTGTACAGAAATGCCAGACATCTCTCATGAGGAATATCATTTTTGGCATATCATTCATGGCATATCACAGGCACAGTACTTGGCTATGGCCCACTAAATTTTACAGAAAAACTGAATATTAAATTGTGATATCCCCAAATTAACAGAATAGTAGGCAATTATGAGTATATCACATGCATTTCCTTTCCTCCACTTTGTACATGATATAACTTATATAATAGTCGCAACTATTGCCCAAAGGTGTTTGAAATATTCTCCTCATGTTTAATGCACAGTTGCTGGCATTCAACCCATTAACGATATGGTTCTCTGAAGCCATCAGGAAAACTTGTTTGAAGGGCCATCTGGACTGCCTAACTTGAGCATCACCTATTTATCTGTGCTACACATGCCAATGTGTGCCTTCCTCTTTCTGATATTCTGAACATTTAATTGCCTTGTTAATGTCATACTTTGCTGAGAACTCTATTCCACACTTGCACTTCAAAACATGAATGCCATGATTAACCAGAGTTTTTACAATCACTTTACTGCCAGTATTAAACATTAGATGTGAGATAAAAGGTCATATGATTATACCTGACCAATCATATTCATTGGTTATAGTCACATGACCTATCACCTGCTGAATGGCTGACTTAGGTAGCGTAAAAACACTTTAACGAGAGGAAGAAAAATGCGAGCTGTCGCTGCGTGTACATGTACCTGGTCCTTGAGGGAGGTCACTCCCAGTCTTACCCTACTGCGGGAAACACTCGACGTGCTGACACTAGAACATATACTACTGACAGAGTCATTGCTCCCACTACGCTCTCGGGAAAGATTTGTTGATGGACGACGTTTTGGAGTAACCATGGAGGTACTTAGTGAGCTGAGGGTGGCCTTAGGGGCTGCTGTCTTGGGGGCAGGTTTCTGAGCATTGGTAGTTAATTTTGTGATCTTGTGAGCTGGGGCAAAAAGCCCATAATGAGGCTTGCAAGTAAAATATCTGAAAACATCATTAATACAAATTGCATGTGGATATACATTGATCATTAATACATATTGCATGTGGATATACATTGATCATTAATACATATTGCATGTGTATATACATTGATCATTAATACATATTGCATGTGGATATACATTGATCATTAATACATATTGCATGTGGATATACATTGATCATTAATACATATTGCATGTGGATATACATTGATCATTAATACATATTGCATGTGTATATACATTGATCATTAATACATATTGCATGTGGATATACATTGATCATTAATACATATTGCATGTGGATATACATTGATAATATGTGAATGAAGAAGCATTTAATTGGATAAAATATTAGGCTTAAAATGTTATAATTTCCCTAATGGATTGCACTATAACATATTATTGGTAATTAAAATTGAAAATTGTACAAGTAAACTTAATTCTATTGGTTCTTAATACCGTTTTCCAGCAACAGATCCATCATTCTTTCCCATTGGTTCATCCAGCTCCACTCCCGCCCATTCCCCCTTAGCGAACGTGGTCTCTCCTATGAACCTTAGGGTCCCTGGTTTAGTCCCACTGACAAATACACGCGCCCCCACCTTGAACCTTGAGGCAATAGAGCCGCCTACACTAGATGCACTACTATCTGTAGCAACGTTCGATACAGACCCAGTTGGAGATGAGGTCATACTGAGGTCCTGCTTGGAGGATGATATCTTACTAGCCAATCCACCAAGGGTTGGAGCAACCTTTGAAGCTGTTCCATTAGTTGCACTTACTCCCCTAGCAGGGGTAGCTGCTGGTGGTTTAACCTCTGAGGGAGGGGGTGTTGCTTGAAGTGTTGACGTTAGTTTACCCGGCCGTGAGAAAACACCTCGTTTCATATCACACTGAAAGTATCGCACCCCTGCTACACTGCCATCATTCTTACCCACAGGCTCATCCAGGATCACTCCCGCCCACTCTCCAGTTGCAAATTTTGTCTCTCCTGCAAACCATAGTGGCATAGGGTTGGATAATGATCTAGAAGACTGCCTGTTAGGCTTATAATTATACTAGCACCTGTTCATAAACCATAGTGGCATAGGGTTGGATAATGATCTAGAAGACTGCCTGTTTGGCTTATAATTATACTAGCACCTGTTCATAAACCATAGTGGCATAGGGTTGGATAATGATCTAGAAGACTGCCTGTTTGGCTTATAATTATACTAGCACCTGTTCATAAACCATAGTGGCATAGGGTTGGATAATGATCTAGAAGACTGCCTGTTTGGCTTATAATTATACTAGCACCTGTTCATAAACCATAGTGGCATAGGGTTGGATAATGATCTAGAAGACTGCCTGTTTGGCCTATAATTATACGAGCACCTGTCTAGCATATATATTACAAACTCTAATAACAGTTCATTCAGTCAATATTCGTTGAGTCAATAACGCAATATCCTGAAGGAAATGTATTTACCCCCCCCCCCCCCATCCCACTGATTGAGCATATATCTTACCTAGATATGCTACAACTCCTGGTTTGTTCCCACCAACATAGACACGGTCTCCAATGATGAAACCAGTTGCTATAGGAGACCCCTCATGTTCCTCCACTACAATAACAATACCATGGTACATTCAGCATTACATACAGTAAATGGTGGCCTTGGACAAAGAGGGGGGTAGCGGGTGATTTATATAAATGGTGCAAAGAATAACTGGCAGTGATAGGATGCATTGACAGCCATTGGTGTATCTTAAAATGGTGGATGAAAATGGATGATTATAAACTTTTGGTTTTTATCAATCTAAACTCCACAGTTTTGGCTTTAAAATTCCAGCAGTCAATAGTAGCCTGCAACTTACATACACCGAAGGGGCACAAGGGACTGTTATACACCAATGGGGCACAAGGGACTGTTATACACCAATGGGGCACAAGGGACTGTTATACACCAATGGGGCATAAGGGACTGTCATACACTAATGGGGCACAAGGGACTGCCACACCCATTGGGCACAAGGGACAAACATCACAGTTAACAATCACATGCACTTAAGCCCAACATACACCAATGGGGCACAGTGGGAACTCCATAGACTTAACATAGTGTGCTACCCTGTCCTGTGGGATCTTACCCAATTGGTGCATGTTGGGCTTTATTAAATGCAGAGTGCAGTCAAACATTACATGCAAAATAAAAATATTTCACAGTCAAAATAAGGAAACTGTTTCTTAAGTAAATAAACAAATAGTTAAAACTTTATGTAGCTCATGAAATAACAAATTATTTTTTTGATTATCATTCTTAAGACTTCTTTAATCAATTGGCAAATCACAATCTTCATAATTTGAGGAAAGAACTATCTGAGATGGGGGCAGGTGACCCTTAAAGAGGGTGGGGAGGGTGTCTGATAGATGGCACTTAAAATGGGTAGGTTAGGTATCCCTTAAAAAGGGCGACAGGGGGAAGGTGGCACTTAAAAAGGGAGACAGAAGGAAGGTTTCACTTAAAAAGGGGAACAGAGGGGAGGTGGCACTTAAAAAGGAGAACAGGGGGAAGGTGGCACTTAAAAATGTGAACAGAGGGAAGGTGGCACTTAAAACGGGGGACAGAGGGAGGGTGGCACTTAAAAATGGGAACAGAGGGAAGGTGGCACTTAAAACGGGGGACAGAGGGAGGGTGGCACTTAAAAAGGGGAACAGAGGGAGGGTGGCACTTAAAAAGGGGAACAGGGAGACAGAAGGGAGGTGTCACTTAAAAAGGGGAACAGAGGGAAGGTGGCACTTAAAAATGGGAACAGGGGGAAGGTGGCACTTAAAAATGGGAACAGAGGGAGGGTGTCACTTAAAGAGGGGAACAGGGAGACAGAAGGGAGGTGTCACTTAAAAAGGGAAACAGAGGGAAGGTGGCACTTAAAAATGGGAACAGGGGGAAGGTGGCACTTAAAAATGGGAACAGAGGGAAGGTGGCACTTAAAACGGGGGACAGAGGGAAGGTGGCACTTAAAAAGGGGAACAGGGAGACAGAAGGGAGGTGGCACTTAAAAAGGGGAACAAAGGGAAGGTATCACTTGAAAAGGGGGACAGAGGGTAGGTGTCACTTAAAAAAGGGAACAGAGGGAGGGTGTCACTTAAAAAGGGGAACAGAGGGGAGGTGGCACTTAAAAAGGGGAACAGAGTAGGTGTCACTTAAAGAGGGGGATAGAGGGAAAGTGGCACTTAAAAAGGGGAATAGAGGGAAGGTGGCACTTAAAACGGGGACAGGGGGAAGGTGGCACATAAAACGGGGGACAGAGGGTAGGTGGCACTTAAAAAGGGGAACAGGGAGACAGAAGGGAGGTGGCACTTAAAAAGGGGAACAGAGTAGGTGTCACTTAAAGAGGGGGACAGAGGGAAGTGGCACTTAAAAAGATAACATATAAACAATCTAATAAATAAATAAACACCAACATATACCTTGAATATTTTGCATTAGTTGTTGAGCATACTTCTCAGCTTTGCCAGCAGAGAGGCCTGCCGCTCGAGCACTGCTGGTTAAAGCACCTTAAATAAAGCAGTGGAACATGATGGAGGAGTAGGGAGGCAAGCGTGTAAGAGGGAGGGGTAGAGTGTGTGGTGCAGAGAAGCTTACATATACAGTTAGCTCAATAATAAAAGAATACAGGGTGGCCTAAAAAATGAAACCAACAAAAGACCTGGAAGGGAAAATATGGAAATGGTGATGGAAGGGTGACCTTACATTTCATGATGAACTCATTTTTCCATTTCTAACATATCAAATAGTTCATTGATATACATAGGTAGACAAGTTATTTTAAATTGATCTTTCCATTCATTCATTTATAAAGTAGCAACAATCAATAGTGAAAACTGAAAATATTTGAAGCAATCTCCAGAGAAACCATGTCAATGTTTCTCTTGCTATCTTATATATTTATAAGAGTTCTGGAAATGTCAATTTTTCGAAATTAATATTATCATGAAATAAAGTATTCAGAAATATTAGACTTTTTCAAAATAGGCATGACATGGAATGTTGTAGGCGAATATCTCGTAAAAATTGTCTCACAACTTTAATGAAATCATATTCTGTCAGGCACTTGATCTTTTAAGACACACACTTGAATACATGCTAGAGAATAACAGCAAAGAACATGCAAAATGAGAAAGGAATAAATATAAGTATTTACAGTGACAGGTACATGACGTGTATATAATTACATATTCAACACTTTTGCCTGTTAATGTCATTCTGAGTGATACAATCATCATGCAAACTTTGAATGCATTGTTCAGTCTTGCACTGTGCTAAAACATGTCCAACTATTGAGTTACCAGTGTAAATAATCGGGAATGTCACCCTGATCTCTGTATTACATGGACTGTGTATTAGACTGAATAAAAGGCTTGTGTACACTGACAGATCCACAAAAAGGGGGGGGGGCTGGGCCCCATGGACCCATTGTGTGAAAATTGTGAAGGTGCTCAAAAATTGGGCCTTCTCTGGCATAATTTGGCCTTTAAAAGGCATTTTTAAGCCAAATTATCAAAAAATAGGCCTCAAATGTTCAAAATATGGGCCTAATTTTTGGTAATTATGGCCAAAAAAATTTTCCTCGCAAACACGGACCATTTTTTTCATGACTCAAAATTTGAGCCCCTCCTTGTTAATTTCTGGATCCGCCAGTGGTGTATGTAACATTCCTGTTTTTATCTGAAGCAAACTTCCACTTCAGTTTACCAGAGGTGTGTAGTTGTTTTGATTCTAATGAGATTTTAATGACTTTAAAGGCATAATTGGGTTAAGTAAAGTCAAAGATTTCCTTTTTAAGTAAAGTCAAAGATTTCCTTTTTAAAAGTGTAGATGAAACTCTTTTTAAAATATCTGAAATCAAACACTTGAAAAGGGTACCTCCAGTTTTCATTTTACCATCATGATGAAAGATCTCACAGTTACGTATCATGATGACATTATCTCTGCCTTTACACTACATGAAGCCCTGTCAATTTGTACAACACACCATGAAATGCGATAATTTATCTTTTAAAATGACAGCTCCCAGGTGTAAACAAAAATGTGCCAGTAAATGTTTTGCTGTATTTGTTAACATTCATTCAAAACATTCTCACCACAAAAAATGTTCCATTTTGTCTGAGGGTAACATGCCACTTTTATCAAAATGCTTTAAAAGGTTTTAATAACATAAGGAGCAAGACCCCCCCCCAGCCTTAAAAAGGAAATGTAAAAGGTAACAAACAACCCCCCTCCTCCTGTCAAAAAGGAACAAGACTCCCAAAAAGAGCCCCTCTCCAGTTAACATAAGGTATAAGATCAAACTTAATCAAAAAAAGGTTTCAAACTTTGAATATTTTTCTTCTTCAGCAGAAAAAACATGGAATATAGGTCTAAGAAGAAGAAGAGCTGTACCAAATACTAATATTCCCCGTTCATAAAGAAATGGGGATTGTAGCCAATATTTGAATACCAATATCATGAATAAAGACTTGGAATAATGTGGAAATCGTGACTAGACTCAGACATTACATACAGGAATATTTCCAGAAATAATTCAAACCAAGAATACAGAACATGATTAGTATACATGTACTTAGTTAGGCATAAAAACTTAAAACAAAGATAACAAAAATTGAAAAAAAATCTTTTCAAATATGGGTGTTAAATAAATAAATCCACATAACCATGGCAATGACAGCTAAAGTAAACCAGGATGAATCAACAAATATGAAAACATACAATTTAAATTCTCATTAAGTTTGTGACTTATATTTTCATGTAGAACCATTCAAGAGATTTCCATAATTGTATCCTATCTTACTTTCACAATCCATTTTGTCCCTACCCTGATTCCTGAATCCCTGGGACAAGAAGTAATAATCACCTCCCTCTTACTGGCATTAACACTGCTAATATATTGACGGAGTGGATGCTGATTGGATAAGGGTGCATCAAATGATCATATTTCATCCAAAGAACATAGATTATCTTATATGTATGTGCAGTGCATGTTGAAATATGAAGGAAATATAACTTGCTTATTAACAAAATGCAGAGAAACTTACTGTGTGCCTTTTCCCCTGGTGTACCTGCTGCTAAACTGCCAGGTGGCTGGAGTCCACTTGGCTTCCCTATCTTACTAGGGGGTTTAAGCCCACTAGTTCTCGGTGTTTGACTCATTCTAACATCTTCTGAAAGTAAAATTAGTTCATGTAACAGAGATTATACCACCATTTTACACTGCAGTAAGATAATTCAAAAAACACTTTGGTGAACTATTCAACTGAATTCTTTTATCTTTTCTATACATTTTTTTCTTAATGTATGCATTATAGAAATATATGTTTTAGCATCTATCAACATTAAAACACTTTTGGTGCATCAAAACTGATATAAAATTTATATTATTTCCATTTTCAACAAACATACCATGAATAATATGGACCAAATATTTTAATTACTGTTAGTCAACTTAATTTGGCGGCAAATTGAATTTGGCGAATTACAAAAATTCGCCAATTCATGTCTTTGCCAATTTTTCAGAAATCCCAAGAAAATTTTCGTCCAGTGTGATTTATGTTTGGAAAAATGGTATATCATGGTTCAAATGTTGAAGATCTGATTTAACTAATAAATTGGACCATTTTGAGGTTAAAAAGTCGCAATAAGATAGCATCCAGTTGATAAGTTGAGCTAATTTATACATTTTGAAGGTATTAAAGCATGATTTTGGGTATAAGTGATTGATTTTATTGTGCTATTTTCTATCATTTTTCAATGAGATAGAGTGTAAAATGCATGTTGATTCAATAGAGCTTAAACCTAAGTTCAACATAAAATAAGAAGGTTGGATTACATTGATGAGATATTATAACAGATCTTAATTGATATATAAGGGTTATGTACTGGGAGGTTTTGGATTTGGGGTTTATCCAGAGGGAGATATGCATATCTACCTGAGGGACCATAGGGACCGAAGGTAGATGTGCATATCTCACGAGGGATGAACCCAATATCCAAACCGACCGTACATACCGTATTCTCTGTAATTAGCGCCCAGGGCGTTTAGAAAATTGAAAATACATTATTTAGACCATTCTAATAAGCGCCCATGTATGAAAGAAATCAGAAATCCCGAGGAATTTCATGTATGGCAATTTTTCTTGACAAGAATGCATTTTCTTCAACATATTTTTATAATAATATGACAAGTGCTGTTATTGGAGAGAATACGGTAAAGATCGCTTAGACAATATTGACAGTGGTTGAAGACCCGTCTATGTCTAATTTATTTCCGGCACGCCCACTTTGTCATTATCGCCGATTACCTTCAATATTTCCACTAGAGACTGCTGATATCGATCTAAAGTTATACATTATTTCTAATTTGATGAGAGATCATCATTATTCATGCAAAAGTCGTGTAAAAGTCGAGAAACATTAAAAAGAACGAAGTGTCTGGAGTACCTTAAAATTTAAGGCTATTTAGCTGTGAACATAGTGTTTTGGCTAGAGAGCCTTTGTGTTTATAATCCGTGTTTATATTGTTTTTTATTGAAGTTTTCGTCTTCTAAACAATAAAACAACACTCTCGAAAGTTTTTCAACCCAGAATGCCACTTAAAAATTTAACACATGTATATCATTATAGAGTTGCAAAAATTTTGTCCTATCATGGTAAACACTCTGGTATAGTGGTTAGGGTGCTCGCTTTTCACTTTTGTGGCGTGGGTTCGATTCCCCGATGGACCACTTTTTATTTTGAATAACAAGCCGGAAGTTTGTTCTCTGATGTCCGGAAATTATGCACACAATTTTTTCTAGAATTCTTGGGCTTGCTCCATCACTCAATCATCAATGTTTAATGAAATTAATCACTTGTATTGGCTTTGCTATAGTCACGAGAATACAGGGAATCCCATTTTAAGATGGCAAAAAGTATGATGAAGACCTGGGGATAAAAAAGGATCTTGTTTCTTCTAGATCAGCACATCTTGACGAAGTTTATCGTGAATGCAGGGACATCAGCCCAGGGACATCACAGAATACACTTCCAAATATATTGCCCATTAGATTTCAATGCTGATTTTAGAATTTTTCACGTGACGAGATATTTTTGCATAATATTTTCCTCACAAGTGAGAATTTCTAAAAGCACATGAGAGAGCACAAAGAAAATTTACAGTACAAGAGGTGAACTGTCGAGGAAACAGCGGCTTATGCAACACAACAACAACATTTTTATCCTAGCCTCCAATCCATCAATAAATGTCTATACATCAAAATCTTTACTAAACGGACCTTGCGATTTATAGAGGATAAAATGGAAAAAATAACATTTTTCTGGCTATACGTGATTGCCTGGTCTTACACCTTCTCTGGTGAACCAGAGACATATATTTTCGATATATGCATGAACATCAAACAAACATTTACTTTTCAAAATCGATGTTTGAACCTTTAAAAAGCCAAATTTAGACTGAGGATTGAAAACATTCTTTTATTTCTCTCGGTAGACCGGAAGTAAATTTATGAGTCGAGCAAAAAGTGATAATGTTTTTTTATGAAGTGAAGAAGTCAAAACAGTACTAATAGAAGTCATAGTAAGCATTAGAAGATCATTTAAAACCATATAAATCAAATCGACGGCAAAGTTAGTTGAAATGACTGAAATCTTTATATGTTATCTTCTTCATCTTCGCGGACCTCAGAGAAGACACTTCCGGTTTAATAATCAGTGATTTTATCGATCAAAAAAATTACTTACAATTTAAGGCTCTTTAGCCGAAATGCTAAAGAACCTTAAAATTTAAGGCTCTTTAGCATTTTGGTAACCCATTTGGCTAGAGAGCCTTAAATTTTAAGGCTCTCCAGGCGCGGCCTAAAAAGAAACCAGAAAGTTCACGACCTTGACATGCGCAGAACATCTGCGCAGTAGCTTTTGAAATTTCTGAATGCCGATAAAGAACAATTCCTTCATTCACTTTCACTATGGACTATTTGGAGACAATATTAGCATGGTATGGTGTGGGAAGCACCCATCGATAGATATGTATCCAGAGGATGCATAGAATTACAAAACGCGTCGTGTTTACAGCAGTTTTAGGGTAAGTACTCTATTATCGCCCGCTCCTGGATTTTGAGAAATATTTTTTTCCTGATATATTCTTCAATTCTTGTTGATTCCTCGATGTTTCTTGAACTTTGTGAAGCGGGGTGGGCGCTTATTAGAGAGTGGGCGCTAATTACAGAGAATACGGTAACTGCTTTATCCTATACCAAGTAGAGTTTTCTAATTTTCTTTGAATTTTTTTCACATTTTAATTTTTTTTCTATTTTTTCTATTTTTTCTATTTTTTTCTTTTTTTGAATTTTTTTATTTTTTAAAATTTTTCTTCACATTTTTTTTTAATTTTTCTTTTTTTTCAATCTTTTTTTCGAAGCGGGAAGATATGCCCTGGAGCGGGAGATATGGCGGGAGATATGGAGGTTCAAGATATGGAAACCTCAAAATCAGGATACGAGATATATCTTACCAACTTATCTCCCTAAAACTCTACTTGGCATAGGATAAACGTCTATATTTATGACCAGTGATCATGTACATATTCAACATCACATTGAAATTATTACTTGGGATGACTCACTCATCAGGTTGTAGTTCATTATAATCAAAAATATCATAAATAACTTAATCCAACAACAATTTTCTCCTAGATTAAGGTCTATGTGCCTTCCTTTTCATTTGAGATTTTTAGGGTCTTATGGGTAAACCTGTACCAGCATAAAACTGTAACGACCCTTGGGCACGTCCGTCGGGAGCTGTAGTATACCGATACCGAAAGAGAGTGTGCTAAATTCAATTCCCAGTGCGGGAATCGAACCAAGGACCTTCTACTCTCGAATTAAACGCTCTACCCCTGAGCCATAAGGGCTAGCCACTACAGCTGAGACAATAGAAGCGACTTGCTATCGGGGGGAATGTGTTTGCACCTTCCCTGTCTCGAAGTCCAAATTATCTATCATCTCTTTGAGTATTTTTCCTCCAGATAATGCATTGGCCTAACATATGCACCTTTTTAAATCTTCAGAAAATAGCCACAATCTAACATATGACTGTCTAAAATCTGTTGCGTTACCTACCATGGTTATTTTGTGAGCAATATATCATTCATAATAATTACTATAGTCCTGCGAACATCTTATTCTTTTGCCTGTACGATTACAACATGGGAGAATTTTCTACGCTTCTTACACTTAAGATACCTATTTCATTAGATTCCTTGGTATTTTAGCATTCTTTTCTTGTAGTTGAATCCACAATTGTCTGGGTTTATTTTATCGGCAGAACAAAGAAATTTTCGTTTTTAATCATAATATTTGAGTGTAATATTTAACTTATTTCAACCGTCAAATTCCTCCATTTTTGGTGCTTCCGGGCCACTTCCGAGTCAGTCAAACGGGGAATCCCCTTTTAAATCCAACCGCCATCTTGGAAAGTGATGGAATATCTCTCGATGAAAAAGAAAAATGTTCCCGTTCTGCCGATAAACCCAGACAATTGTGGATTCAACTACACGACAAGAATGCTAAAATACCCAGGAATCAATTAAAGTAGGTATCTTAAGTGTAAGGGGCGTAGATAATTCTCCCAAGTTGTAATCGTACAGGCAAAATAATGCTCTCAATGCAGGACTGTAGTCCTGAGGGGTCATTCATCAAGCTATCGCAATCACTGCGACGTCGCAGACACTGCGACCACCGTGCGAGGTCGCAGTGACTGCGACTGCGACCTATTCATTAACAAATCGCAGTCTGCGATGTCCATGCGACCAGTCGCAGTGATTACCACGTGGACGTGCTTGTACACGTGTTAGTTATCCTTTCGAGAACCTCTTGTATCATTTCGTAAACTTTTATAATAGTTAACCCTAGGCATGTGACATCGCAAAATAAGGTCCACATTATCTTTTATTTGAAGAGGATCTGTACGATCTCTAAGTACGCGTTCTCTACGCAGAGCATTACGGTTGAAATCAACCATCAGTTGCGCCATTTCGAACGAATAAACGCTTCCAACAGACGATTAACGTGTCATGCAAGATTGACAATATGGATACTGAGTGGGCACAGCCACGTGGGTCAAAACCCAAAACCACGTGTAACGCACAATCACTGCGACCGGTCGCACGGTGAAGTACTTGAAAATACAAGCCGAAAACTAGCTGTTTTTGGTAGCATCACAAACATGTTAAACATAATGCATATGCTCTGCAACTTTAATATAACATGGATCGAATATCGAACTATACGTCCTAGAATTTCTATATAATTTCATAAAGAAATTCAACTAATTTAAGACATTTTTCGTGAACTAAAATCACTGCGACTGGGTACCACCGGTCGCTTAAATTTGGGCCATTTGAGGGGTATTTCATTGCGACGTCGCAGAAAATTCTACCGATCGCAGTCGCACGAGATTGATGAATAGGACGTAATCGCTAAAAAGGGCCCTTGCGACATCGCAGGCTTGCGACGTGCTTGCGATAGCTTGATGAATGACCCCTCAGGTACGGGATAAGTCAAGGGTATTGGGGGCGTGACATATACGGCATCCGTGTGAAAAGTCCGAACTATATGCATTTTTTTGGCGTTCGGTAATTTACAGTATCGGCAATTTCTTTTTTGAAGTTTTTAAACAGGAATATTTTTGCTTGATAATCATCGGGTAAAATGCGTATTAGCGTGACATATTCTGTCAAGCAAAATAAACTGGCATGACTTCAAAGTATTGAGAAATGAGAAACAAGGAGAAAAACATTTTACAGAGTAAGATAATATTGAACATCCACATACAAATGAGTCATTGACTAGATGAATCACATGTATGATGGAAAAGTTGTCACTGTCAGTTCCTGAGTGAGCTTGAATTCAAAAATCCCCAAAATTATAATTGGATGATGTAAGGCCTAAATTACAATGGGATTCCTAACGATTTTTGAAGCAAAAAGATGTAAATCGCATAATGCCTCAAATAATGAGATAATCAAGTGAAGTTAATTTAAACATGAAGTTTTTACCTGTTTAACGAAGACAATTTTTCCGGACATTCCAATATGGCTGTTTACTTTGCATGAATTCACCGAACGTGATAATATGTAAATTTTCATCGATGAAAAAAGACAGACGTTCGTATTTTCAACAGTATTAATTGGAACTACGAACAATAAGAGAACTGATAAAGAAATATCGTTCTGACTAATAACGATATTTTCTAGTTTAATACTTAGGCAATGTTTCTATGTGAGCTGAATACAGTACAAATATCTACTATTTTATTACTTCTACTACCTTTCTCTCTTTGATATGTGTTCAAAAATCAGTAAAATGAGATAGTTATGTTTTTTTGTTCGCAGCTTCATCTCTCTAGAAAACATTAAAGGTGAACGTTTGTATTTTTAACGGAATAGCGACAGCAGCACAAATAACAACATTTTATAGATCTGTAAATCTGTATAAAACACACGTTAACAGGATGATTACCATAAACATAAACATGTTGTCTGTTCATTTAGAAATTCTGTATTAAGACTGACACATATAAAAAGGTTTGTAAATTGTAGGGTTGTAGGGAAGTTGGACTTATGAAAATCATATGTCAAATTTCAAATAGATCTTAGATCTACACTTTTTTTTTTTTTTTTTTAGGCTAGGCTAGGCTGCATGTACAGTTCATTTCTGATTCCAGCTCAACTGGACCAGATCTAGCCTAAGTCACGATTAGGAAGTGTTCCCATATGTATGTGATATATTTATAAAGGGATGTCTGGTAACTGGTAAATTCCAATCTTTTTTCTAAGCACATTCAGGCAAGAAGAATTTTTAAACTAATGGATTAGATAGACTGTAGACTAGACTATCCTTACTCACTTCGAGAGCCATGTTAGATTTTGAAACTTATGGCTCTTAAACGGGGAAGTGTACAGCTCATCGATTGTGACCTTTGAAATCGAATTAAGTCGATCAGCGGCCTACTTTTGTTCTCTACATGTAACTATGCTATACATCATTATCATCCTGTGCAAGTATTGGAGTGCTGAGGTACTTCCTTTTCGATCAAGACTTGTAATTGTTAGTCGAGTGAATGTTTTTACTGCCGAATTCCAATATGGCGTTTTCTGCTCGGACATTTTCGCACATTTCCGGAGGTTGTCCGAACCTTACTAATTCTCAAAATTCATTTCGTTCGTTGCCTATCTCGCTCCTAGCAAACCGCCATATTGGAAATAGGTCTAAAAAACATTCACTCCATGAACAATTTACAAGTCTTGATCGAAAAAGAAGTATTTCAGCGCTCTAATACTTACACGGATTGATGATACTGATGTAAGACACAGTTAGAGACCAAAAGTAAGCCGCTGATCGACTTAATTCGATTTCAAAGGTCACAATCATTGAGCTGTCCAAATGCTCCGTGGGAAAGCTATTATATCAAAATCCAAATAACTTTCGCAGGAAGTAAGACTTTCCTTCTTCCAAATAAATTCAAAATGATATTCAGTCTGTTGAGATTCAGTCTGTTGGATACACTAATCCATTAGGTGTGCGTGCTATTTCAATAAACACTGGAAAGAAAATATAGTATGACGTCTTTACGTCATATGAAAAATCATGAACCAATTTGACGTGCCAGAACAGCAACTCGCCCGCTGTGACACTCTACTCAATTTTTTATACTGTTCCAGGGCCTATGGTATACTTAATAACTATATCCCATTCGTCAGATTTGGGCGATTTGCCCGATTTTTGGAGATTTGCCCTATCTGGGTGATTAGGATTCAGACAATTGGTGTACAGAACAATGGTATTCAGGTCATTGGGATTCTGATAATTAAGGTTCGGATCTAATGGGATGACCCCATACTATAGTACTAGTGTACCTGGACTGATTCCATTGCGAATTAGGCTACAATTATAAAGATAAGATGTTAAAAAGTCATTGAAAATGAGAAAGCATTCTAGAATGCAGGTCAGCTTTAATAAAGCTACATATGAAGAGTATTTAGCAATTCTTAAACATGTAGACTAATGTTCTTCAGGTTGGATTATTAAATCACAAAACTATTTTTTTCTTTTCACAACCTTTATTTTACTAGACAGGATAATAATAATATGAACAGGGATCAAGGGAACTATAAATTGGCGGGAATTTGGAATGAATTTTTGGTGAATTAATAGGACATAATATTGTTTTTATTTAATTGCTTTGTAGCGCTTCAGTTCAGTTTTATAACAGTTGAAAAAGGATCCAGACAGGATCCGAAACATCTTCATAGTTTTGTATTTAGGATTGTTTAATCATGTCCATTGTTTAATCATTTCCATTGTTTAATCATGTCCATTGTTTAATCATGTCCATTGTTTAATCATGTCCATTGTTTAATCATTTCCATTGTTTAATCATGTCCATTGTTTTATCTGTAGATGTCATCTTCTCGAAGCAAGCTTCCACTTCCACCTATTGAGCGAAAGCAGGAGGAATCAAAGAATTCTTCAGCCAATTTTGAAAGTATACAGTTACTGGAGCAAAGCAATGTCACTCGGACCAGACATACAATAGTAAGTAGAACATCATTGTTTGATAATAGCCAGTACATACATCACCCTTATAATACAACTGCATTGTACATACATCACCCTATAGAACTGCATTGTATATACATCACCCTATACAACTGCATTGTACATACATCACCCTATACAACTGCATTGTACATACATCATCCTATACAACTGCATTGTACATACATCACCCTATACAACTGCATTGTATATACATCACCCTATACAACTGCATTGTACATACATCGCCCTATATAACTGCATTGTACATACATCACCCTATACAACTGATTGTACATACATCACCCTATACAACTGCATTGTACATACATCATCCTATACAACTGCATTGTACATACATCACCCTATAGAACTGCATTGTATATACATCACCCTATACAACTGCATTGTACATACATCACCCTATACAACTGCATTGTACATACATCATCCTATACAACTGCATTGTACATACATCACCCTATAGAACTGCATTGTATATACATCACCCTATACAACTGCATTGTACATACATCGCCCAATATAACTGCATTGTATATACATCACCCTATACAACTGCATTGTACATACATCACCCTATACAAGTTACAACTGCATTGTACATACATCGCCCTATATAACTGCATTGTACATACATCAACCTATATAACTGAATTGTACATACATCACCCCTATACAAGTGCATTGAACATACATCACCCTATGCAAGCGCATTGTACATACATCACCCTATACAACTGCATTGTACACATCACCCTATACAAGTGCATTGTACAAACATCACCCTATACAAGTGCATTGTACATACATCAACCTATACAAGTGCATTGTACAAACATCACCCTATACAAGTGCATTGTACATACATCACCCCTATACAAGTGCATTGTACATACATCAACCTATGCAAGCGCATTGTACATACATCACCCTATGCAGTATGTACAAACATCACCCTATACAAGTGCATTGTACATACATCAACCTATACAACTGCATTGTACACATCACCCTATACAAGTGCATTGTACAAACATCACCCTATACAAGTGCATTGTACATACATCACCCTATAGAACTGAATTGTACATACATCACCCTATAGAACTGCATTGTATATACATCACCCTATACAACTGCATTGTACACACTACACATCACCCTATACAAGTGCATTGTACAAACATCACCCTATACAAGTGCATTGTACATACATCAACCTATACAAGTGCATTGTACAAACATCACCCTATACAAGTACATTGTACATACATCACCCCTATACAAGTGCATTGTACATACATCAACCTATGCAAGCGCATTGTACATACATCACCCTATGCAGTATGTACAAACATCACCCTATACAAGTGCATTGTACATACATCAACCTATACAACTGCATTGTACATACATCACCCTATAGAACTGAATTGTACATACATCACCCCTATACAACTGCATTGTACATACATCACCCTATAGAACTGAATTGTACATACATCACCCCTATACAACTGCATTGTACATACATCACCCTATAGAACTGCATTGTACATACATCACCCTATAGAACTGCATTGTACATACATCACCCTGTAAATATGCTACTGTAGTTTTCCATTTTCCCCACTGAAACAGAAGGTTCAACTTAAAGAGGGATGATGCGATAGGAAAGCACAATCAAGACCCCTGGACTTTTTTGCATGTTGAGCTGTGCCAAATATTCATCCATCTAATTACCAAAGAAGCCCCAAATCTGCCATTTTATTGTCTACTTTTGCGATTGTGCTGACAGAAACTTGAATAAACCGGGGAAATCTACCATGTTATCTGATTGGTCATTAAATTTGCTTGTCAGTCTTGGTTCTGTGACCAAAGGTACTCCGTTATTGACAGTTCTGGAAATTCTAAAAGAAACTGACAACCGGCTTTGAATCTGATTGGCTGCCTGTCTCAAGGGGTGTGCCGAATTTGCCAACACTTGTTTGCTCCTGTCAATTTGAAAGGTTTTTCCCTCGATTGCCACGATCAAACTTTTTACAATTGGTTGTTCTGCTGATTTTCTCAATAAATTCTCAATACTCTACCCATAAGTTTGTCTCAGATATATCTAAGGTATGTAAGATATTATATAAGTAATTATAATGGGATTTCACTGATTGTCCGGGGGAAAAACCCAAGGCGTAATCTACCTTTAACTATTATCATTTTGTAATGTTAAGTTTTTGTAATGTTTATTAAGTATTTTAATATCCAGCTTATTTTCATGGGTTCATTGTGTTTCTAGGTTAAGATTATGTGGTTTTGGCTACAGTATTTGAAAAGTGAAGATTGATATGTGGGTTAACCTCTATTAACATACTCTTCAGTAATTCATTAGAGGAAATAAATACATGAGTACAAAAGGGTTATATGTACTTAAAGGTTTTGGATACACAGTGTAAGAGAAATATCCATCCCTTAGATAAACCAGTCCTCAGTAGGCATTCAGAATAGTAAGAATACAATAGAAAAAAAACACAAAATTGATAACATATTTGTTAATTCTAGGCGGAAACTCCACAAGCTCCCCCTCCACCCATGACTACAAAGAAAAAGAAAGGTAAAAGTAAAAAGAAAGGCAGTAGTAGTTATGGAATGGAAAGTGTTAATATATCAGATGAGCTGCAAGTAAATGATGAACTGGCAACTAATCTACGAGGAACATATGAAATGCTTGGAGAGGATCCCATTCAGACGAAAGATGACAAAAGTGATCTGTTTGCTGAAATCAGAAACAGACAAGGTGTGCCTGTTTCTCGAGATCAACAAAACGAATCTCTAGGACGTCTGGGTTCGCAACAATATGGGGCATCTCGGGATCAGGAACACTATGGCGCATCAGTACGATTGGCACGGTCAACAACAGTAAAAGTAGAGAGAACACAAATTGGGTCAATGCTTGAGCCAGATGATGTATTAAGGGATATTAAGGCAGGCAACCTCAACAGCCTTGGGCACTTCAGAGCGAGGAGGTCATATCACCCAGGTAAACTATAGACCACTTTGTATAATCATGTACTAGAGTATTTTCTGTAGAATGTCTTGTTATAACTCTTGATACTTCCAGATTTTAATTGTTCCAACAAATGAATTTCAATTTGTATAATTTGTATTATGCACACTTTTTGGTCCCGTTTATTAAAATATGCTATAGAACTATCAGTATTGTAGAAAACCTTGAAACATGAATACCTGCAAAAATGAACACTTTTGGTTGGTCTGAGTTGTTTACAGATTCACGCCCGGTGATCGTGAAAATGGGACGGAGGGGGGAGCAGGCAATTTCCGCTAGAAAAGTCAACAAATCTGGTAAAATTATTTTTTCAAGACAGAGTTTACGATTGAATTGCAAATTGAATAAGCGCACGGTATGATAAAATATGTTAGGTATTCTAGGATTATTTTTCAACCGATACTCTTTTAAGATATAAGATCTATTAAAAAAGGCGCAACGCAACCAACGTGCAAAAGTCAAAGTTTTTGCTATAAATCAAGCAACAATTGACTACATGACCTGTAATAAATACTTGTAAGTGATGTTATCATAACTAAATTAATGTCATTGCTGAATTTATAAAATAAGTTTCCATACGTAAAATAAAAAATAATCAAAAATAATTAAAATGGGACGGAGGGGGGAGGGGACGGAGGGGAGAGTAATAATTCTATAAAGTGAAACAACTTCACACGAATTCTTGTATTTGAAAAATGAACTCATTAACTTAGTAAGAAACTGGATGATATACCCCTGGAGACTGAAAAATGGGGACATTTGGAGTAAAAGGAGTTAAAGTTGCGAAACATCTCTAATCATGTCTTATATACATATTGCTCCCCCCCCTCCGTCCCCTCCCCCCCCTCCTTCCCAAATTCATTATTTTTTATTATTTTTTATTTCACATATGGAAACTTATTTTATAAATTCAGCAATGACATTAATTTAGTTAACATCACTTACAAGTATTTATTACAGGTCGTCCAGACCATTGTTGCTTGAAACGTTGATTTGTGCCTGTTGATGGCCTTGCGCCTTTTTTAATAGATCTCATACCTTAGATGCGTATCGTTTCAGAAAAAAATCCCAGAAAACCTAACATATTCTACCATACCGTGCGCCTATCCATTTAGCAATTCAATAGTAAACTTTTTCTTGAAAAAATAAATCTTCCAGATTTGTTGAATTTCCTATCAGAAATTGCCTGCTCCCCCCCTCCGTCCCATATTCACGATCACCGGGCGTGAGATTAGGCAGGTTTAACTTTATATGGTAGCAGGATTTTTCGAAATGATGCATGAGAATAATCATATCATTTAATTCGTCGCACATTTTAGTACTTGTGTCATTCACAATGTTAAGATTGACTGAAAGAGTGTACTGATAATAAATATTTCTATTATAGTTGGAATGACCTCTAGTGACATATTGAAAGAGAAACTAAATGAGCAGACATTCCCTATACACCTTGCACAGGTAAAGTATACACATTTAAGGTACATTTTCTTGTTCACTTAGGACGGGTAAAGTACATTTTCCCGTTCACTTAGCATGGGTAAAGTAAATTTTCCTGTTCACTTAGCACAGGTAAAGTACATTTTTCTGTTCACTTAGCACAGGTAAAGTACATTTTCCTTTTCACTTAGCACATGTAAAGTACATTTTCCTGTTCAGTTAGCACAGGTAAAGTAAAAATTCCTGTTCACTTAGCATGGGTAAAGTACATTTTCCTGTTCACTTAGCACAGGAAAAGTACATTTTCCTGTTCACTTAGCACAGGTAGAGTACATTTTCCTGTTCACTTAGCACAGGAAAAGTAAAGTAAATTTTCCTGTTCACTTAGCACAGGTAAAGTACATTTTTCTGTTCACTTAGCACAGGTAAAGTACATTTTCCTTTTCACTTAGCACATGTAAAGTACATTTTCCTGTTCACTTAGCACAGGTAAAGTAAAAATTCCTGTTCACTTAGCATGGGTAAAGTACATTCTCCTGTTCACTTAGCACAGGAAAAGTACATTTTCCTGTTCACTTAGCACAGGTAAAGTACATTTTCCTGTTTCACTTAGCACAGGAAAAGTAAAGTACATTTTCCTGTTCACTAAGCACAGGTAAAGTACATTTTCCTGTTCACTTAGCACAGGAAAAGTAAAGTACATTTTCCTGTTCACTTAGCATAGGTAAAGTAAATTTTCCTGTTCACTTGGCACAGGTAAAGTACATTTTTCTGTTCAATTAGCACAGGTAAAGAACATTTTCCTGTTCACTTAGCACAGGAAAAGTAAAGTACATTTTCCTGTTCACTTAGCACAGGTAAAGTACATTTTCCTGTTCACTTAGCACAGGTAAAGTACATTTTCCTGTTCACTTAGTACAGGAAAAGTAAAGTACATTTTCCTGTTCACTTAGCATGGGTAAAGTACATTTTCCTGTTCACTTAGCACAGGTAAAGTAAAGTACATTTTCCTGTTCACTTAGCACAGGTAAAGTACATTTTTCTGTTCACTTAGCACAGGTAAAGTACATTTTCCTGTTCACTTAGCACAGGAAAAGTAAAGTACATTTTCCTGTTCACTTAGCATGGGTAAAGTAAATTTTCCTGTTCACTTGGCACAGGTAAAGTACATTTTTCTGTTCACTTAGCACAGGTAAAGAACATTTTCCTGTTCACTTAGCACAGGAAAAGTAAAGTACATTTTCCTGTTCACTTAGCACAGGTAAAGTACATTTTCCTGTTCTCTTAGCACAGGAAAAGTAAAGTACATTTTCCTTTTCACTTAGCACAAGGTAAAGTACAGTTTTTGTCACTTAGCACAGGTAAAGTACATTTTCCTGTTCACTTGGCACAGGTAAAGTACATTTTCCTGTTCTCTTAGCACAGGAAAAGTAAAGTACATTTTCCTGTTCACTTAGCATGGGTAAAGTAAATTTTCCTGTTCACTTGGCACAGGTAAAGTACATTTTTCTGTTCACTTAGCACAGGTAAAGAACATTTTCCTGTTCACTTAGCACAGGAAAAGTAAAGTACATTTTCCTGTTCACTTAGCACAGGTAAAGTACATTTTCCTGTTCTCTTAGCACAGGAAAAGTAAAGTACATTTTCCTTTTCACTTAGCACAAGGTAAAGTACAGTTTTTGTCACTTAGCACAGGTAAAGTACATTTTCATGTTCACTTGGCACAGGTAAAGTACATTTTCCTGTTCACTAAGCACAGGTAAAGTACATTTTCCTATTTACTTAGCACATGTAAAGTATATTTTGCTGTTCACTTAGCAGAGGTAAAGTACATTTTCCTGTTCACTTAGCACAGGTAAAGTGCATTTTCCTGTTCACTTAGCACAGGTAAAGTACATTTTTCTGTTCACTTAGCACAGGTAAGTACATTTTCCTGTTCACTTAGCACAGGTAAACTACATTTTCCTGTTCACTTAGCCCAGGTAAACTACATTTTCCTGTTCACTAAGCACAGGTAAAGTACATTTTTTGTCACTTGGCAAAGGTAAAGTAAATTTTCCTGTTCATTTCCTGTACACTTTGTGTATGGGTAAACTACAATCAGTTTGATAAATGCACCAGTTTGATTTTCATTCATTCTTGTATCATATCGAACCTTTTTCTTTCTGAGCTCACAAATTTTTAAAGAGCAAGTCCTTTATATTATCTAATTTTTGTACTCAAACTTTTGTATTCAAACTGACTGACTTTTGAGGATAAAGTACAATATAAAGTCTGTAAAGTGCAAAGAGACTTTATGAACACCCTGTGTCCTTGGACAGGCATATGTCAGCCTCCAATTTCAAGGTATAAGATCTTGGAAATCCATTCTGTAAATATTCCCACTACTTCAGGTAGTATATACAGAATATAATTTCTCGTGATATCATTTTATCGCCTCGTAGATATCAAATATCAACACTCATTCACTTCGCTCACTCGTGTTGATATTTGATATCAACTTTACTCGGCGATAAAAATGATATCACTCAAAATGATGTGATATTGGGTTTATCCCATGATTACAATCACATTTTAATAATAAAATACAATAAAATATAACAAGAGAATATGCACGGATATGCATGGATATGCGTGAGATAAACGATATCACACGCATATGAGTTTGATAAACGATTTTCTTGAAAATATCACACGGATTTCAATAATATCAGAAATATCAATAGCTGTTATTGTACAGATAACACATTAATCATGGGATAAACATTATATCCTTTCACTTCATCAAATCTTCATTATATAAACTTTTTCAGGGGAATATCTTAGAGACATCAATCCTGAAGGATGTGGCTCAAATGGATCTTAGTGGATTAGACAACCTGACAGATCTATTCTTCTACAGCCTTGCCTCTCTGGATTTGACCTCCAGTTGGACCAAATATATGAACAAAATATCTCTAAGAGGTACTTAGTATTACATTCCCCATTTTATTTCAATAATACTCTTTTAAAAAATTTTGAGATGGCAATATGGATGCTTGATTGACCCCTTCTAAAGAAAATATAAAATTATCAAGTTGAGCTAAGAAAAAGCATTGACATGTGCAATGTTTAGTAAGTAACCATCATGTTCATAACAGGCATATACACAATGACACATACGATTGTAGGTTGTGAGAACATCACTGACTTTGGTGTACAATTATTTGTTTCTAGGTTGTAGGAATATCACTGACTATGGTGTACATATATACAATTGTTTCTTTCTAGGTTGTGGGAATATCACTGACTATGGTGTACATGTATACAATTATTTGTTTCTAGGTTGTGGGAATATCACTGACTTTGGTGTACATGTTTACAATTATTTGTTTCTAGGTTGTGGGAATATCACTGACTTTGGTGTACATGTACATGTTTACAATTATTTGTTTCTAGGTTGTGGGAATATCACTGACTTTGGTGTACATGTTTACAATTATTTGTTTCTAGGTTGTGGGAATATCACTGACTTTGGTGTACATGTACATGTATACAATTATTTGTTTCTAGGTTGTGGGAATATCACTGACTATGGTGTACATGTATACAATTATTTGTTTCTAGGTTGTGGGAATATCTATGGTGTACAACTTTTACATGTTTACAATTATTTGTTTCTAGGTTGTGGGAATATCACTGACTTTGGTGTACATGTATACAATTATTTGTTTCTAGGTTGTGGGAATATCACTGACTTTGGTGTACATGTTTACAATTATTTGTTTCTAGGTTGTGGGAATATCACTGACTATGGTGTACATGTATACAATTATTTGTTTCTAGGTTGTGGGAATATCACTGACTATGGTGTACATGTATACAATTATTTGTTTCTAGGTTGTGGGAATATCACTGACTTTGGTGTACATGTATACAATTATTTGTTTCTAGGTTGTGGGAATATCTATGGTGTACAACTTTTACATGTTTACAATTATTTGTTTCTAGGTTGTGGGAATATCACTGACTTTGGTGTACATGTATACAATTATTTGTTTCTAGGTTGTGGGAATATCACTGACTTTGGTGTACATGTTTACAATTATTTGTTTCTAGGTTGTGGGAATATCACTGACTATGGTGTACATGTATACAATTATTTGTTTCTAGGTTGTGGGAATATCACTGACTATGGTGTACATGTATACAATTATTTGTTTCTAGGTTGTGGGAATATCACTGACTTTGGTGTACATGTATACAATTATTTGTTTCTAGGTTGTGGGAATATCACTGACTTTGGTGTACATGTTTACAATTATTTGTTTCTAGGTTGTGGGAATATCACTGACTATGGTGTACATGTATACAATTATTTGTTTCTAGGTTGTGGGAATATCACTGACTATGGTGTACATGTACATGTTTACAATTATTTGTTTCTAGGTTGTGGAAATATCACTGACTATGGTGTACATGTACATATATACAATTGTTTGTTTCTAGGTTGTGGGAATATCACTGACTATGGTGTACATGTAATGACCAAACAGTTCTCAGAGCTTCATACGGTAAGAAAGGAATACAACTCACATTCATTTTTACTTACCAGTTCTTAAGAGAAACCTCTGGACTCTCTTAACCTACTAGAACTAGAGCTTGTCATTGTCAGAAGGATGAGTTTCTATACTGGTTTAGAAAATGTCAGCACAATGAGTTTGAACAGAGGATTTGCTATAAATATATGGCAATAGTAGTTTTGGTCAAGCTAGAATATTATTTATAATATGGAGACAACTGGCAAAAGTCACTTCATTTGTTGATTTATAAAATATTGCCAGTTGGATAAATGAATTACTGGGATGCAATAGATTATCTTGTTGACAGGTATAGTTGTGGTTAATATAAATATTGTGATTTTTAAAAGAGAAAAAATGTAACATAGGGATTTAGTATGAATTTTTTTAGAAAATTGAAAAAGTCTGGGAAATCGATCAGGAAAATAACTGTGTAAATTGTTTTGATAGAAAATGCCAAACATTATAGAAAAAAGCATTCAATTCAGCTAAAAGAAAATGTTTGTCTTTGTTTTTTAAAAATGCAGGTCTCCTAAAATCTCCTTCAAAACTAGACTTCAAAGATATAGCAAAGCCTCTTCTGATTAATGACCCAGGGGAAATGAAGCATGAGTGTAATTTTAGTTAAGGGGGAGGGGGATGGTCAATTACTCCATGCAGATTAAGACATTTGCTGATTTCTAAAGTCAATTTATACCATATTGTAAATAGCCCTGGTAAACACATACACTGTACAAATTTGTACTCATGTCTTTTTCGAATTTTTGAATGTGAGGTTGTCTAATGGTTACCAATTGCTGACACTTTATATTGAAGTATTCACTAAATGTTTGTTTTTTAGTTAGTCCTGTCTGGATGTAAGAAGGTTACAAGTGAAGGAGTGTTCTATATGATGCAAAATACGAATAAGCTTGTCAACCTACGTCTTGTGGCCACATCAGTCAGTGCTCTGCCACTCATTAACAAGAGCAGTAAGTCTACTTTAACTACAGTTAAACCTGTCACATTAGTCAGTGTTCTTCCACTCATTAACAAGAGCAGTAAGTCTACTTTAACTACAGTTAAACCTGTCACATTAGTCAGTGTTCTTCCACTCATTAACAAGAGCAGAAAGTCTAGTTTAACTACAGTTAAACCTGTCATATCAGTCAGTGTTGTTTCACTTGTAAACAAGAGCAGAAAGTCTATTTTAACTACAGTTAAACTGATTACACCAGTGTTGTTCCACTCATAAACAAGAGCAGAAAGTCTAGTTTAACTACAGTTAAACCTGTCATATCAGTCAGTGTTGTTTCACTTGTAAACAAGAGCAGAAAGTCTACTTTAACTACAGTTAAACTGATTACACCAGTGTTCTTCCACTCATAAACAATAGCAGAAAGTCTATTTTAACTACAGTTAAACTGATTACACCAGTGTTCTGCCACTCATAAACAAGAGCAGAAAGTCTATTTTAACTACAGTTAAACCTGTCACTTCAGTCAGTGTTCTTCCACTCATAAACAAGAGCAGAAAGTCTAGTTTAACTACAGTTAAACCTGTCACATTAGTCAGTGTTCTTCCACTCATTAACAAGAGCAGAAAGTCTATTTTAACTACAGTTAAACTGATTACACCAGTGTTGTTCCACTCATAAACAAGAGCAGAAAGTCTAGTTTAACTACAGTTAAACCTGTCACTTCAGTCAGTGTTCTTCCACTCATAAACAAGAGCAGAAAGTCTAGTTTAACTACAGTTAAACCTGTCACTTCAGTCAGTGTTCTTCCACTCATAAACAAGAGCAGAAAGTCTACTTTAAATACAGTTAAACCTGTCATATCAGTCAGTGTTCTACCACTCATAAACAAGAGCAGTAAGTCTACTTTAAATACAGTTAAACCTGTCACTTCAGTCAGTGTTCTTCCACTCATAAACAAGAGCAGAAAGTCTACTTTAACTACAGTTAAACCTGTCACATTAGTCAGTGTTCTACCACTCATAAACAAGAGCAGTAAGTCTACTTTAAATACAGTTAAACCTGTCACTTCAGTCAGTGTTCTTCCACTCATAAACAAGAGCAGAAAGTCTAGTTTAACTACAGTTAAACCTGTCACTTCAGTCAGTGTTCTTCCACTCATAAACAAGAGCAGAAAGTCTACTTTAAATACAGTTAAACCTGTCATTTCAGTCAGTGTTCTACCACTCATAAACAAGAGCAGTAAGTCTACTTTAAATACAGTTAAACCTGTCATATCAGTCAGTGTTCTACCACTCATAAACAAGAGCAGTAAGTCTACTTTAAATACAGTTAAACCTGTCACTTCAGTCAGTGTTCTTCCACTCATAAACAAGAACAGAAAGTCTAGTTTAACTACAGTTAAACCTGTCATATCAGTCAGTGTTCTTCCACTCATAAACAAGAGCAGTAAGTCTACTTTAAATACAGTTAAACCTGTCACTTCAGTCAGTGTTCTTCCACTCATGAACAAGAACAGAAAGTCTAGTTTAACTACAGTTAAACCTGTCATATCAGTCAGTGTTCTTCCACTCATAAACAAGAACGGAAAAACTAGTTTAACTACAGTTAAACCTGTCATATCAGTCAGTGTTCTTCCACTCATAAACAAGAGCTGAAAGTCTAGTTTAACTACAGTTAAACCTGTCACATCAGTCAGTGTTCTTCCACTCATAAACAAGAACAGAAAGTCTAGTTTAACTACAGTTAAACCTGTCATATCAGTCAGTGTTCTTCCACTCAAAAACAAGAACAGAAAGTCTAGTTTAACTACAGTTAAACCTGTCATATCAGTCAGTGTTCTTCCACTCATAAACAAGAGCAGAAAGTCTAGTTTAACTACAGTTAAACCTGTCATATCAGTCAGTGTTCTTCCACTCATAAACAAGAACAGAAAGTCTAGTTTAACTACAGTTAAACCTGTCATATCAGTCAGTGTTCTTCCACTCATAAACAAGAACAGAAAGTCTAGTTTAACTACAGTTAAACCTGTCATATCAGTCAGTGTTCTTCCACTCATAAACAAGAACAGAAAGTCTAGTTTAACTACAGTTAAACCTGTCATATCAGTCAGTGTTCTTCCACTCATAAACAAGAACAGAAAGTCTAGTTTAACTACAGTTAAACCTGTCACATCAATCAGTGTTTTTCCACTCATAAACAAGAGCAGTAAGTCTACTTTAACTACAGTTAAACTGATTACACCAGTGTTTTTCCACTCATAAACAAGTCTATTTTAACTACAGTTAAACCTGTCACATTAATCAGTGTTTTTCCACTCATAAACAAGAGCAGAAAGTCTATTTTAACTACAGTTAAACTGATTTCACCAGTGTTCTTCCGCTCATAAACAATAGCAGAAAGTCTATTTTAACTGCAGTTAAACTGATTACACCAGTGTTCTTCCACTCATAAACAAGAGCAGAAAGTCTACTTTAACTACAGTTAAACCTGTCACATTAGTCAGTGTTCTTCCACTCATTAACAAGAGCAGAAAGTCTACTTTAACTACAGTTAAACTGATTACACCAGTGTTCTGCCACTCATAAACAAGAGCAGAAAGTCTATTTTAACTGCAGTTAAACTGATTACACCAGTGTTCTTCCACTCATAAACAAGAGCAGAAAGTCTACTTTAACTACAGTTAAACCTGTCACATTAGTCAGTGTTCTTCCACTCATTAACAAGAGCAGTAAGTCTACTTTAACTACAGTTAAACCTGTCACTTCAGTCAGTGTTCTTCCACTCATTAACAGGAACAGAAAGTCTAGTTTAACTACAGTTAAACCTGTCACATCAGTCAGTGTTCTTCCACTCATTAACAAGAACAGAAAGTCTATTTTAACTACAGTTAAACCTGTCACTTCAGTCAGTGTTCTTCCACTCATAAACAAGAGTAATAAGTCTACTTTAAATACAGCTAAACCTGTCACTTCAGTCAGTGTTCTACCACTCATAAACAAGAGCAGTAAGTCTACTTTAACTACAGTTAAACCTGTCACATCAGTCAGTGTTCTTCTACTCATGAACAAGAGCAGAAAACTTTCTTTAACTACAGTTAAACTGATTACACCAGTGTTCTTCCACTCATAAACAATAGCATGAAAGTCTATTTTAACTACAGTTAAACTGATTTCACCAGTGTTCTTCCACTCATAAACAAGAGCAGAAAGTCTATTTTAACTACAGTTAAACTGATTACACCAGTGTTCTTCCACTCATAAACAATAGCATGAAAGTCTATTTTAACTACAGTTAAACTGATTACACCAATGTTCTTCCACTAATAAACAAGAACAGAAAGTCTATTTTAACTACAGTTAAACTGATTACACCAGTGTTCTTCCACTCATAAACAAGAGCAGAAAGTCTATTTTAACTACAGTTAAACTGATTACACCAGTGTTTTTCCACTCATAAACAAGAGCAGAAAGTCTATTTTAACTACAGTTAAACTGATTACACCAGTGTTCTTCCACTCATAAACAAGAGCAGAAAGTATACTTTAACTACAGTTAAACCTGTCACTTCAGTCAGTGTTCTTCCACTCATAAACAAGAGCAGTAAGTCTACTTTAAATACAGGTAAACCTGTCACTTCAGTCAGTGTTCTTCCACTCATGAACAAGAGCAGAAAGTCTATTTTAACTACAGTTAAACTGATTACACCAGTGTTCTTCCACTCATAAACAAGAGCAGAAAGTCTACTTTAACTACAGTTAAACCTGCCACTTCAGTCAGTGTTCTTCCACTCATAAACAAGAGCAGTAAGTCTACTTTAAATACAGGTAAACCTGTCACTGCAGTCAGAGTACTTCCACTCATAAACAAGAGCAGTAAGTCTACTTTAAATACAGTTAAACCTGTCACATTAGTCAGTGTTCTTCCACTCATTAACAAGAGCAGTAAGTCTACTTTAACTACAGTTAAACCTGTCACATTAGTCAGTGTTCTTCCACTCATTAACAAGAGCAGTAAGTCTACTTTAACAACAGTTAAACCTGTCATATCAGTCAGTGTTCTTCCACTCATTAACAAGAGTAGTAAGTCTACTTTAAATACAGTTAAACCTGTCACATTAGTCAGTGTTCTTCCACTCATTAACAAGAGCAGTAAGTCTACTTTAACTACAGTTAAACTGATTACACCAGTGTTCTTCCACTCATAAACAAGAGCAGTAAGTCTAGTTTAACTACAGTTAAACCTGTCACTTCAGTCAGTGTTCTACCACTCATAAACAAGAGCAGTAAGTCTACTTTAAATACAGTTAAACCTGTCACTTCAGTCAGTGTTCTTCCACTCATTAACAAGAGTAATAAGTCTACTTTAAATACAGTTAAACCTGTCATATCAGTCAGTGTTCTTCCACTCATGAACAAGAGCAGTAAGTCTACTTTAAATACAGTTAAACCTGTCACTTCAGTCAGTGTTCTTCCACTCATTAACAAGAGTAATAAGTCTACTTTAAATACAGTTAAACCTGTCATATCAGTCAGTGTTATTCCACTCATAAACAAGAGCAGAAAGTCTACTTTAACTACAGTTAAACTGATTACACCAGTGTTCTTCCACTCATAAACAAGAGCAGAAAGTCTAGTTTAACTACAGTTAAACTGATTACACCAGTGTTCTTCCACTCATAAACAAGAGCAGAAAGTCTAGTTTAACTACAGTTAAACTGATTACACCAGTGTTCTACCACTCATAAACAAGAGCAGAAAGTCTATTTTAAATACAGGTAAACCTGTCATATCAGTCAGTGTTCTTCCACTCATAAACAAGAGCAGTAAGTCTACTTTAAATACAGTTAAACCTGTCACTTCAGTCAGTGTTCTACCACTCATAAACAAGAGCAGTAAGTCTACTTTAAATACAGGTAAACCTGTCATATCAGTCAGTGTTCTTCCACTCATGAACAAGAGCAGTAAGTCTACTTTAACTACAGTTAAACCTGTCACATCAGTCACTGTTCTTCTACTCATGAACAAGAGCAGAAAACTTTCTTTAACTACAGTTAAACTGATTACACCAGTGTTCTTCCACTCATAAACAATAGCATGAAAGTCTATTTTAACTACAGTTAAACTGATTTCACCAGTGTTCTTCCACTCATAAACAAGAGCAGTAAGTCTATTTTAACCACAGTTAAACTGATTACACCAGTGTTCTTCCACTCATAAACAATAGCATGAAAGTCTATTTTAACTACAGTTAAACTGATTACACCAGTGTTCTTCCACTAATAAACAAGAACAGAAAGTCTATTTTAACTGCAGTTAAACTGATTACACCAGTGTTCTTCCACTCATAAACAAGAGCAGAAAGTCTATTTTAACTACAGTTAAACTGATTACACCAGTGTTTTTCCACTCATAAACAAGAGCAGAAAGTCTATTTTAACGACAGATAAACTGATTACACCAGTGTTCTTCCACTCATAAACAAGAGCAGAAAGTCTACTTTAACTACAGTTAAACCTGTCACTTCAGTCGGTGTTCTTCCACTCATAAACAATAGCAGAAAGTCTATTTTAACTACAGTTAAACTGATTACACCAGTGTTCTTCCGCTCATAAACAATAGCAGAAAGTCTATTTTAACTACAGTTAAACTGATTTCATCAGTGTTCTTCCACTCATAAACAATAGCAGAAAGTCTATTTTAACTACAGTTAAACTGATTACACCAGTGTTCTTCCACTCATAAACAATAGCAGAAAGTCTATTTTAACTACAGTTAAACTGATTACACCAGTGTTCTTCCACTCATAAACAATAGCAGAAAGTCTATTTTAACGACAGTTAAACTGATAACACCAGTGTTCTTCCACTCATAAACAATAGCAGAAAGTCTATTTTAACTACAGTTAAACTGATTACACCAGTGTTCTTCCGCTCATAAACAAGAACAGAAAGTCTAGTTTAACTACAGTTAAACCTGTCACATTAGTCAGTGTTCTTCCACTCATTAACAAGAACAGAAAGTATATTTTAACTACAGTTAAACCTGTCACATTAGTCAGTGTTCTTCCACTCATAAACAAGAGCAGAAAGTCTACTTTAACTACAGTTAAACTGATTACACCAGTGTTCTTCCACTCATAAACAAGAGCAGAAAGTCTACTTTAAATACAGTTAAACCTGTCACATCAGTCAGTGTTCTTCCACTCATAAACAAGAACAGAAAGTCTAGTTTAACTACAGTTAAACCTGTCACATTAGTCAGTGTTCTTCCACTCATTAACAAGAGCAGTAAGTCTACTTTAAATACAGGTAAACCTGTCACATCAGTCAGTGTTCTTCCACTCATAAACAAGAGCAGAAAGTCTACTTTAAATACAGGTAAACCTGTCATATCAGTCAGTGTTCTTCCACTCATTAACAAGCGCAATAAGTAGTAGTAGTAAAATTTTTTATTTAAGTCTCACGCACTAAAAGATATACAATGCATACGATACAATTATATATAATTAAGTTAAAACAGTGCCTGGCCGATGCCGACCTATGAGAGACCATTGACATTGAATGTTACTATTTCACGCCTTTTGGCTAACATCTTTATGATACATTTTCCAAGGGTCCTTTGTACAGTCTTTTCATTCATAATTAAACAATATTTTGAGAGACTTGGAAACATGTTAAAGTCAAGGCAGATATCAGTCATTTTGGCAAACACTTAAACTTGTCTCTGAATGCCTCTATAATCCGAACATGCCTCTCAATGTAAACATTTTATCCAGCTCCACTTTTTTAATCTGCCAATTTAGACTTTGATGTTTAAAAGCCTCAAAACATGAACACATGCCAATCTGAACACTTTTAACTGATCCCATTAGGTTCAAATTATACATGTTTTACTGTACAATGAATGTAATGGTTCAAATTATACAGGTTTTACTGTACAATGAATGTAATGGTTCAAATTATACAGGTTTTACTGTACAATGAATGTAATTGTTCAAATTATACAGGTTTTACTGTACAATGAATGTAATGGTTCAAATTATACAGGTTTTACTGTACAATGAATGTAATGGTTCAATTTATTTCTGTGTTTGTTTTGACCAAAGTTCATTCCACACAGGAGAACAGTCTTAAAGGTTGACGCATATCGTTTAGCAAATCGAACGCTTGTTTTTAGTGTTGCTCACTGTTTAGTATAAAAGGCACCATCCGGGATAAAACTCAAGGGTATACCAGGTTTGAGGTCGTGGTGTAAACACCTCTGCCTGTTTTTGTAGCAATAGTATAGAATAGATCGCCATACATTTATAAAATAGAAATTTTTGTTTTGACAAATCAATTTCACATTTTATTGGTGAAGTTTAGGACCTTCTATTTGTGAGTAATAGGAGAAATTGACATCTAAATTAACCCATCACGTATTAGCACACAACATGGCTCATGAAATGTCCTACAAATGGAGCAAAGCAGTGTGAATGAATACAAGGATTTATGTTGGCTGATGTACATGCATCCTTTGGATAATTCACTCTCTCAATGTCGACAGAATCATTGTAGAATATTATTTTATCTACAAGACGATTTCAATAAACTAGAATTTACAAAACTTCCCTATTTCTTAAAAATGGACTGATCCAGCTGACTCGCCATATTGTTTTTGTCCGGGAAACTTGACGGAATCCTTTAAAGTAAAGTTTTTACTATGCACATGGGATTTTTCTCCATTTTTGCGAATATTAAGTTTGATTAGGAAAAGTTCTAGCTTTCTGAAATACATATACATGGAAGTACATTTATTTGTGTCATGTTCATGTCTTGTCATTGTTTTGGTCATAGGTGATGCCTACAAAAATGTGAACATTGATATTACTGGATGCCCTATGCTAAACATGAAGCCACAGAAAAACTCTGAGATGGGACAAGTACTTCAACTGGCAAATGTTAAAGAAAGAGAGACATATTTTTGTAAGTATCCATTCAAATATATGTTTTTATTGTCTTTATATAGATACAGTGTATTTCCCATGGGATAAATCATATAATCCAAAACTGACCATACATAGCTGATTTTTACCATTGTTGTTAGGCCCATAATGTTCATTGAATCACAGTTGCGCTCAAAGCTATTGGGATAATTTAATTCATCTTTGAAATTGATTCTTATTATTAGAACATATTCTGGGATGATAGATTGAATTTCTAGCTCATAAAACTTCACCATGTGAATTTGACAGGATAGATCATGCAAATATTGGAAGGAGTCTTTACAAGTTATTGAAGATTAAAGGTAGAACTTCACTGTTGATCAACTTTTTTTCTACAATTCAGATTTTCTTGAAAAAATCTAGGTGAAGGACACTGATGAATAACAAAATATGTGAAAATTAGAAAGGTTGACTGTTTGGTTATTTCTCGAAAAATATTTAAATTTAACATTGGTTGCAATGAGAAAATGCATTTTTTAAAATAAAAAAAATTAACAATTCAGACTGACTCTTTAAAAAAATTGTGATCATTTGATGGGAAACCAAATTATTTATGAAAATTCACTGTCTGGATCTTGGGCAATTAAAAATGAAAAAAATTCTGCCAGGTTTCAAACCCACTTTCCACTGACTGCTCAATGAACAGTGAACTTCTACATTAAGTCAAAGAAAGTTGAAAAAGGAAATGTCCCCTTTTCCAAAACTACTTTGCCAGATAACCTTAAACATGAACTATTATTCTGATGTAAAGACAATATCATGACATGTCAAGACAATATCATGACATGTCAAGACAATATCATAACATGTCAAGACAATATCATGACATGTAAAGACAATATCATGACATGTAAAGACAATAGCATGACATGCAAAGACAATATCATGACATGTAAAGACAATATCATGACATGTAAAGACAATATCATGACATGTAAAGACAATATCATGACATTTCAAAATTTATTTCATAATTCCAGCTTTACAGAAGCCTCAGGAATCTTCACTGGATGTGAAGGTTGTCTTTGTTAACATGGAGAAAGCACCAGTCAGTAGAGCAAGTACATATCTACAGAATGGCAAGAAAGACAATCTTCAGACACCACTTCATTATTTTACTCACCAGATGAAGCAGGCAAATTGTCATGTGTATGAGACGTCCATTCATGAGGTATTTGTCTAGTTTATCTTTATTTGTAATGTATACAGGGACCAGTCATTGATTCAAAAGCACTCTAGCATTAGGGAAAAAGATTGCAAGGGGAGGGGTGTGAGATGGGGTTTGTATGGGGAAAACGGGGCAAAGAGACACTATTATCTATCTGTGAAAGACTAGGCAAATTGTCATGAGGCTAGCACTTATGTTTTATCAAGCATCAAAGAAGTTTTCTAGATTTGGTAAATTGAGGTTTTGTTGTACTAATTCGCTGTAAATACAGTAAAACTGTGTGAGGTTTATTTATTTTATAATAAGTTATTGGGTAACCAGAAAAGTATTCCACCTACAGATTGAGGTGTTCTACTTTACAATTTTTACTGTAGATAAATCATACAAACATTTATATGTACTTCTAATATTAATTAAAAAATTTTCTAGGAAGCCATACTGGATATGCTACTGAGTGATGGGTGTATTTGTGTTCTGACCAATGAGATTGAATCAGACATAAACGCAGCTAGAATACATGCAGCTCTATTACAATTGGCTCAAAGGGCTCCCAATGCCAGCTACAATGTGCTGCTTATAAAGTCTAAATCTGCTAAAACAGATCTGAGTATTAATCTAGATCAGTTGAAGAAGGAGCTTAGAGATATTAGCATGCAGGCCAAAGCAGCTGTAGAAAAGGCATTGAAGGCAGTTTTAAAGTATGTGCAACACATATTGTAATGTCCTGTATTATATAGCAAGTCAATGACTGTATATAAAGTACAGAGTATGTGCTAGTCAGTATATATTCAATTAAGATCACTGTCTGGGTCCTTAAGGACAGTTGAGCTAATTGTACACAATTGCTGGAATTACACCTGGCGTTTTACAAAAGCTTCTTCGGTTTTAACCAGGTTTAAGAATTAGGTGTAATCACGATTGCGGTTTTACAAAAGCGCTTTTCTAAAACTCCAAGAACCCTTGTCACTAGTAAACGGCATAAGTCGTTAGGCGTTTTAAGTGTGCAGTGTAATACCGATCGGTTTTTGTAAAACGCCTTACCCGGGTTTTTACTAGTTTTTAACATTTTCCCTAAACGAAATATTTGATACATTTGAAACATTTGATACATGATGAGACATCCGGTCATGCTGCTATCTGGCTATATCTAAATTGAAAAATGGATGATGGTCGCCAGGTCACATCGAAATCAAGTGTTATCTTCGGAGAATATGTACATATTTTTCTTTCACCTTTTATTATGTTTTTTCATAATTAATAAAAGATAAAAATTATGCAATGTCATGCATTTCTAATCAAATTATGGAAGATCAGTTTTGTCTTAGATGCAAAAAGAATACATTTACAGGAGATGTACACATACATGTATGCTAGATGTTATCCATAACTACATCGTTAAAAGTGCACGAAAGGCGTTTTAGAAAAAACAGGTGTAATTCCAATATATAAATCCTAAGACGCTTTAGAAATGCAGGTGTTATCAGAATGGCGATTTTGTAAAGCGTCTTCCACTAAAACGTTTTAGCGAATTTTGTGGTGTAATTCCAGCAAATGTAATGATCATTTTATTTGACTGTTGTTTGTAATAGCGTTTAATGGAGTTGGCAATAAATAATTTCATTTATTTATCATTATCATTATTGGTCATATGTTAAAAACATCAATATATTATTGTTAATGTTCTATGACAAAATACAGGTAAGTAGATTTATCTGTATATATTTCAACTGTTTCATTTTATAAAATATTTAGTAATCATGGATCCAGCATGCATTCGAAAAAAAATAATACTAATAAAATTACCAGACTATGATCTTAAAGGAATATTCCTTGCCAGACCATCTCTCTCCTAATATGGTAGCTATAACCATACATATACTTTCCATGTTTAGCAAAACATGGACAAATGTTTTGATATGGTCAATATTGATAACTTAAAAATATAGTGCTCAATCCCAGTAAGCTGCCATCTTTTAAGATTTCACTCAGGAAGTGATGTCATCGACTCTCAACTTTGCATATAGCATTAGGTAAAGAGCTATTGGAATTACAAAACCAGTAGAATATTTTTTTCAATTTGGTCTATGATTTAAATCCTTCTGGTGATCTCTTCTTTAATTCTGGGTTGACAAGCCCTGAAAATATTTTTGCACAGAAGATAAGGGATTCTTGTCAAGAAGTAATTTTGTGCTTCTTTCCTATACTGTAATAGGCAAGGTTATAACAGGTGAGAGTCGATGACATCACTTCCTTAATGAAGTTTTAAAAGATGGCAGCTTACTGGAAATGAGTAATACAATTTTGAATTAACAATATTGACCATTTCAAATTTTTTTTTCGTGTTTTGCTAAATATGGAGAGTATATATATGATTATAGCTACCATATAAGGAGATAAATAGTCTGGAAAGGAATATTCCTTTAATTAATGTAATCAATATATCATTTTTAGTTCTGAACCAACACTGGGAGGACTAGATTTTTGGCAGCAGGATTTGTGGAGCTCTGCAGGTAAAATGTACCATATCCTTGAGCGCTGGATAAACTCTGATACTCTGACTGTCCAGACTGCACTGAATGACAAGTTCAGGTTTGAGCCAGACATTGAGAAGGTGTTATCATATGCCCCTTGGGTGCATTCAGAGAGTGCAGAGATGGAGGATATAAGAGTGAAATTGGCAACAGAACTAATCAATGAGCAGGGGATATGTAAAGCAAGCAAGATGTATGAGAAGATATCAATGAAGCCTGCAAGAATATCTGCTCACTTTAGAGCTTTACATGGAAAGGTATGTGAACACATTACGATTACAGTTTATATGCTTGTTTATATCCTTGGCAAATATGATATCATATTGGCCCTCTGTATGAAATCCATATTCAATACCTTCTAGTAAATAACCTTTATATCTTAAAGCTCATACTGGTATACATACGGTAATTCATTTATAATTTATCAACCAACAAAATCTATTTTAGGGTGGAATTCTATATGACCAGGGAGAAGATATCATATTTTGGCCCCATAGATTTGCAAAGAGCATACAGGTATTGAAGCAGAGTGCCATCTTGAATGAGGATCGGATACCATATCTACCTAAAGATATGCCTGTGTTAGCAACTGATATGGTGAGCAATGATGAATAATATTTAAAGTTATAATCACAATCAGATATGACATGTAACCACAAGAGAGGTGTTAAGCTATGCTATTCTGGGGTCATTAACAGAATGTTTGTAAAGCTATGAATTCCAGAACAATTTGGAATTTATGGTAAGAGAACAATGTACATATACTTAAGATCTTATCTTAACTTTACTCTCTGTTATGACTCCCTTGGTTCATCCTTATTTTTATGACAGAGCCTAGGCTGAATCCAGCATATTGCCCTCCTGCATTGGTCCTAGCTGGTCTTGGTATAGCACAGGTCCCTGTCAAGTCCCCTCCTGCATTGGTCCTAGCTGGTCTTGGTATAGCACAGGTCCCTGTCAAGTCCCCTCCTGCATTGGTCCTAGCTGGTCTTGGTATAGCACAGGTCCCTGTCAAGTCCCCTCCTGCATTAGTCCTAGCTGGTCTTGGTATAGCACAGGTCCTGTCAAGTCCCCTCCTGCATTGGTCCTAGCTGGTCTTGGTATAGCACAGGTCCCTGTCAAGTCCCCTCCTGCATTAGTCCTAGCTGGTCTTGGTATAGCACAGGTCCCTGTCAAGTCCCCTCCTGCATTAGTCCTAGCTGGTCTTGGTATAGCACAGGTCCTGTCAAGTCCCCTCCTGCATTGGTCCTAGCTGGTCTTGGTATAGCACAGGTCCCTGTCAAGTCCCCTCCTGCATTAGTCCTAGCTGGTCTTGGTATAGCACAGGTCCTGTCAAGTCTCTTAACCAGTTAGCAAGTTGACTTTCAATTAGTTCATCTTCATATCTTCTAATTAAACACAATGTATTGTATACAGGGTGACTAAAAATGTAACACTCTAGCTATTTTTATCACATTTCTTACTTTTATGAATAACTACAACATCAATTGTTTAGGTTGAGCTACAGATGGACGAAAGTGTGATGGTGCGATTGTTGATAAAATATGGCATTCTGATGAAAGTTATTTCAAAGATAGGAATGTCCCCTCCCAGTTTAGCTGATCGACCCAGTAGTGCATACATCATATGGAGTGACCTCCCATATTCTATTCAGCCTCAAATACTTGTAAGTTATCTCTCTGTATTAAAAGAATAATAAACAATGTTTTCTTGAAATACAGGGTGTTACGAAATAGAAATTGCTCTCATTTTTAGAAGCTTGATAATGTGTGCTGTTGCTATTACTTGAGATTATTGATTGACATTTTGCCAAGAGTTAAATTATATAGTTATGGTTGTCATGGTAATGGTTGTCAGAAGTATATAGATCAAATCCAAAGCAACTCTAAAATTGGATTAAACTGAAAAATTGTTCAAAATGTAATTTACATGTTACACATTATAAAGTCTCTACACTTTACACATAATTTAGAATTGTAATTTTAAAGAGATTTACACTCTGAATACTAAGAATTAGATTTACTTAATTTTATTAGTTTTATTTTCACACATACACGTGTATTCTTTACACTAAATTAATAATGCTATTTGAGGCTTCATGAATACTTTACACAATATTTGACACATGAAAATGTATTATACTATTGTGTTATATGTACATGATTCATTTCAGGAGCAGATATGGCCAAGCTCACAGTCAGATGTCTTGGAGGTTAGCTATCACTACAAGTTCCCAATGAAAATGCCTCTAGGATTCTTACAACATTTCATTGAGTAAGACAAAACTAATCACATATATTATTATATAGTGTTTATACAGGGTGTTCCAAAAGTAACAGGACTGGTGCTGGCAGTTTGTCAATTCTGCACCGAGTGTGTTCAAATTTTCACAAATTGTACTTAGACGTAGTGCAACTAAAATTGTAAAGTCTCAGAAAAAATGATAAAATGAGGGTAAAGTTATGGTTACTATAGTAATGTGACATCACTACACCCGGGGCAACTTTTTCATAAAAATATGATATCTAACATTTTTATATAACTGAAGAAAGTATCTAATTCACCTATTACAATACAACATTTCTTGTTTGCTTTATTAGATGCATTATAGTTATGATGTTGCCATAAAACTCAGATTCAAGTATGATTTCATAATAATAATATTATTCAATTTCCTGAAATATCATTATGTATAACAGTCTTCACAATTCACTGTTGAGTTTTTGAAAAGACCTAATTTGAAGCCAGTCATCCAACTTGATAAGGCGCCTGCCTGCAAGTCAGCGTTAAAGACCACTGCAAGCGGAGCTAGGTCTTGAAGTCTAAGACCATGTACCATAATCTTCTGATCATGCAATATCTAATTTTTACTTTTATATGGAGAATGGAATGCTAATCAGCGTGGTAAGATAGTTAAAGATGAGAATGACCTTCTCCAAGTCCTATCGACCCTGCATGACATGTCATCATATGGGTTCACTCATCTGTTTGAGTCATGGATACTGAGTGCTACTCTTGTACTAACCCAAGAGGATCCTACTTTTCAAAGTAGAGGATACATAGGAATATCAAATGATGTATTTCGCAAAAATGTAATTCCCACCAGTTGTTCGATTCTAACTTTGATATGGGATGTACAAAATGCTTAAATTCTCTGTAACTTTCTGCGTGGAATGTTGCCCCGGGTATTGTGATGTCATGTTACCATAGCAACCATAACTCTACCCCAGTTTTATAATTTTTATCGAAACTTTGCAATTTTAGTAACAATACATGAAAGTATATTATGTACAATTTTGAAGACAATTGGTGCATATTCAACAAAATGCCAGCACCAGTCCTGTTACTTTTGGAACACCCTGTATATGTCACCATCAATATTGCAAGAAATTGTGATAAATTTTTTTCATTATATTACCAGTATTTTGCATTCAGTACTACTGTCAATTATATCTGTAACAATTGTTACATTCAGATGTTACATCCTATTTTGAAATCATTTGCAGGTGGTGACATTTTGTAAATTGTTAATGCTTGTCTTCTTTCTCTCTCTGTTGCACTTTTCAAAACTGAATCGTGGGAAATGTCTCTTGGGTGAACTACACAATTTTAGGGAATTTCAAAATAAATGTAATAAGATATTTCAGGATTGGCCAGACCACCTAAGAGACATTAGATTTATAAATAAGTATGCACTAGATTTTACGTGTTGAACTATAGACTTCGCTGGTAAAAAACTTCAAAATGTAAAAACCTGCCAATCCAGACACTTTGAGTCAGTCCTGATAGCATTGTATTACAGAAAGTGCCAAAAGCTGACTCCTATATTAGCACTATGGCTGGAAGGACTGTTCTGTAGATATGGAGCTATGATTACATTTACTATTTTGTATTACAGAAAGTGTCAGAAGCTGACTCCTATATTAGCACTATGGCAGGAAGGACTGTTCTGTAGATATGGAATGATGATTACATTTACTATTTTGTATTACAGAAAGTGTCAGAAGCTGACTCCTATATTAGCACTATAGCAGGAAGGACTGTTCTGTAGATATGGAGCTATGATTACATTTACTATTTTGTATTACAGAAAGTGTCAGAAGCTGACTCCTATATTAGCACTATAGCAGGAAGGACTGTTCTGTAGATATGGAGCTATGATTACATTTACTATTTTGTATTACAGAAAGTGTCAGAAGCTGACTCCTATATTAGCACTATAGCAGGAAGGACTGTTCTGTAGATATGGAGCTATGATTACATTTACTATTTTGTATTACAGAAAGTGTCAGAAGCTGACTCCTATATTAGCACTATAGCAGGAAGGACTGTTCTGTAGATATGGAGCTATGACTACATTTACTATTTTGTATTACAGAAAGTGTCAGAAGCTGACTCCTATATTAGCACTATAGCAGGAAGGACTGTTCTGTAGATATGGAGCTATGATTACATTTACTATTTTGTATTACAGAAAGTGTCAGAAGCTGACTCCTATATTAGCACTATAGCAGGAAGGACTGTTCTGTAGATATGGAGCTATGATTACATTTACTATTTTGTATTACAGAAAGTGTCAGAAGCTGACTCCTATATTAGCACTTTAGCAGGAAGGACTGTTCTGTAGATATGGAGCTATGATTACATTTACTATTTTATATTACAGAAAGTGTCAGAAGCTGACTCCTATATTAGCACTATAGCAGGAAGGACTGTTCTGTAGATATGGAGCTATGATTACATTTACTATTTTGTATTACAGAAAGTGTCAGAAGCTGACTCCTATATTAGCACTATGGCAGGAAGGACTGTTCAGTAGATATGGAGCTATGATTGCATTTACTATTTTGTATTACAGAAAGTGCCAAAAGCTGACTCCTATATTAGCACTATGGCAGGAAGGACTGTTCTGTAGATATGGGGCTGTGGACATTCTGTGCTCAACAAGATCAGAAAAAGGTTAGTAAGTGTCATTATTTGTGACTTGGGGATTAAAGACCAACATAAATGCTGGGTTAACTCATGAAGATATCATAACCACTCATGGATATAAATGATATTTTTCAAAACCATAGGATATTCCAATGGATTAATGAATCACTAATATTTTTCTGTTTGTTTAGATGGCGATTTATTAAGTCTGAGCACACGGCTGTATAATACAAGCTCATCTGAGGAACCAGATGTACCTAAGACACACATTTGGCGTGTCATGAATATATTCACTGCTGCTCTGCATTACACAATCAAAAGTACTAAATCATTTGCTCAGGTAAAAATCTGTTATTTTATATTGATGCATTGCTTTTGTTTAGAATAATACCACTACGTTATGCACACATGTATGTAAGTGAAAAACTGAATTACATTTATTGAAACACGATCTTCATCATGATATGAGGATCAGGATGGAACAGAATTGAATAGGAGGGGAACAATAACTTTATGAATGTGTAATCAGATCTCTGCCGGCTCTGGTATAAACAATGCATTTTTTGGTATTTGTGATTAGCATACCCTGTTTATATTGATACATGTAGGATGATACCCAGCAAGCTCAGCTCCAGATTTCAACCAATCAGATGGCCTGGTTTACATTTTTCAGATCAGCGTGCCCTGCATGACCTGTCCAACAGAGGATGTACTGTGGAGGCAAGATGTTACCCAGCATCCTTATGAGAAAATTACAACCAATCAGATTGTTAGTTGTGTGAAATGCTCTGAGGCTAAAAGGGAGGAGAGTTCAATTGGTTTACAAGTACCAGGTGAACAGGCAGTATAATTTTGTTTAAGATTATTTTATTATATGCTTTTACAAAACACTTTTCTTTGTTAGTCAGTTCTTTAAGGTGGTGATTTTTGAAGCAACCCTTTAAGCATTCAGGGGAAAACTTAAAATGTGAGGGAAAATTTAATATGTGAAGTAAAACTTAGTATATGAAGCAAAGGGTTAAAGGAGGAATATTACTTCCTTTGGACATTACTACAGTTTTAGTTGAAAATATGTTTGAATAAATAAACATCTTTAAGATTTTGATGAGGCAGGTTGTCTTGCCTGCTTCGTGTAAGCAACTATTTTCAACTCAAGAACATTTTTTATCATTGTAAATGTATTGTTTTTCTAATACTTGTAATGAATACAACAGAAAAAATGGGCTTAATAAGAGTTCAAAAATGTGACTGTTTTCTAAAGCTGATTATTATTTATTTGAATTCCAGGCAACAAGTGGTGCCTAGATCAGAGACATCTTTGTATGCCCGAAGCCAAGAAACTTCTTGGAACAGGGAGCTCACTAAGTTATGGATGTAGGTTTATGTTTCATTTTCAAATATTTTTGCATGCCTCAGTTTGAAATCAATGTGCAACAATAAAATTATAAACATCTATTAACCAGTGAATATACTGCAGATAATATAGAAAACATTTGCTTGAATTATCATCTGGCAAATTGTTAAGAAAATCAAGAATATGTAAAACACTTGGCGTTGTGTGCTGCGACCTTGGGGAAATCCACTTTAAAGATTATATAGAAGGTTGTTTGATAACAGATGGTAGACATCCTTTTGAAAGTTACTCCCTATCTGACCTTTGAGGGACAGCTTAATAAAGTTATCATGTCACCATCACAGTTGGTGACATATTGTTATGGTCACCAACTTTTTGGAAGGTGTTCGGCACTTGATGTTCAGTAGTAGTCTGCATTCAGTGTCTGTGACCAACAGCAGGTGTTGACATGTTAATGCCTTACATGTATGTTTGATATCGATTTGATACGGGATTTGTGTTATATTGTTTTACAGTGTGTACATGCTGCCCTCCTGAGGAACATTTCTTCTGCAAGAGCTGTGGGATATGCTCTAAGGCATCAGCTACTTTGTATGTGAGTAGCCATCATTTTATTCAATGATTTTACGTTAACAAATACAATGCAGTGATCTCCCCATGTCACTTTTACCGGGGGCTCCCCCTACTTGAAACCAAAGGCCCCCCAGTTGGCATCTGCACTTCTAACTTCTGATTTGAAAAATGAGTGAAGTAAGCACCTACACTGAGATATTGTGAGCGTAGCGAGTGCTGATTTTTAGACTTGAAATCTTGCACCCAGTTGAAATTTTTTTTTAGGGAGAACACTGCAATGTTAGTAATGCAGTGATTAGTTGTAGTCACACCAATATCCTAAACCTCCTACTGAATAAAAGATATTTTTTAGGGAATCCAATCCAACTTATATCCAAGTCTAAATGGCTTGACTCCTTGGTATATGAAGGCCACCAGAGGTGAAGGAGATACAAAAAAACAAGAAGGATGCCTGTTTGAGTTTACCGGAAAGGACAGTTCATCGACGATTGACGCATATTGCATAGGATATCCCATGATGCCTGAGTACTTCAACATATTTTCCATTACTCTGTTGAGTTCATGTGAAAATTTCACAATGATGCTAATCAGGTAAGAGCTCCTTGAAAATTTCACAATGATGCTAATCAGGTAGAGCTCCTTGAAAATTGTACAATGATGCTTATCAGGAAGAGCTCCTTGAAAATTTCACAATGATGCTAATCAGGGAAGAGCTCCTTTAAAATTTCACAATGATGCTAATCAGGGAAGAGCTCCTTGAAAATTTCACAATGATGCTAATCAGGTAAGAGCTCCTTGAAAAATTTACAATGATGCTAATCAGATAAGAGCTCCTTGAAAATTTCACAATGATGCTAATCAGATAAGAGCTCCTTGAAAATTGTACAATGATGCTTATCAGGAGGAGCTCCTTGAACATTTCACAATGATGCTAATCAGGTAAGAGCTCCTTGAAAATTTCACAATGATGCTAATCAGGTAAGAGCTCCTTGAAAATTGTACAATGATGCTTATCAGGAAGAGCTCCTTGAACATTTCACAATAATGCTAATCAGGGAAGAGCTCCTTGAAAATTTCACAATGATGCTAATCAGGTAAGAGCTCCTTGAAAAATTTACAATGATGCTAATCAGGTAAGAGCTCCTTGAAAATTTCACAATGATGCTAATCAGGTAAGAGCTCCTTGAAAATTGTACAATGATGCTTATCAGGAAGAGCTCCTTGAACATTTCACAATGATGCTAATCAGGGAAGAGCTCCTTGAACATTTCACAATGATGTTAATCAGGTAAGAGCTTCTTGCTTGGGCATTTGAAAGTTAAATATATATTAAACATCCATTCTCTCCTAAGATTGAATATTATTTCTTTATTTATTTTAGGAATATTTTGGTAATTAGAGCCTATGCCCTTGTTGACAAAGTATTTCTAAGAACTTAATATGATAAAATCTCTGCCTAATGTATCTTAATGATGTTTCCTTGTGATACATGTGCTTCTATTTCTTGTTTCAGAGGTGTGAATGCAGATAAGACTGATCTAGAGTCCAATTCTGAGATTACTTGGGAAAAGTCAAACCTAGCAATTGGAGACACTTTGACATTACAGGTAAATTGAATGTCCACGTAGCACAATGAACAACATAATATTATGTGGTGGCATGGTGTTTACAATATTCTTTGCATTTGTTATCCATTAACATGTCCATTATAAAGATAATGGTCTACGGAAAATTAGTATTTATAATACTATCCTCCAATACAAGGTTAATCTTAATTTATTAACTTAAATGATAAAAGCGGGAAAGGTTCCCAACAATGCCATGAAATTAAGAGTCATTCGGGGAAACTATGTCAACAAAACCAGATTTGGAAAACTTCCCCACCAGTCTATCTAATTTTTCAAATTCTTCATAATTATATGCTAAAGCAGACGTGAATTGATTTTTTTTATTAATGACTATATACCTGGGCCTCAGCTTTGTGTAATATTTAAAAAGGGCACTGTCTTTTTTCACTCAAAGAAACAATAAAAAATTATTTTATACTTCTAGAATGCATTGATGATATCAAAGGTTTAGGAAAACCAGAGATGGTGGTTGAATCCAGGACATTATTTCCCCCATTTATATAATTATTAATTGAATACTGTATTTATTACAAACCTTTTCCAGATATCTATGAAAGGGGACGTGATGGACGCCACTGTCTATCAAAATGGTGACATTTGTGACGCAAAGAGTTGGGTTGATATTCAGAGCTATCAGCCATTGATTCCAGCCTTTAAGATGACAAGCAATGAACCTGAAACTGATTGTTACATACTGCATTCTCCAAGTTACCCAGTAAGAAAATCCTTAAATTTAATTTTTCTCAATTGTCAAGAGATAAATTATTATGTAGAGCCAACCTCTTTGTGAATGACATCAGTGTTCATTATCTCTAACAAATTGTTACACTTTTATAACCATTTGCCTCATGTTACTACATTTTTAGTTCACGATAATGAGTTTTATTTTCAGTCATAAATGAGCAATAATACTTTAATAAAGGCATTGGTCACATGGAGCATTTTACTCAATAATTTCAGATAATGTTTCAACATAATGTTTCAATTTCAATTGAATTTCTGACAAGAAGCAAAATGAAAAAGATAGTTGCATTTCTTGAAATTATGATTTAAGTAAAAACAACTGGCGAATGTTATCTAATATTACATGTATGAATATATATTATGCAATGATATTAGATATGCTTTCTACTACTTGTATGAATATAATGCAATGATATTAAACTTGCCTACTACTACATGTATGTATATAATGCAATGATATTTTGTAGAGTAACAGAAGTAGAACCTGCAATACTGCACTTCAGTATAGTGGCCTCTCTGTAGGGATGTATGTGCAACTGAATAGCAATGATGGCCCTTATTTTGTATATTAAACAATGATATCACATTTTGTAGAGTAACAGAAGTGGAACCTGTAATACTGCACTTCAGTATAGTGGCCTCTCTGTAGGGATGTACGTACATCTGAATGGCGATGATGGCCCTTATTTTGTATATTATACAATGATATCACATTTTGTAGATTAACAGAAGTGGAATCTGCAATACTGCACTTCAGTATAGTGGCCTCTCTGTAGGGATGTATGTGCAACTGAATAGCAATGATGGCCCTTATTTTGTATATTAAACAATGATATCACATTTTGTAGAGTAACAGAAGTGGAACCTGTAATACTGCACTTCAGTATAGTGGCCTCTCTGTAGGGATGTATGTGCAACTGAATAGCAATGATGGCCCTTATTTTGTATATTAAACAATGATATCACATTTTGTAGAGTAACAGAAGTGGAACCTGTAATACTGCACTTCAGTATAGTGGCCTCTCTGTAGGGATGTATGTGCAACTGAATAGCAATGATGGTCCTTATTTTGTATATTAAACAATGATATCACATTTTGTTGAGTAACAGAAGTGGAACCTGTAATACTGCACTTCAGTATAGTGGCCTTTCTGTAGGGATGTATGTACAACTGGATGGCGATGATGGCCCTTATTTTGTATATTATACAATGATATCACATTTTGTAGAGTAACAGAAGTGGAATCTGCAATACTGCACTTCAGTATAGTGGCCTCTCTGTAGGGATGTACGTACAACTGGATGGCGATGATGGCCCTTATTTTGTATATTATACAATGATATCACATTTTGTAGAGTAACAGAAGTGGAACCTGTAATACTGCATAGTGGCCTCTCTGTAGGGATGTAAGTACAAGTGGATGGCGATGATGGCCTGTATTTTGTATATTAAACAATGATATCACATTTTGTAGAGTAACAGAAGTGGAACCTGTAATACTGCATAGTGGCCTCTCTGTAGGGATGTAAGTACAAGTGGATGGCGATGATGGCCCTTATTTTGTATATTATACAATGATATCACATTTTGTAGAGTAACAGAAGTGGAACCTGTAATACTGCATAGTGGCCTCTCTGTAGGGATGTAAGTACAAGTGGATGGCGATGATGGCCTGTATTTTGTATATTAAACAATGATATCACATTTTGTAGAGTAACAGAAGTGGAACCTGTAATTCTGCATAGTGGCCTCTCTGTAGGGATGTAAGTACAAGTGGATGGCGATGATGGCCCTTATTTTGTATATTATACAATGATATCACATTTTGTAGAGTAACAGAAGTGGAATCTGCAATACTGCACTTCAGTATAGTGGCCTCTCTGTAGGGATGTAAGTACAAGTGGATGGCGATGATGGCCCTTATTTTGTATATTATACAATGATATCACATTTTGTAGAGTAACAGAAGTGGAACCTGTAATACTGCATAGTGGCCTCTCTGTAGGGATGAACGTACAACTGGATGGCGATGATGGCCCTTATATTGTATATTATACAATGATATCACATTTTGTAGAGTAACAGAAGTGGAATCTGCAATACTGCACTTCAGTATAGTGGCCTCTCTGTAGAGATGTATGTCCAAGTGGATGGCGATGATGGCCCTTATTTTGTATAGTATACAATGATATCACATTTTGTAGAGTAACAGAAGTGGAACCTGTAATTCTGCATAGTGGCCTCTCTGTAGGGATGTACGTACAAGTGGATGGCGATGATGGCCCTTATTTTGTATATTATACAATGATATCACATTTTGTAGAGTAACAGAAGTGGAACCTGTAATTCTGCATAGTGGCCTCTCTGTAGGGATGTACGTACAACTGGATGGCGATGATGCCCTTATTTTGTATATTATACAATGATATCACATTTTGTAGAGTAACAGAAGTGGAATCTGCAATACTGCACTTCAGTATAGTGGCCTCTCTGTAGGGATGTAAGTACAAGTGGATGGCGATGATGGCCCTTATTTTGTATATTATACAATGATATCACATTTTGTAGAGTAACAGAAGTGGAATCTGCAATACTGCACTTCAGTATAGTGGCCTCTCTGTAGGGATGTACGTACAACTGGATGGCGATGATGGCCCTTATTTTGTATATTATACAATGATATCACATTTTGTTGAGTAACAGAAGTGGAACGTGTTATACTGCACTTCAGTATAGTGGCCTCTCTGTAGGGATGTATGTACAAGTGGATGGCGATGATGGCCCTTATTTTGTATATTATACAATGATATCACATTTTGTAGAGTAACAGAAGTGGAATCTGCAATACTGCACTTCAGTATAGTGGCCTCTCTGTAGAGATGTATGTCCAAGTGGATGGCGATGATGGCCCTTATTTTGTATAGTATACAATGATATCACATTTTGTAGAGTAACAGAAGTGGAACCTGTAATACTGCATAGTGGCCTCTCTGTAGGGATGAACGTACAACTGGATGGCGATGATGGCCCTTATATTGTATATTATACAATGATATCACATTTTGTAGAGTAACAGAAGTGGAATCTGCAATACTGCACTTCAGTATAGTGGCCTCTCTGTAGAGATGTATGTCCAAGTGGATGGCGATGATGGCCCTTATTTTGTATAGTATACAATGATATCACATTTTGTAGAGTAACAGAAGTGGAACCTGTAATACTGCATAGTGGCCTCTCTGTAGGGATGTAAGTACAAGTGGATGGCGATGATGGCCTGTATTTTGTATATTAAACAATGATATCACATTTTGTAGAGTAACAGAAGTGGAACCTGTAATACTGCATAGTGGCCTCTCTGTAGGGATGCACGTACAAGTGGATGGCAATGATGGCCCTTATTTTGTATATTATACAATGATATCACAATTTGTAGAGTAACAGAAGTGGAACCTGTAATACTGCACTTCAGTATAGTGGCCTCTCTGTAGGGATGTACGTACAACTGGATGGCAATGATGGCCCTTATTTTGTATATTATACAATGATATCACATTTTGTAGAGTAACAGAAGTGGAACCTGTAATACTGCATAGTGGCCTCTCTGTAGGGATGTAAGTACAAGTGGATGGCGATGATGGCCCTTATTTTGTATATTATACAATGATATCACATTTTGTAGAGTAACAGAAGTGGAATCTGCAATACTGCACTTCAGTATAGTGGCCTTTCTGTAGGGATGTACGTACAAGTGGATGGCGATGATGGCCCTTATTTTGTATATTATACAATGATATCACATTTTGTAGAGTAACAGAAGTGGAATCTGCAATACTGCACTTCAGTATAGTGGCCTCTCTGTAGGGATGTACGTACAACTGGATGGCGATGATGGCCCTTATTTTGTATATTATACAATGATATCACAATTTGTAGAGTAACAGAAGTGGAATCTGCAATACTGCACTTCAGTATAGTGGCCTCTCTGTAGGGATGTACGTACAAGTGGATGGCGATGATGGCCCTTATTTTGTATATTATACAATGATATCACATTTTGTAGAGTAACAGAAGTGGAATCTGCAATACTGCACTTCAGTATAGTGGCCTCTCTGTAGGGATGTACGTACAACTGAATAGCAATGATGGCCCTTATTTTGTATATTATACAATGATATCACATTTTGTAGAGTAACAGAAGTGGAATCTGCAATACTGCACTTCAGTATAGTGGCCTCTCTGTAGGGATGAACGTACAACTGGATGGCGATGATGGCCCTTATTTTGTATATTATACTATGATATCACATTTTGTAGAGTAACAGAAGTGGAATCTGCAATACTGCACTTCAGTATAGTGGCCTCTCTGTAGGGATGTACGTACAAGTGGATGGCGATGATGGCCCTTATTTTGTATATTATACAATGATATCACATTTTGTAGAGTAACAGAAGTGGAATCTGCAATACTGCACTTCAGTATAGTGGCCTCTCTGTAGGGATGTACGTACAAGTGGATGGCGATGATGGCCCTTATTTTGTATATTATACAATGATATCACATTTTGTAGAGTAACAGAAGTGGAATCTGCAATACTGCACTTCAGTATAGTGGCCTCACTGTAGGGATGTATGTACAAGTGGATGGCGATGATGACCCTCATTTGTATATTATACAATGATATCACATTTTGTAGAGTAACAGAAGTGGAATCTGCAATACTGCACTTCAGTATAGTGGCCTCTCTGTAGGGATGCACGTACAACTGAATGGCGATGATGGCCCTTATTTTGTATATTATACAATGATATCACATTTTGTAGAGTAACAGAAGTGGAACCTGTAATACTGCATAGTGGCCTCTCTGTAGGGATGTAAGTACAAGTGGATGGCGATGATGGCCCTTATTTTGTATATTATACAATGATATCACATTTTGTAGAGTAACAGAAGTGGAATCTGCAATACTGCACTTCAGTATAGTGGCCTTTCTGTAGGGATGTACGTACAAGTGGATGGCGATGATGGCCCTTATTTTGTATATTATACAATGATATCACAATTTGTAGAGTAACAGAAGTGGAATCTGCAATACTGCACTTCAGTATAGTGGCCTCTCTGTAGGGATGTATGTACAAGTGGATGGCGATGATGGCCCTTATTTTGTATATTAAACAATGATATCACATTTTGTAGAGTAACAGAAGTGGAATCTGCAATACTGCACTTCAGTATAGTGGCCTCTCTGTAGGGATGTATGTACAAGTGGATGGCGATGATGGCCCTTATTTTGTATATTATACAATGATATCACATTTTGTAGAGTAACAGAAGTGGAATCTGCAATACTGCACTTCAGTATAGTGGCCTCTCTGTAGGGATGTACGTACAACTGAATGGCGATGATGGCCCTTATTTTGTATATTATACAATGATATCACATTTTTTAGAGTAACAGAAGTGGAACCTGTAATACTGAATAGTGGCCTCTCTGTAGGGATGTACGTACAAGTGGATGGCGATGATGACCCTTATTTTGTATATTATACAATGATATCACATTTTGTAGAGTAACAGAAGTGGAATCTGCAGTACTGCACTTCAGTATAGTTGCCTCTCTATAGGGATGTATGTCCAAGTGGATGGCGATGATGGCCCTTATTTTGTATATTATACAATGATATCACATTTTGTAGAGTAACAGAAGTGGAACCTGTAATACTGCATAGTGGCCTCTCTGTAGGGATGTAAGTACAAGTGGATGGCGATGATGGCCCTTATTTTGTATATTATAAAATGATATCACATTTTGTAGAGTAACAGAAGTGGAACCTGTAATACTGCACTTCAGTATAGTGGCCTCTCTGTAGGGATGTATGTACAAGTGGATGGCGATGATGGCCCTTATTTTGTATATTATACAAAGATATCACATTTTTTAGAGTAACAGAAGTGGAACCTGTAATACTGCATAGTGGCCTCTCTGTAGGGATGTAAGTACAAGTGGATGGCGATGATGGCCCTTATTTTGTATATTATACAATGATATCACATTTTGTAGAGTAACAGAAGTGGAACCTGTAATACTGCATAGTGGCCTCTCTGTAGGGATGTATGTACAAGTGGATGGCGATGATGGCCCTTAATTTGTATATTATACAATGATATCACATTTTGTAGAGTAACAGAAGTGGAATCTGCAATACTGCACTTCAGTATAGTGGCCTCTCTGTAGGGATGTACGTACAACTGGATGGCGATGATGGCCCTTATTTTGCCAATGTTAGTGATGTGAAGGAGTCTGGAATAACATTATACAACAGTAAGAATGTAGATTTGTTAGCATCTGGTTGAAATTCCATTGATTAATATATACCAGGAACCTTAATTCATCTAAAAAAGGTGGAGAAGACAATATCACTAACAAAATGTTGAAACTTGTGGCTGACTCTATCGATGTTGAACTAGTTAAACTATTCACTAGTTTCTTGGAGACAAATACATTTCCTGATTGCTGGAAACTGGGTATAATTGCTCCTATATATAAGAATAAAAATTCAAAAGCAGACCCATCCAACTACAGACCAATCTGCGTCCTCAATAATCTCTCAAAGCTTTTTGAACGAATAATTTAATATGCAGCTTTTTTTGACCATGTTTCCTCGAAGAGGTTCTTACCAGGACATGATACAGAGAAGCAACTATTTTCTATTGTTAATATGTTAGCCGATAATTTTGACTCAAACATCGCAACCCGCGGAATCTTTTTAGATGTGACTCCAGACTCCAGATCCTATTAAATAAATAGTGGGGTTCCCCAAGGATCAATTCTTGGCCCCCTGTTATTTTTTGCTATATATTAATGACTTAGCAGACTCAGTTCATAATTGTAAACTTTTCTTATATGCTGATGGTAGTTCCATCTTCTTGACAGTACCAAAGAATGAATCAGTTGAAGCAACAAATCAAAAAATTCAATCAGATATCAATGAAATGTCTAATTGGTCCACTAAATGGAAACTCAAATTTAAAAAAATCTAAGAGTAAAGAGGTTATCTTTCAATCTAAACACACACAAAAAGTCAAGAAACAAATTCCAGTAACAATGAATAATGAGCAAATACCTCTTGTAAATAGCCATAAACATTTAGGCATCATTTTAGACAAACACCTTAGCTTTGAAGAACACATTAACTCAGTGATTACTAGGTGTAATAAAATGTTAAATCCATTAAAAGCACTCAAATTTTCAGTAAGATCAAAACACTTACAGACAATTTATATGGCATTCATTCTCACACATCTCGAATATGGCAATATTATTTTTGACAGCGCAAATCTAAACCTCTTAGCAAGTTTAGATAGAGTTCAATATAGAGCGGGTCTTATTGTAAGTGGTTGCATCCAAGGGTCAAACTCTGAGAAGGTGATGGCATGTCTTGGATGGAGATCTTCATCCAATCGAAGAAAAGAAAAAAAACTAGTTTTTATTATGTTTGACTTTGTAAATAATTATAAGATGCCTTCATACGAGGGTATATCATAAAGTTCTCATAATATCTCTCTATTTTTTTTTCACAGAATGTGTAGTATAGAATGCTGTATTAATCTATCAAAAAATATTTGGTATAACAGAAATATTATTTAAGAAATGGTTGCCATAGTAACCCGAAATCAAGGCACCCGGATCAAATAAAAAATTGTGCAAGAATAGCCCCAATTAACCATTTTTAAATGCAAATTAAGTTATCAAACAAGCTATGAAACACATCAAATTGTTAAATGCCATGTGTTCTTGACTATTTTGGACAATTATAATGGTCATGTGAATTGTGTGATCTCATAATGGATGATTGTAATGCTTCATTAGAAGTGTTGTTAGGCACTACAACTGTTTTGTCAAATATTCCAAGGAAAGTCGATTTTCCCTTTAGTTCATCTTTAATATGTTTAGACCACAAATAGGGGGTAATTTTGTTGATATCTTTGCAACATATTTGTTTTAGATCATCTTTAGTATGATCAAAGGACTTTTCAAACTTAACCAAACTTTTTGTCAGGATGAATTTTATTTTTCTGATGATCTCTGCATCTATGCATTATCTTACTCTGTCATTTCTGATCATTAAGCTTTGATTCTCAGAGTCTGGTATCACATCTAATGAAGCATGTAAGCATCCCCTAAGACATCACATAATTCACATGATCAATTTATTTTATAGTAAAAGCATTTAACAACATATTTAACATAACATTTTAATGTGTTTGACAATTTATGAGAGTCTATTATGTATGAAAACATGGTTAATTACGCTCATTTTCTCAATTATTTTTATTTGCCCCGGGTGCCTTGATTTCCGGTTACTATGGCAACCGTTACTTATTTAATTTTTCTGTTATACCAAATATTTTTTGATAGATTAATAGAGTGTTCTATACTGCAGATTTCATGAAAATTTCATTACAATATATTGAAAAATAAAAAATTAGAGAGATATTATGAGAACTTTATGATATACCCTCGTATGTTTCAAATGTTTTTGAACAGTATAAGAATCAGGTAAATCACCAAAGACTTCGACGTAGCAATGATTTTAAGATCCCATTCAAAGCATCTGCTAAACTTAGGAAGTTTACAGCTTTATCCAGTATTAAATTATGGGATAATTTACCTGATGAACTGAAACAAGCACACTCACGCAACTCATTTAAGTATAAAATTAGAACACTTTTGAATGGGAAAAAGAAAGAATTCACAACCCCAAGATTAAACCTATCCAGAGATAAAGAAATTGTCTTAAATAAAACGAGATGTGATCTCATTTTTAGGCAGCATCTTTTTACACATAACTTCAGAAATATCCCAAATGCCAAATGTAAATGTGGTCACTCTACTGAATCAACCAAACACCTATTGCTCCATTGCCCTCTTTTTAACATTCAATCAGACTCAATTTTCACAGAGAACTAGGGGGACTGCCATCCTTTAATTTAAACTCTTTCAATAATAGAAAACAGGAAGACAGGGTAGACTTTCTACTTTTTGCAGATCCTTCTCTTGACACAATTACAAATAAAAAGGCTATTGAATTAACAGCCGAATTTTTACACTCTATTGTCAAGGAAGTTAAATAGTCCAATATTCATTAATATGTACATATATCTCTGACCTGTCTTCACGTTTTCACCATTATTTTCATGTTCATAAATATGTTTTATATCTATCATTTTTACATTGTGACCTATTTTAACCTACATTGTAACTACTTTAACAGGGCCAATAATGCTTCGGCGTAGGCCTTGTATCTGTTTGTATGATGTATTATGAAATAAAGGAAATATAAAAATTTAAAAAAAAAATATATATATATATACCAGGTACATATACACCATTTATCCCATGATTATACTACTTCCCAGTGAATAACACCTGGGAATATTTTGCTATCCAGTCCCGCTAACAAAAATGGTATTCAATTCACAGTCCCATTCACGAAAATGGTATTCAATTCACAGTCCCATTCACGAAAATGGTATTCAATTCACAGTCCCATTCACGAAAATGGTATTCAATTCACAGCCCCATTCACGAAAATGGTATTCAATTCACAGTCCCATTCACGAAAATGGTATTCAATTCACAGCCCCATTCACGAAAATGGTATTCAATTCACAGTCCCATTCACGAAAATGGTATTCAATTCACAGTCCCATTCACGAAAATGGTATTCAATTCACAGTCCCATTCACGAAAATGGTATTCAATTCACTGTCCCATTCACGAAAATGGTATTCAATTCACAGCCCCATTCACGAAAATGGTATTCAATTCACAGTCCCATTCACGAAAATGGTATTCAATTCACAGTCCCATTCACGAAAATGGTATTCAATTCACAGTCCCATTCACGAAAATGGTATTCAATTCACAGTCCCATTCACGAAAATGGTATTCATCTCCCAGGAATTTCTGATAAGCAAAGCTTCCTATTTTGTTGAGTTGGGTCAATATACTGATCTATTTTTACCCAAATGACTCAACTCATTATTTTAATGTAAAGGGTCCCCAGTGCACAGCTACAAGCCTGCACTACTGGTAAACAGTAGCGATGTCAACGTGGTAGCCTAGCTGACAGTCGCAACTGGTGTATCTTATCCATCCAATTTTTTAATAAGTTGAAACCATACCATATATTTGCAATACTAGATCTATTTTTGTCAAGGTTTGAATTATATTCTATTCAAATTCTATCACTGTAAAATTATATATTTGCTTTAAATGGGCTTAATACAGCCTTTTGCAGATTATTGACAAAGACTTATTAACGTGCTATAATGATGTTGTTATGTGAAAAACGATATTTTCCAAACAAAGTTGAAAGTAGAGATTTTGAAATGCAAAACGTATGAAGCCATGTAGGCCTATTACACGCAGGCGAATTGAAAATGTGATACAGTTAAGTCGTATTTTATAAACTAAATATAGGTATAGACTGGTTTTGTTTTGATTTCATGAAGAAAGTTATGAAATTCATGGGATAAAAAGCTTATTTACTGGTTAGGATTTAATATTGGTTTATTCAACATGACAATATGATGTTTTCCCCAGGCCAATATTATATTTCCCTTGGAATAAACCCATATTCAATCCCTCCAAGTAAATAATTGCTTTTAGGCGAGGAGTGAAATTCTCAATTATGCAATTTAAAGGAGTTTAATAGTTAAGAGTATATAAGGATGTGTCATACCTTAATCTTTCATTTATATATGCTTTTGTGAAAATATATATATTGTAAATTGAAATGGGGGACAATGTATGTATCATACAGCCACAAATAAACTTTCATTGTTTAAAGTGACGAACCTAAACTTAAAACGAAATCTACAATCTGATCCTTAGTGTATTATTATTTATTAGCATAATTACAATAACTGATTGGAAACCTTGTATGATTTCAGAAGATAATAGTTTGCTTCGCGAATACCCTCATCATTGCATAGAAATGCATCACCCCTTGAACAGCACTGAATTATCATGGGCCAACTTAAACAAAAGTTCAGACCTTTTACCAACACTCACTCTATTTCCTGGGTCTGAGAGTGCAAAGTTAAATTATATTAATGAAGCAGAAATAGGGAGCAGTTGTGTTTGCCCTGCTAGGACATCAAGCCCATTTTACCTGCAACAGGAACTTCTTCAAAGGTATGGTGTAGCTTTTGCAAAGGTATGGTGTAGCTTTTGCAAAGGTGTGGTGTAGCTTTTGCAAAGGTATGGTGTAGCTTTTGCAAAGGTATGGTGTAGCTTTTGCAAAGGTATGGTGTAGCTTTTGCAAAGGTATGGTGTAGCTTTTGCAAAGGTGTGGTGTAGCTTTTGCAAAGGTATGGTGTAGCTTTTGCAAAGGTATGTTGTAGCTTTTGCAAAGGTATGGTGTAGTTTTTGCAAAGGTATGGTGTAGCTTTTGCAAAGGTATGGTGCAGCTTTTGCAATGGTATGGTGTAGCTTTTGCAAAGGTATGGTATAGCTTTTGCAATGGTATGGTGTAGCTTTTGAAAGGTTGGTGTAGCTTTTGAAAGGTTGGTGTAGCTTTTGCAAAGGTATGGTGTAGCTTTTGCAAAGGTATGGTGGAGCTTTTGCAATGGTATGGTGTAGCTTTTGCAAAGGTATGGTGTAGCTTTTGCAAAGGTATGGTGTAGCTTTTGAAAGGTTGGTGTAGCTTTTGCAAAGGTATTGTTTAGCTTTTGCAAAGGTATGGTGTAGCTTTTGAAAGGTTGGTGTAGCTTTTGCAAAGGTATGGTGTAGCTTTTGCAAAGGTATGGTGTAGCTTTTGCAAAGGTATGGTGTAGCTTTTGAAAGGTTGGTGTAGCTTTTGAAAGGTTGGTGAAGCTTTTGAAAGGTTGGTGTAGCTTTTGCAAAGGTATGGTGTAGCTTTTGCAAAGGTATGGTGTAGCTTTTGCAAAGATGTGGTGTAGCTGTTGCAATGGTATGGTGTAGCTTTTGCAAAGGTATGGTGTAGCTTTTGCAAAGGTATGGTGTAGCTTTTGAAAGGTTGGTGTAGCTTTTGAAAGGTTGGCCAAAAATGTGTCCATTTATTCAAACCTACTGAGAGGCTAGGTACATAATGTGTGGAATATATAATGCATCTGGGATAGAAGTGGGATGGATATTTATAAGATATCCTATGGTTTTGAGGAATATCATTTTTATCTACAAGTTGATATTGATATCTGCCTGAGAGAGCAAGTAGATCAAAATGATGTGCTGAAAAATCATAGGACCTTCTAATTATCATACACTTACTAGTAGTGTACTAAATGTGTATTATTATTATTATATCTTGGTTACCGCCATATTTGGCGAGCAATACCTCATTGGTATATTCCATATTTACGCATTTTACACTCGAAGACAGAGCCAGAAACCCCTCCTTGGAGGAGCCCTGTGTTCTTTTATGTGCACAGGTACACAGACATACAGGTACACACCACAGCCTTTTATACGAGTCGTGAACCACTCAGTCAAACACCCAGAATTACATAACGCACAAACAAACTTGTCTGAACCGGGAATCGAACCCGGGGCCAAGCGATATTGGTAACCTTGACTCTGCCTCTGAGCCATAGCGGGTGGACTATCATTGAAAATCAACAAGCGGAGTATATCTTCACAATATCCTCCGCATATTGGTTATACAAAATGTCCATTTTTGAAGATTATGCAACGTTGATAGGTAGAATGTACATGTACCTAGAACCAAAGTAGGTATGGGATATGTCTTTTATGTACAAATAGTTTTGGAAACAGGGTTTATACCTCATGAAATATATGTATCTCCTTCTGTCCCTTTGTTCCCTTGGAAATTGACATATTCCCTAATGATACACATTGTCCAAAATCCAAAACTTTTAAAACTCTAATATGCATTATTTATTATTTATTCAGGGTAATAAATTCTAACCCAATCTGCGAGTATATAAGACATTTCAATGCCAAACCATGCATCTTTATCAGTTGACAAATGTCTTTGAAATTGAATTGAGATGGAATATGTAAACCAAAAGTGTTGAAAATTCTATTCTGTAGTCTGGTGGTTTCAAGAGATTTCTTTGATTCTGCTATAACAATAAATTAAACAGAAAAAGAACTATTCACATTTTAATTCCATACAAATTCAGAAGTTATTCATACACATATTATCTTACTCTAAATTCAATTGTCTCTTTTATTGTAACATCATTTATCAAATGAGAATGATTTTGTTTTTTTATTACTTATATGTTTCTGTCATGAATTATTATTGTTGTTGAATGATTGGCTGATATGCTTTTTGTGTTTTGCTTTCCAATGGTATGGACATTGCTTTTTTCAGTTAATGAATCTAAGAATTCAAATTGCTGTTTCTGAATTTTAGGCTGACTGAATCTCTGTCAGATTTACCACATGGGACGCCCCTGGCACTGCCATTACCTGCCAGAGTAACTCTGGATGAAGTCTTACATCCTCCAAGGTCATTGGCTGCAATAGACCCTGAATGTGGATCAAAACTTCAACTGGTATGTCAGGGACGTGACAACTATCACATAATGAACACTCCAGGTTGGTAACTGCATTATGATCAGATATTTCTATTAAAGTGCTACATTTTAGAAAATAACAATAGTTATTTTAGTGACCTTGATGTTTGAATATGACCTTTACTTCTCAAGATATAATATTGGGCGTCACAGAAGTAAAGATTAAAATGCTCTAATTTATGTAAGCATGATCGTGTTGTTTCAGAATTTCACCCCTTAAACTGAATCCTACATGTGGAAACTGGAAAAGAGTATTTACATATCTTCTCAACTTATGAATATGTCACTCTATATTTACCAATAATTTGCAAATTATGAGTTCCAAAGGTGTAGCGCCTTCTTTCTAGTGTACACTTGATAAAACAATCACAATCAAAAATCCTGACTACCAGCTGACATACATGTTTAAAATCCCCAGGATAATACTGCATTTCGGAATCCTTACCTTCCCTGTTAGGAGTGTCGCAAACAACTCTTTGATGAATGGAGCATTAATTGATTTGAAATGCATTCAGGTTGGGAAATCTCCAACTCCACAATGAAGAAGTTGGAGTGTCACCTAGTGCCTGTGTTAGTAATGTTGATGGATGATGGGGGACTGAACCTTTCCAATATAGAGAGTCTCTTCACAAGTATAGTGACAAGTGAAGAGGAAACCAGCCACAAAGAAGAATCACTTGGCCACAAAGATGCTAAGGGGGTAACTGCAGAATATGCAAAGAATGTCACTCTTGTTCAGGTATTTGGAAGTGATCTAGTTATTATTAAGGATGTCACTCTTGTTCAGGTATTTGGAAGTGATCTAATTATTATCAAGGATGTCACTGTTACTTTGAATTACAATAAAATGATCTAATGCTAAATTGCCTGATGGCGTTCATCTCACTTGTGAATTTTAAATAATTTGAATTGAAAGTTGAAAAACCCAAACAATATTATGTAATAAAGATAACTACTCCTGTTAGAACTTGTTAATGTCAACGTTCATCTTTAGTATTTAACTTTTTCCTAAATAGTGATAAGTCTCTCTCTGCTTGAGGTTATGATACACTGGCCTATAGCCAGGGGGTTGGGGGTTTGGGCTTTTTCAAGTGATTTGGGGCAAAAACTGTCAATTGTGAACCCTCTTGGAATGTTTTGAAAAGTGAACACCCCTTTGCTGGTAATGGGCCCAATGCACCAGATTAATTGAATTGCATGTTCTCTTTACAGGCACTCTCATTCACCATGCAGACTCACTGCACTGCATTGTTCTCTTTACAGGCACTCTCATTCACCATGCAGATGATGCAGATGTATTTATGGAGACAGCTGATGAACAAGAGGGAAATACTATGTTCTGCAAAGGACACCAAACGTGAACTTCCCCAAGCCCTCTCTGCTCTCCTGTCCTATTCAAATGACCTCACTATGGCAGCTAAGGATGAAGAGAATGATGCTCCTGAATACCATGTGTATTTATGTGACTCCCATGTCAATACTCAGGGTGCATGTAGTTCTGATACAGGTCTTGGGAAGAATGCTGCAGTTCTTACACACATAACAGTTAAAGATCCAAAACAATTGAATGATGATGAAGCTGATGTTCCTGATGGCTTTTTTGAGAATGTCCGGGATTTGATGAATGTGACCCTGAATGGGAAGAACCTTCCTGAAGGCCTTGGGAAATGTCACAACCTGACTGAACTAAAACTGTATGATTCTAATCTAAAAACATTGCCCGAAGATCTGGCTCAGTGTCTGCATATTGAATTATTGGATGTGTCTAATAATAGGTTTGGCAGTGTACTGCCAGGAGTTGTTTTTAAGATTACGTCATTGACGCACCTTATTGCCAGCAATATGGCAATTGAAAGTTTGCCAGATGAAATAGGTAATGTTTGCATTTTGTCATTTAGAGACTTGCTCTTTATAAGTTCATTTTTAGTCTTACACTAGGAATGATCGCTTTTCATTCATTACTTTTTAACATATTTTTAAAGAGGCTTTAAATAATTATCCTGAATAAATACTGATTTAAATATTCATTACTTCAAATTTTGAAAATAATAAAAAAGAACTTTTGTCAGTGGGATGGAGTATTCAATGGGGGAGATGAATTTATCAGAATACTAACAACATAATAATTGGCCATTAATAATGAACTGCATGTTATTCATCATCTTAACAAGATAGTTTGATTGATTATTTTTTACACCTCTTAATTAACACTATGTGAGAAAATGGATTTAAATTTCATTTTGCATTTTTCTTATTTTCCATTAATGTAACCCACCTTCATCCAGGAAATCTTGAACAACTTGTGATGTTGCACCTGAATTCCAACTGCCTGAGCAGACTACCCCATGGGGTCACAAAACTGAAGAAACTAAAGTCCCTGAAAATTGGTGGCATCCCCTACTTCTCTAAGAGCCATGGAAACACCTTCTCAAGATCAGATGTTCTTAAGACTTTAAAACTTTACAATGTAAAGGATACTAAGGTACCCCTTTATATTGTATATGCATATTAATATATGTTAGATTGTAGAATATTTGACAGATTGTTGGATGAACTTTTCAAAACAAATGACAATCACCACTTTAGAACTGTTACTTATTGTACACATTTGTTATATTGCATACATACATGTATTGTACATATGTGTTATATTGCATACTTTTTGTACAAATATGTTATATTGCATACATATTGTACACATGTGTTATATTTCATACTTATTGTACAAATATGTTATATTGCATACATATTGTGCACATCTGTTATATTGCATACTTATTGTACACATCTGTTACATTGCATACATATTGTACACATGTGTTATATTTCATACTTATTGTACAAATATGTTATATTGCATACATATTGTGCACATCTGTTATATTGCATACATATTGTACACATGTGTTACATTGCATACATATTGTACACATGTGTTACATTGCATACTTATTGCACAAATATGTTATATTGCATACATATTGTACACATGTGTTATATTGCATACTTATTGTACAATTGTACAAACGTGTTACATTGGATACTTATTGTACAATTGTACAAATGTGTTACATTGCATACTTCTTGTACACGTGTACACATGTGTTACATTGCATACTTCTTGTACACGTGTACACATGTGTTACATTGCACACTTATTGTACACGTGTACAAATGTGTTACATTGCATACTTATTGTACACGTGTACAAATGTGTTACATTGCATACTTCTTGTACATGTGTACAAATGTGTTACATTGCATACTTCTTGTACACGTGTACAAATGTGTTACATTGCATACTTCTTGTACAAGTATACAAATGTGTTACATTGCATACTTCTTGTACACGTGTACAAATGTGTTACATTGCATACTTATTGTACACGTGTACAAATGTGTTACATTGCATACTTCTTGTACACGTGTGCACATGTGTTACATTGCATACTTCTTGTACAAGGGTACAAATGTGTTACATTGCATACTTCTTGTACACGTGTACACATGTGTTACATTGCATACTTCTTGTACATGTGTACACATGTGTACACATGTGTTACATTGCATACTTCTTGTACACGTGTACAAATGTGTTACATTGCATACTTCTTGTACACGTGTACACATGTGTTACATTGCATACTTCTTGTACACGTGTACACATGTGTTACATTGCATACTTCTTGTACACGTGTACAAATGTGCTACATTGCATACTTCTTGTACACGTGTACAAATGTGTTACATTGCATACTTCTTGTACAATTGTACAAATGTGTTACATTGCATACTTCTTGTACATGTGTACAAATGTGTTACATTGCATACTTCTTGTACATGTGTACAAATGTGTTACATTGCATACTTCTTGTACAAGTGTACACATGTGTTATATTGCATACTTATTGTACAGATGCATACTTATTGTACAAATGTGTTGTATTGTAGAATTTTGACAAATTGATGGATGAACTGTTTCCATCCAACTTTGATGAGAAAGACATTGTGCTGAATGAGGCTCAATTGGGCAAGTTTGATGCAGCCTGGTACACTCTCTTCCCAAGATTCTCATTCCAGACAAAAGGTCAGTTAGAATACTTTGAATATTTCTGGACTGAAAGGCATTGTAATTGTCTTATGCTAAAGGGCATTGGAGTTGTACACAAGGCATTATCCAGTACTAAAAGGCATTGTATTTGTCTTATACTGAATTGCATAGAATATGATACAAGATAGAAAAAGCATAGGATATAGAACAAATATTTCACTCTGTTGAGGTGAATACCTGTACATCTTTAACAAGTGATATTCCACGAAGCCCGAAGGGCAAGTGGAATATCACCTTGTGAAAGTGCTACAGGTATTTACCGAAAATAGAGTGAAATATTTGTTTTATTATATCACTGTCTAGCTAAACATTCCTAAAAAGTAATATTATTAAGTCATTAAGTCTTCAGATATTTTTACGAATCTACTCGGTTCGTCTGCCATTTTGACTTACACTAAACTCAATTATTTACACTGAACGAAAACAAATTCTTTGAAAATTCCCGGGAGCGTGGGATATCGCTAGATATCTCACGGTTGTCTTATCTGATTAGCATTGCCATTGAATATCGCCAGATATCCCACGACATGTGACCCGGTTTTGACCAATCATACTGTCGCTAGCTATATAGTGATATAATAAAATGAATTACTGTATGGGAATGAACTCATGTACCAAATGAAATATCAAAGTCATCTGAGTATTTTATTTTAGAACTGAAACCATATGGAGGATTTCCACCTGAAGTATTCCAACTTCAAAATCTTATTTCATTATCTATGAAATCACAAAGCATTTCATTTGTCCCGGATGGCATTGCTGCACTTCATGAGCTACAGGAGATTGAATTGAGTGACTGCCCATTCTTGGGTGACATCACCAGCCCAGAAAAAGGACTAGCAAATCTGCCTCTATTAGATTGTAAGTTAACTTGTTTGAAATGATTTTGTGGTAGTTGGCCTGATGAGTGCAGGTTGGAATTCTTGTCCCAAATATAACAATAAAACTGTTTGTAAGGATTTAGAAACAGACTTGTACCAGGATCTGGTAAGGTTCTGGGCATGCTGGGTAATTTATAATGTGGTCATTTCGTAAGTACAACAGTTTTAACTTCAGTATATTATTTCCATTGTGGGTCAATCAGATGTCATAGATGAAATATACAATTACATGCAACTTCAGTGGAATATGCTGTTCAAAATAACCTTAAGTTACCCTTAATGCAACAAAGATAGAGATTCCTTCTTGTTAAGCTTATTCACTAGAATTTAAACTTAAACGCCCTAAGATATGAATTCTAATAATTGTTGTAGACATTGGTATTGAGGAATGTCCATCGCTAAGGAGCCCTCCCTTAGAGATAGTTGCTAAGGGACATGAGGCAATGCTTAGTTACATGAGGAGGCTACAGACAGGAGGCATCACATGTTGCAGGACCAAACTAATGATGGTTGGCTTGGGAGGTGCAGGAAAAACAAGGTAAGGCTAAGTTACATGAGGAGGCTTGAAATTTAGACACCTGCAAATTGAAATCTGGTTAGTTCCAGAGGTGTTTTGGTAAGACAGGCTTTATGTTGATTTAAGTACTCATTTTACATGTAGGTGTATATTCTATATTTCTATTCATGATAAAAAAAACACTCTCCAAATAAAAATTTAAAAGGAATTCATTTTCAGACTAATAAGTGTTCCTTATTTCTATCTCACACTACCCTACCACGTGACCAGGTTTAAAAGGGAAACAGGGTACAGCTAAGTTGCAAATGGAGGACGTGGGTTTAATTTCATATTTCTGAATGTAAAATACATTTTACATTTATTTCTAGTGTTCTACCAGACAAAGTATTGATTCATCAATCAGTTTGTAGAATATTGTTGGCAAAAAACCACTATAGGCAAAGATAGATAATAGTGGGCGCAGTGAAGCAAAACTCGAATGCAATACACGATACATTTCAGTAAATCTATCAACGTACAGGGAGCATGTAAGTTTCCCTTCGAAAATGTTACATTGATGTGTAACAAAAAAAACAGTTAATTGTTATTTAAACTGCGTGTCATCGTGTTATATGTACATATATTGTGAACATATTGTGAAACATTTTTCCTCTTGTCACAAAGAGGATAATGTTTGTTTCGAGGTGTCTTGTGATGAGCGTTTCATGATTAAATGCAAAATGACTAGAGCAGATACCATCCAAAAACATCTGACATTCAACACGTCATATAGACTACATCGATCTGGTATTAGTTTTCTTTACAATAATAGAGAAATACGACGTCATATCAGCGCTACAGCAAATCATGAAGAACAAAATGCTTGTGGCATGATAGTATTTTGAATGATCGGTTTTGAGGATGGTAGTGAATTAGACCATTCAAGGGGTTATATAGAAAGGTTCTTCACATTAAGTTCAGGCAATTTTAATTATTCTGAATAGCGGATAGTCATTAACACTGATAGCGGATAGTCATTTATTATTAACGTGTTCATATTTAATTTCATTATTTTATTTCAATTTGATACCAGTAGTAACACATATAATTTAGCGTTCTTATTAATTTAATGACTAAAATGCATATACGACCTGAAAGCAAGAGTCTAAATCTACAAAATAATGTTTACTTTATCTGGATTAAATAACAATTGATGACACCTCAAAGCATCAACAGGCGGCCTTTTTAGCATTATTTTCACTGTTTGCAACGTAAATGTACATGAGATCGGGTCATAGTATGTCTGTATAATCAGCTTTCCTTCTCGCTCCCTGTACTATTGAACAATTTACATTCCTTGTACCCTGTATTGATCAACTTTTGCAACTGTGTACCGTGTACTATGACATATCAAATATTTGAAAATTTAAAACGATATTATTTACATTCTTTCTTCAACTATCATATTTGGAACATGGACTTCACTATTGCACCACTGAAGTTCAGCGAATAGCAATATTGACTCACTCCGAGCACCAAACGTATTAACCTCTTGACTAAGCAGTCAATTATACTCAAAAGCGACCTGGTTAAAAGCGCGATCGAGGTAGGGTAGTGTGTATCTCTATTTTAAAATTACACAGGGCCTTTAAATACTTGCTTTGCAGCCTTGTTAGAGCTCTGATGAGTGGTGACTTCAAGACACCAGGCACACATGGGGAAGCTATCACTGATGGTAAATAGAATACTTCAATGATTCATGGAAAATACAGAGAATTAGATTCAACTTATTGTGTTTTAAATGGGTTTTCAACAAAAATGATGATTTAGTGCTACAATGGTTGGAATTAGCCTGGTTCTTAGATTTCAATACATGATTTGTAATGCACCCTATGCAGACAGAGCCTGTGGGAAATATTGGGTGCGGAGCAAATGAGCGGAGGGTGCGGAGCTAACGGTTATTTTTGAATTTAAATTTGGGATATTTCTGAAACTAAGCCGTTTTGGGACTTCAAATATACCAAGATATGTGTATTTGACACCAAATATCAATACAATTGTGAAAATAGTAGCGCAATTCATTCTATAGCGACGCAGTGTGCCTTAAACCTTTCCCAGACCTATATATTTGAAATTATCCTTTTAATACTGAGTCCCCAGCATTCATAAAAAATGGTGTTCAAGGTGCACTATCTATACAAATTATTTTTGCATCTTGGAAGCCAGGCAGTATCTGTGTGATTTTATAAAAATTCGGAAATCTTTTCAGATATGAGCCCCCTCTAAATATTGGCTGCGGAGCAGCTCCATAAACGTAGCTCCGCACCCAATATTTAGAGGGGCTCATATCTGAAGAACAACATATCTCTAAAGAGAACACTTCTCTCTCTCGTGAAGACTCCTCTTCATTTAACACCTCTCTAGTGAACACCTCTCTAGTGAACACTTATCTTGAGTGAACACCTTGCTAGTGAACACTTCTTTTGAGTGAACACCTCTAATGAAGACTTCTCCCTAGTACAGAATTCTCTCTAGTGAACATTTCTATCTAGTGAACACTTCTCTTGAGTGAACACCTCGCTAGTGAACACTTCTCTTGAGTGGACACCTCGCTCGAGTGAACACTTCTCTTGAGTGGACACCTCGCTCGAGTGAACACTTGTCTTGAGTGAACACTTCTCTCTAGTGAACACCTCTCTAGTGAACACCTCTCTAGTGAACACTTCTCTTGAGTGAGCACATATCTCTAGTGAACACTTGTCTTGAGTGAACACTTCTCTCCAGTGACCACTTCTCTAGAGAACACTTCTCTCTAATGAACACTTCTCTTGAGTGAGCACATCCATCTAGTGAACACTTGTCTTGAGTGAACACTTCTCTCTAGTGAACACCTCTCTAGTGAACACTTCTCTCTACTGAACACTTCTCTTGAGTGAGCACATCTCTCTACTGAACACTTCTCTTGAGTGAACACTTCTCTCTAGTGAACACTTCTCTCTAGTGAACACCTCTCTAGTGAACACCTCTCTAGTGAACACTTCTCTCTACTGAACACTTCTCTTGAGTGAACACCTCTCTAGTGAGTACATCTCTCTAGTAAACACCTCGCTCTAGTGAGCACATCTCAATACTTATCTTGAGTGAGTACCTGTTCAGTCAACTTCTCACTCTAGTGAATACTTTTCTTTAGTGAACACTACTTGTTAGCAGGAGTTGTATGATTGCAGGCATTGACATAGCTAACTGGTCAGTGAAGAGACAGGGAGATGAGAACAGTGTGCAGTTCTCTGTTTGGGACTTTGCTGGACAAACTGTTTATTACAATACTCACCAGGTACAACAGTGTCACTTCAATAGTGTCACATCATTCACATCTAGGATGACATTACATCTATAGGATGTCACATCAACCTCACTTCAGATGTAATATTTGGAGAATGTACTATAATTCACACTAATTTAGGAACATCATTCAAATAGAGTGTTAAACAGATCTCAATTCAGATAGTGTAACACAAAGAGAATGTGACACCTGAATGTCAGACCAATTTTATTTAAAGGGACATCAAACTAATCTCATCTAAGAGAATTTCATACCCATCTGACAATGTACAATGTAACACAAATCTCACCTAAAATTGTTTCACCAATCTCACCTTGGTCACTGTAATGCATTCATACATTCATACAAAACTCATCACATAGAATAGAAACTTGGCTCCATTGTCAACAACAGAGAATATTACACCAGTCTAACGTCACATTACTCTCATTCCCAGAAATGTCACACCAATTTAAATTTAGAGAATGTCACATAACTCTCATTCCCGGGAATGTCACACCAATTTAAATTGAGATAATGTCACATAACTCTCATTCCCAGAAATGTCACACCAATTTTGACACATAACTCTCATTCCCAGGAATGTCACACTAATTTGAATTGAGAAAATGTCACATAACCCTCATTCCCAGAAATGTCACACCAATTTTGACACATTAATAGCATTCGCAGGAATTTCACACCAATTTTGACACATTAATCTCATTTCAAGGAATGTCACACCAATTTTGCATATTACTCTCATTCTCAGGAATGTCACACCAATTTAACAAGTTAGTCTCATTCCCAGGAATGTCACATCAATTTTGACATGTTATTCTCATTTCCAGGAATGTCACACCAATTTTGACACATGAATCTTATTTCACCTTTAGATTTTATACAGAATAACAGAATACTTATTAAGTACTTTCACACCCCTTAGGGTCAGGTACAAGAAGGTATAAAAAATGTATATGCATATAATTAGGAAATAATAATATTAGCAATAGAAAGTAAGTAAGTTGTCTCTCCTACTAAACGAAATATAACAATTTTCAGTACTTCCTGTCCAACAGAGCTGTGTATATGTTACTGTGGAACATCAGACTCGGATATGAACATGCAGGTTTAGAGTTCTGGCTCAGTTCTATTGCAGTACATGCCCCTAAAGCTCCAATCTTCATTGTTGGTACACATTCTGATCAGGTTAGTTTCCAAAGTACAGTAAAACCTATGTATATGGAACACCATTGGAGGTGTTCTGCATACAGTATAGTAAAACCTGTATTATTGTCAAATCTCTGAACTTTCTGACTCTTTTGAATACCAGTATGTAATTTCTGTGGTATCAACATTTTGTCCTGTATTCCTGAACTAAAAATAAATTATTGTCTTTGAAGGAGAGGATAGCTATACTTGATTTATTACACTTCAGACTATTGACGCTCTGTTGTTTATGTAATGTATAAATTATGTGTACATTGACTTCTTTTTAACCTTTCAATACCAATTTAAATGTAGGTGGCCAAATGGTCCCTGCCAAAGGAAGATATGATGAGAAGGTACCCTCAGATTCAGGGCTTCCATTTCATCAGCACACATTTGGGCACTGGGGTAGAGAAACTCCAGGACAGGCTGATAGATGTCGCCCTAGGCCAGGATTACATGGGGGAGAAAATACCCTCTGTCTGGATCAACTTTGAAAATTCTGTCATCAAGTAAGAGATAATGTCCAATTCAGGTCAAGAGTTTCATATGTCTTTTTGATTATAATGTAAAATGTAAAAAATTCATCAGTTATTTAAATACTTTTTTAAGTTGATGGGATGGTTTTTACATTATTGTTTTTCAGGATGCGTAACAAGGCTAGTGTTGTTCCCTTGGAAACAATTGAAGAACTGGCCAATGAACATGGTTTGTTTGATAAGTCTGAGGTAGGAATAGAAAGACTCGTGTTTTATATTGGCCAATAGGAAGACTTGTGTTTAATCATGGCCAATAGAAAGACTCGTGTTTTATATTGGCCAATAGGAAGACTTGTGTATCAGGGGCATAATCGGGCAAGTTTATATAAACAAGGCACAACCTAGATGTGTAGACATTACGAGTAATTTTAACAGGTTCTCAGTCTGAAAAAATGTCATTAAACATTACTTGCCTTCTGCCTATGATCACACCATATATAATCTTATTGTACCATCATATCAATTTGAACCTGGTTTTTATGATTTGAAATGACTGATATTTTTCCAAACCAAGTTAACCCAAGAATATACTGTCAATATTATTGTAGATTGACCAAGTGATCCAGTTTCTACATGACCTTGGAACACTGCAACATTTTGACAATCCTTTCCTTAGAGACAGAGTTGTTATAGAGCCCCAGTGGATTGTGGATGTCATGTCATGTGTGGTCTCTGTCAAAGATTCTTCAATAAAGGTAATACCTTTTATGTTAATTAAGGCTTAATATAATCCTTTCCTTAGAGACAGAGTTGTTATAGAGCCCCAGTCATAATTTTGATGTGATATTTTTCAGGATGGTAACTTCTACCACAAAGACATCAAGGATGTTTGGGGCAAGTACCCAGATGAGCTTCATGAGTGGCTGCTGAGGTTAACAGAGGAATATGACCTGACATTCCCCATTAGCAAAGACAAGAAGAACATTGTTCCTTGTCTGTTGCCCACAAACCCACCTAAGGTATGAATGTGTATAAGGTAATGCACTTTGAAAACCTGTGATCATTTTGTTTTATATATAGTATAGTACTGATCCCATATGGACTTTTCTGGAAAGGATGCAAAATCCTTAATTCTAATTTTGTCACTAAAATATCCATATTTCAGTATTTTTTGGCAGAGTGTAAACAGATTTTCAATAGAGTGGCATATCATTTTTTGAATTTTTAAAAAGGATGTAGTGCCCAGTTCCTCTAATGCCTGAGTGATCACTGAGCCTACAATAACTGTAATAATTGTGTCTAATTACTATTCTAGATTCCTTGGTCAGAGGTGGATAGAGTTGGTGGAGAGAAGGAGTCCAAGATGATTTATAAGTTTGACTACTTGCCTGCTGGGCTGTTCAACAGAGGGCAGGTGAGTAGACACATTGCAAGGGGGGCAATAGAGGTGACTTGTTACATTACACGCAGGTGACTTGACACATTACAAGTGACATAATTATGGCATATCAATAATTTTAAGGGATATTATATCATTATTAAATTGTTGCAACCCTTTAAAGGGAATGCGAAGTTTTGTCCCTTAAACTTGATAATAAGTTAGAATAAAGATATATCTTTCAATCCAACTTAGTTTTATTGTTCTATCATTATCCTTTTAATTGTTATTGAGCCCCGGGTTTTGCATATGAACTGGACCACGGAGCTGCCATTTCAACCGTAAAGTGGTTCTTTACGACAGTGTTATGACGTCATTGATGCCAGATTGATGCCTTGGCATTCCAAAAGTTTTGTGGCGCCATTTTTGAATCAAAAAATGAATGCCGAGTTGTTGCCATTCCAAAACCAAAGAAATCATTTCAAATGAACTAAAAGAATACGTTTATACCACCCATAATAAAGAACGATTTTAATAGAATATTAACGCCGGCATTTTTCGGAATTGCTTTTTACCTATCTAGACATGGAATGCAGGTTAGATTTATTCTTTATTTACACTTGAAACAATCTGGGATTCGTGACTTTTTAACTTTTATTAGGTCTAGCGCTAAATGCGAACAGAGAATGCTAATTCTATCAGGCGAATGCAAACTATTTGAATAAAACATAACAAAATTAATTCAACCAACCCATCTTGAATTTCCAAGAATGCAATGGTTTAATTTGCTAGTCTCATTACAAAAATACTTGTTCGTACTTTAATATTCATTGCATTTATGTTTATCTTTAACACAGGTATTCAAAGAAATTAAAATTAGATTTTAAAACCGTATTCAATTACTATCATGGATTCTTAGCCTCACGTCACCGTACGGTCTATCATTTCTGTGGTATGTAGGATTTCTACGGTTGCCTAAGTATTTCTGCAGTCAGATAATTTAGCAGTCACATTTGCTAAGATAGCCGTATGGCGTATCTTGATTATGAGGAAAAACTACGATTTTCGTACGGCTGATAAATGATGACGCACGATCAGCGTAGGGCGGCCCTACGACGTGCGTAGCTTTTCTTGAAGGCATCCAGAAGGGGTTCTATATATGGTTCGGAAAGGTCAATTGTAACCTATGAAATCCAAGTAGCGCAACCGCAAGTCGACCGTGAACCCGACGTACGGTCGTCGTGAGACCTACGGTTTGGCTGCTGCTTGTTGATATCTAAGGTGACCACAGGAAAGAAAAAGTTTTAACTCCGACTCTACGCCTTGTAAAAACTGGATATGTCGTGTACGTAGACAGCAAGGTGACCTTAAGTCGACTGTAGTTTTCCTGTGTTTGCCGCAGAAATTTACTGATTTCAGCGAAATACGATCGACGTGTGGTCGCATTGAACAAATGTGACTGAAGCTTTTGAAGTTCCACTTATTTTCCGATATAGAAAAAACAAAAGGTTGTATGCCATTAAATTTAAAATCATTATTTCGAAAATACTGTAGAACTGTACTTACCACGTTTGTTATATCATTAAATTCGAGCTCGAAATCAGGAATTGTTTTTAACAAAAAGTTATCAATACGGCAATTGCCTTATCGTCGTTGAAATGAAATATCATACTACAATCGACCCCATCGTCTCCCCGCATCACTGAATGTTATGAGCCTTTTCTTGTCATGATCCAAGGTGAAATACCATTGCATTTTGAAAAGCTTTTTTGTCATATCGAATGTCGCTACGGTGATATGATGATTGAAATTGGTCGTTTAACAACTGAGAAACATTAGACATTACGTATTATTCTTTGAAAATATGACAGTGGCATGTCCTTGTAAAGCTATTGCGCATGCCAATCTTAATATTTAGGAGATTGACATTTACATACGTATCTGATCATTTAGACGACATCGATTTTTTGTTTTTTTTTGTTTGCGTTTTTCATCAGAATTTAAATGGCTAAACACTTTAGGGAGTTACTGTTTCATTGGATTACTACTTTCTGTTTTATTTCTTTCATTCTCCAATATGCACCTATTCATGCACCTATACATATTTGAATAGAATACTACAGATTGAAGAAATCTACCATTTATGATTAGGTAAGAAAGCAATTGCGACAGTATGCCTATTTGCCGACGTATACCTTAAGGTTAATAATGATGTGCCGTAACTGCTCATCAGCGCATTAATGAACATTAGCATAGATTTTGATATTTGAAATGGTATGTCGTGTATTTACATAAATATGGTAAATGCAACTATTTGTTGGATGCGTTCAGCCGATGATACAACTTACTTATTTTCACCACAAATACGCCAACACATTAGCCACGTTAATCTTAGTTAAATAAATACCCATTGATGCACAGTAATGCATTTATGTGTAAATGCCATTTTGTATATTTTAATGCATTTACCTCATTTATTGGTTAAATATACAAGAAAGCATTTACAGGATTTGAACAGATTTATCCTTTTTAACCCAGTGTTATCATTATATAAAATAATTCTAGTGGATATTTTTCAAGTGGAATATTGCGATGACTTCCGAATCGCGCAGCCGATAAGTTTAGTGATTTTTCTACCTAGCCTATACTATATCACATTGGAGAAAATAAATACAAACATTTGAAAAAATACATTGCAACAATTCAATTTCTATGAAGAATATATTGAAACAACTTTTCCAAATATATGATATGATATGGACATGAACATGCAGCAACAATGTTAAGCGGACAGAAATAGAAGAAGTAAACAGAAGTAAAATATCAGTGAAATGTGTTCTATTTCTGCGATCCGAGTATGACGTGATTATATAGCGATATTTCCCAGGCATCAATTTTAAGGCATCAATGACGTCATTGATACATAACAATGGCGGCATCCGCAGCGATCCAGATATTGGTACTTTGAACTTGAATTATATGTTAGTTCAAACACGATATGTCCCATGAGTGAGCTGAAGTGATAGATGATGGTTATAAGTAGCCAGCGTGTAAATTAGAACATGAAACTTCGCATTCCCTTTAATCTTACAATTTCTTACGTCTGAAATCAGGTGTCTGACTGGCATTAGTTTGTTGTATACTGGCATTAGTGCGAGGAAACAGGCCACACAGGAAATCTTGACATCAAATGCAAAAGCAGATTTCACTTTTTATTGTTTATATAGCCTAAAGCATTTCAATTGATATTCTAATTTCTAGTTTATATTGTATGTTACTAGGTTATCATATGTTACTAGGTTGTGCCAATAAAAAAATAAATAAATAAATGTATGGGAAATTGAGTCAAAACATAACAAAATGATTGTAATTATGGGATAAACCTAATATCAAATCATTTCCCATGATATTATTTTTTGCCTCGTAGATATCAAATGCTTGCAGTCTAATATTTTATCTGGATCTGTTTATAAATAATGAATGTGTTTTTGTTTAAGGTGAGATTGTATCAGTACTCTGACAGTTCTGTTATATGGAAGAAGGGGTCTCTGTTAAAGAAATCTGGACAGAAATGTCTTATTACACAGTCAATGTAAGTAAATATGAGGTAAAATTAATACTCTCCAGGCCCATAGCCAGCTTTTTTTAAAAGAGGGCTTCAGTTTTTGAAAAAATCTATTTTGACAATTTCGGCCAAAAATTCCTTAATGTGAGTAAAATGGTGAAAACTGCATGATTTTGAAAGAATTTTTGGCCAGGTGAGGGTTTCACAAGACCCCACGGCCCACCCCACTGGCAATGGCTCTGCCATCATTGAGTACCATCTTCATAGCCTCATTTTGCAATTGTGACATTGATTATCTTCTCATTTTTCTAAAATAAAAAGGCAAAATAATTTGTTTGTTTGATATGAAATTTTGTATGTTAAAGGGACAACCAACTGATTGTGAAAGTACAAGGGAGCCAGCCTGAGAATATATTGTTTATGGTACATGAGGTATTTGAGGGCCTTATACATGAATCATTCCATGGAGTCACGTACGACTACCTTATGCCTTGCCCCGACTGTCTCAAAAATGTGAGTATACAAAATAGTACAGTAAAACCTATGTAATACAATTGCCACTCTAAATGCAAAAAATGATCAGATAGGCATATTTCAAGTTGTTTTAATGTCTCATTTAAAAGTTTAATGATTAAAAGTGGGACATAAAAAAGTTTACATCAAAAAGGTGTTAGAATATGCAGGTTAATATAGTTTTTACTGTTACTGCGAAAATTAAGTATCATAATACTTTTATGTCACTAGAATTGCCTCACTGAATTAAATTTGCCTCACCATTAAAATTGTTTTGGATTCAGAATTCTAAGGATCCCTTTCTTATGGCGAGGTCAACAGTGCGCCGTGCATCAGAGCTTCAAGCTCCATTTCTCCAATGTACGACATCATTCCATACAGTGTCACTCATTGATTTACATGGTATGTATATGTTTCACTTTACACCCCTCCCTTTCTTAATCTTACTTTGTTACTGTGATATCCCCTTCTATTCTGTCTACACATTTCTCCAGTGTACATGTGCAACATCATACAGTGTCATTACTAGTTAATTTACATGTTATTTAGTCATCTATATCACTCATCAAGTATACAAAACAAATGCATTCTCAAATATTTCATTGTTTTACTCATCATTTTCAGCCACAATGCCTCCTGATTCTGGGAACGACTATGACATGCAGCTTGCCATTACAGACAATACATTGAAAGATATGAAAAAAGATTTAGATGCAGGTATTTCTTGATGGCTAATGATTTTCTGTACCACAATGGAAGATAGCAGGGGATATTTTGATCCTAATCCTAAGCCTTAAGTAAAATGGGAATTTCTCTCTGCCATCTTCTATTTCAGTATAGAGTGCTCTCCCATTTCTTTATATTCAAAATTATTAACAAAGGGAAACTGATATTTTACTTTAATGTAGGGATCAGGTATGTTATGTGTTTTCCTAATGTTGCCATATGTGCATTCTTGTTTCAGATGTATTTATATCCTGTTGTGGCAAAGACATGCAAGGGAAGATCACACCAACTAAGATAAAGGAAGACCTGGAACGTATCTGTGGCTACAAATGGTAAGTCTTTTTCAAGCTTTACATATTAATTTTTATGGCACCACCAGGAGTGGTGATATTTTTTGTAATACTGTCTCCAACTTTTTTTGTTCAATTTCTGTTCAGTCTGACTTTGATTTATTACCATCAACATGTAATTGTATAAACCGTTTATGAGTCCCAACACATTTCTGCCAATGTCTGTTACTATGTTGAAAAACATGTTGAATTGATTGTTAAAAAAGGTATAAATGTTTTTTCAGCTTGCTTCAAATTGACAAAATTTATGGTTGTCAGTAAGAATTGTTATAGTTTTGTAACATTTTGCAGCTGTTTGGATCTTTGAAACATCTTGAAACCCATTCCAAACTGTTCCATGGGATCTTTAAACACAGTATCATAAACAGGGCTCAGTTTATCCTTGACACGTTGTATATATGCTGCCATCTTAGGCCTCCTTTCCTTGCCCATATCTATATCAGTGGGCTCCACATTGACCAGTTCTGATATACATTGCAGATCAGCAATGGAAATCTCATCACCAGCCAAATATTCAGAATCTTTCAGCCAATAGTTTTCCAGCCTGTCCATCATTTTCTCAAAGCCTTCCTTGATTTCTTCAAGTTCATCTTCAGGGCAGGTTTTCTTCATGAAAAATGGTTCCATAAACTGGAAAACACCAACATTAATATCACCATATTAAAAATAAACATTATTGCAAATTGTTTAAATATCAATATTTTAAATGTCTCTTTATATTGTATTTTTCAATTTTTTCATTTCATTCCAAACTGGCATAGTAATGATTCACTACTTAGGAAAAACATTTTTTGTAAATGGAAAGATTATAACAGAGTTTGATTGTTCAAACCAGGCACTTACATAAGCCTCTAGATATCCAGATGCATTTTCCTCATATCAGTTACTTACCCCCCTATCACACCAAACTAGTTCTTACCCGTTCTTGCCAGTCCTACGAAAACGTCGTAAAACGGGCTCAATCTGGCTGTGGTTGGGAAATATGTCTAAAATAATTAGCTACTTCGTTCATAAACAGTCTTCAATACCTCCATCTCATTCGCAGTTCGTTCAGGTCGCACCACGTCGGTGTGCAACGTAGTAGAACGCGTCCCTTAGTCTAGAAGGTCATCAGACCTGATTACAGAACGGTATGGTCGCCATAGAATTTTGAATCGATTCAAAATTCTAAATCACATTCCTTGTCCGGGAAAGTCCATGAAGTTCGTAAACAGACAGTAGAACGTTGTAGCTACGTTCATTCCGTTCGCACACAGTTTAAAACCAGTTTTGAAGATGCAACCGCAACTTGCTTGGTGTGATAGCTATATTTTTGCTAACTCGTTGATAAATACGTTCTCAATCAGTTTTAACCCATTTGCAATTAGTTTTACCTCGTTCTCAATGCGTCCTCAGACAGTTCAACTCATTGTAAAAATGTCCCTAGTAGGATTGTAGTACGACGGTTCCGTTCGTAGTACGTCCAGCTCGTCGTTAGTAGGTTGTCACTCGTTCTAATTGTAGAACGTGTCGACCAAGTTTGTAAATAGACCCCAAATGGTTCTAAGTAAGTCCAGTCCGTTCGTTCACAGTTGAAGCCCTTTTTCGAGAATGTAGTGAGAACTAGTTTGGTGTGATAGTAGGGTTACATAAGCCTCTAGATATCCAGATGCATTTTCCTTATATCAGTTACTTACATAAGCCTCTAGATATCCAGATGCATTTTTCCTCATATTAGGGCCATGCCAGCTGATATATTGGTTCACAAGCATTCTCCCTTTAGCACTTTTTGGGTACCAGTGCTCGGGAACGCCATCTAACTCTGCCAGGTACTGCAGGGCTGCAGAGCTGGAAGTAAATATGCAATAATATGTCATATCAATTTATGAAAGCTTGTACACAATGTCTGTTTCCAACTCCTGAGGTATGTGTACTAACACACATATTTAGCTACACTATCATTCTCTACAAGGTAGAGACGAGTGTGTAGGAGAACAGTCAATAAATAATGGGCCAACAAAGCAGAAATTTATTTTTAATGTCGATAGCTGTTGATGAGGCCCTTGGGTCAATGTACATGCATGTACCTACATGTACATAGAGCCTCAAAAATTACAAATTAAACTTCTTAACTTATTTAAAAACATTCTCTGAAACTGTAAGCAAGTCTGAAAAAGTTATAACAAAGTTCTACAAAGTTCTAACCATCTAGCATGATACGTAGCGTATGCTAAATCATATGTAGCCTGACTTACCTTTCAAGGATGTAGGCAAACCATCTAGCATGATATGTAGCATATGCTAAATCATATGTAACCTGACTTACCTTTCAAGGATGTAGGCAAACCATCTAGCATGATATGTAGCATATGCTAAATCATATGTAACCTGACTCACCTTTCAAGGATGGTAGGCAGGCCATCTAGCATGATATGTAGGGTATGCTAAATCATATGTAACCTGACTCACCTTTCAAGGATGTAGGCAAACCATCTAGCATGATATGTAGCATATGCTAAATCATATGTAACCTGACTTACCTTTCAAGGATGTAGGCAAACCATCTAGCATGATATGTAGCATATGCTAAATCATATGTAACATGACTCACCTTTCAAGGATGGTAGGCAGGCCATCTAGCATGATATGTAGCGTATGCTAAATCATATGTAACCTGACTCACCTTTCAAGGATGGTAGGCAGGCCATCTAGCATGATATGTAGCATATGCTAAATCATATGTAACCTGACTTACCTTTCAAGGATGGTAGGCAGGCCATCTAGCATGATATGTAGCATATGCTAAATCATATATAACCTGACTTACCTTTCAAGGATGGTAGGCAGGCCATCTAGCATGATATGTAGCATATGCTAAATCATATGTAACCTGACTTACCTTTCAAGGATGGTAGGCAGGCCATCTAGCATGATATGTAGCGTATGCTAAATCATATGTAACCTGACTTACCTTTCAAGGATGGTAGGCAGGCCATCTAGCATGATATGTAGCATATGCTAAATCATATATAACCTGACTTACCTTTCAAGGATGGTAGGCAGGCCATCTAGCATGATATGTAGGGTATGCTAAATCATATGTAACCTGACTCACCTTTCAAGGATGGTAGGCAGGCCATCTAGCATGATATGTAGCATATGCTAAATCATATGTAACCTGACTTACCTTTCAAGGATGTAGGCAAACCATCTAGCATGATATGTAGGTATGCTAAATCATATGTAACCTGACTCACCTTTCAAGGATGGTAGGCAGGCCATCTAGCATGATATGTAGCATATGCTAAATCATATGTAACCTGACTCACCTTTCAAGGATGGTAGGCAAACCATCTAGCATGATATGTAGCGTATGCTAAATCATATGTTACCTGACTCACCTTTCAAGGATGGTAGGCAGGCCATCTAGCACGATATGTAGCATATGCTAAATCATATGTAACCTGACTCACCTTTCAAGGATGGTAGGCAGGCCATCTAGCATGATATGTAGCATATGCTAAATCATATGTAACCTGACTTACCTTTCAAGGATGTAGGCAAACCATCTAGCATGATATGTAGCATATGCTAAATCATATGTAACCTGACTTACCTTTCAAGGATGGTAGGCAAACCATCTAGCATGATATGTAGCATATGCTAAATCATATGTAACCTGACTTACCTTTCAAGGATGTAGGCAAACCATCTAGCATGATATGTAGCATATGCTAAATCATATGTAACCTGACTTACCTTTCAAGGATGTAGGCAAACCATCTAGCATGATATGTAGGTATGCTAAATCATATGTAACCTGACTTACCTTTCAAGGATGTAGGCAAACCATCTAGCATGATATGTAGCATATGCTAAATCATATGTAACCTGACTTACCTTTCAAGGATGTAGGCAAACCATCTAGCATGATATGTAGCATATGCTAAATCATATGTAACCTGACTCACCTTTCAAGGATGGTAGGCAGGCCATCTAGCATGATTTGTAGCATATGCTAAATCATATGTTACCTGACTTACCTTTCAAGGATAGTAGGCAGGCCATCTAGCATGATATGTAGCGTATGCTAAATCATATGTAACCTGACTTACCTTTCAAGGATGTAGGCAAACCATCTAGCATGATATGTAGCATATGCTAAATCATATGTAACCTGACTTACCTTTCAAGGATGGTAGGCAGGCCATCTAGCATGATATGTAGCATATGCTAAATCATATGTAACCTGACTTACCTTTCAAGGATGTAGGCAAACCATCTAGCATGATATGTAGCATATGCTAAATCATATGTAACATGACTTACCTTTCAAGGATGTAGGCAAACCATCTAGCATGATATGTAGCATATGCTAAATCATATGTAACCTGACTTACCTTTCAAGGATGTAGGCAAACCATCTAGCATGATACAGTACGGCTTTAATGTAAATTGACTACTCAGAGCATAGACATCGGTAACTCGGCACGCTTAATTGTTCACTGTCAACCACCTGTGCGCGTGTCACGGACAGTTACTACTTGCGCCTCATAGCTGGGACCCGTGTAGCTCGCTTAATTCCTACTCGCGACTCAGCACGACTCGTCGTGCTGAGTCGCAACTACAGTTCTGTAGATGTACAAGCGTTAGTTCTCCGATGCTAAAGTAACATTGCATGACCATGTGTTTACAGTCGTGCAAATTTGAATAGATCGTTTGCCGAAGTAAACAGTCAAAATAGTGTGTACGTGTAGTTGTCCTGTCAGTCGAATTATTCACATTTATAGTAGACTAATATGATTCAATTATCCTGAAACTTGTTCCGTTAATATTTACATGCGATAATGTGCAGACTAATACTAACTTGTACAGTACGATTTGCAATGTGTAAACAGTATACACAGTCAGCAATGGGCTTAGAATTAATATAGTGAATGGTGTCAGGATCCTAAACTTTTAATAGTTGTTATCTAAAATATACCCTAACACGTTCGAAAAGGTGTCTATCTTTTGGGCTAAGTTCAGGCATGGACCTCTATATCATTTGAGACAATCTGCAATAGATTTTTAATAAATACCCAGATCCGTCAGTTGTACATGTTTATTTAACTAGAAAGGAGGAAATACCCCGGGACCATCCTTCTTCAAAGGACTTCATTTATGCTCAAATTCACTATACTTGTTAAATACCCTTGCAGCAAGGATGCCCGGGACTCAAAGATGGACAAGTATCTAAACTGATTTACTATAACTTTAAAGTTGTTCATCTTTCCATATAAGTTCAACTATGAACTCTAGATAATGCCGCTCTTTATCAATGTAGAGAAGTACATGTAGGCTATTAGAGTGTACTTTGCATTTTACTGAAATTTATACTTTTTCCACATGTAAATGTAAATGGAATAGACTAAGCGTATTCGTTGGGCTACCCTTACGAAAACTTCGGACGCTGCTTTAATTTTCATGTAGACATTTCTTACAAGTTACAAAATCCACTTGGCAATACAAGACCAAGTCCTCTGTTTCAAATCTTGAGTAAACAGTGTCATGGTTGAAAGTATTCATATTTTCCATAGAATCCAAAATAATTAATATCTGCAGGCCCGTAGCCAGGGGGCGGGGGGGGGGGTTGCAGGGTTCGGGCGAACCCCCCCCCCTGGCCAAAAATTATTTCAAAATCATGCAGTTTTCACCATTTTGAGTGCTTCTCAAGTAATTTTAGCCATATTTGGGCCAAAATTGTCAAATGTGACCCCCCCTTGAAATTTTTGAAAACTGAACCCCCCCCCCCTCAGTGGCAAATCCTGGCTACGGGCCTGTATCAAGAAATATTTAGTGTGACTTATGGTAATGTATGGTGGTTGGTTTTCTCGTCCATGTGGATCCTCAATGTTGAGGACTCAACCCTCCCGGACAAAAAGACAAATAAACTTTAAGGAAAACACAATTCATAGCGTCCACTGATTAAAAGTTTGCTAACTGATGATCATTGATGATTATGCAATCAAGCAAAATGCAATCAACGAGCATTGTCCTTATTGGAATTAGCCTTTTGCAACTGGTGAACTAGGCTATGCGAATGAAGAGTTAATTGTGGAAATCAAGTTTGCTCATCTCTTCACTTGAGGTGAGAAAAATGCATACAAATAAATAATAAAAAATTATGTTTTTGGTATTTGTTTGTTATTAGTGTATTATGGAATGAATGTACTGAACGGTGTAAAAGGGTAGGAGGTCCTATTAATTTATGGTCCTACTCTCCATTGATTTATATGGTGACCTCTTTGTTCTCTTTCCCTTATTATCATATACACAATCAGGGCCAATAAGGGCCTTTAAAAGGGGGACCATAATCCCTGGGGGCCATAATTTCTTTCACACCGGGATGCACTTTAAATGTTTTTATTAATTATTGTTTTATGAATTATTATGCACAACATGTTCTTGTATGTTTTTAATTGCTGGACTAGTATTAACTAAGTGCCGCTGTTTAAAACTGAATACAATAAAATAATAATAAAATCAAATCGAAAGCGCAACTGGCAATCTGTCACGTGTTATTATGCGCTAAAGTTGCGCTAATTATACTAGTATTGTAATATTACAATTATTTTAACTGCACGTTTAATAAAACTTTGTGCTTATGTTTTAATCATTCTCAGAATTAAATTAATATATAAGGATGTGTAGGCACGTAGGTGTAGGCAATAGCTCAGTCGATATGAGTAGACTTATGAAGACTGACTACTGTGTAAAAGTAAAAGTATTTCAATGAACTATTTGTATGTTTGCAAGCGGCAAGCATTTAATAATTTTTACAAATATAATATTGTCCTTAAAATAGT